AGAATTCTGAACAGGTTCACTGGCGATTTCACTAGCATGGACTCTTCGTTGGCGACAAACTTCTATTACTTTGCCACGGTGACTTGGGAAATGCTTGGCATATTGGTGGCAGCTCTTTTTGTTTCGCCATTCATGATCATCATCGCCATCGTTCTTCTCGTCGCATGTGCTTACTTTGCTCAACAATACATGGCTGCAGCACGAACTCTCAAGAGACTCGAATCCACCAACAAATCTCCCGTCATCTCTCACTTCGCTTCTTCGCTCAGCGGTCTATCAACTCTCAGAGCTTTCTCAAAGGCACCCGAATTTACTCAGAGGATATTCGCTCTTATTGATGACTGGGCAGCTTGCAGTTGGTACATCACCGCCTTTCGGATGTGGCTCATGATTCGCATTGGCATTACGGCTTCCATGTTTGCTGCTGTAATTGGCGTTTTCGTTGTTACCACGCCCAATATTGATGCTAGTTTAGCCGGCTTTGTCCTTTCCTTTGCATTGAACTTTGGACATGCCATCAACTGGGGTATCTCCGTGTCTACTCAGACGGAACTTGATATGAACGCCACGGAGCGCATCTTTGAGTACCAAAATCTCGAAATTGAAAACCAGGGTGGAGAGGAAGTGCGCGCAAGCTGGCCTGAGGAAGGTAGAATAGAGGTTGAGAAGCTGGAAGTCGGCTATGCGGAGGGCTTGCCTTCTATTCTGAAGGGCTTGAGCTTTACTGCCGAACGCAATCAGCGGATTGGAATCGTGGGTAGAACCGGTGGAGGTAAGTTTGATGCAACTAAATTCCCATATGAGCCGTATCCGAGCTCGTTATTCACCCGTATTTCTCTGTTTATCTGCGGACATGATGTTCTGACATAAATCAGGAAAATCAACCTTATCACTGGCCCTCTTCCGCTTCCTTCAAACCAGGTCCGGCAGCATTACGATTGACGGCGTCGATATTTCCAAGATTAAACTCTCAGATCTGCGCACCCGTCTGGCCATTATTCCACAGGACCCTTTCCTTTTCTCAGGCACTATTCGCTCGAATCTCGATCCCTTCGGCCAGTTTAGCGACTACGAGCTTCAAAAGGCCTTGATGCGGGTTCATCTCATTTCCTCAAATCCAGGCACACCAGCTCCTGAAGCCGTTCTCGACGAGCACTCAGTTTCTTCTGCTCCCACCGCTACCGAGAATGATTCAGACGTAAACTCCGCTCTGTCGCTTTCGTCCCCGGTCGCATCCGGTGGCTCCAATCTTTCACAAGGCCAGAAACAATTACTCTGCCTTGCGCGTGCGATTTTGTCACGTCCAAAAGTTCTGCTCTTGGATGAGGCGACATCTGCCGTCGACATGGAGACTGATAGACTGATTCAGGACTCCATTCGTCAGGAATTTTCTGATTCAACACTTCTTGTTATCGCCCATCGGTTAAGCACTGTGGTTGACTTTGATCGGATATTGGTGATCAAGGATGGTGTGACCGCGGAGTTTGGTACGCCAAAAGAGTTGCTGGAGATTGAGGACGGTATATTCAAGGAGATGATTTCTCACAGTGGTGAGAAAGATGAATTGGTGAGGTTGATTTCAGCAAAATAGACATTTCGAAACACCGAGGTTAATATCCAGAACCTTGAGACTTATAATTAGTAATGAATATGGTAGAAAAAGGTGCTCGGGTAGAAGTACGACATTTGCAACATTGGGAATACTACCAAGCACAGAAAATATAATGGAATACGAAGAAGATCCTCCAGAAGTGTTAAAGCATACAATCGTACAGACCCAAAGTGAGCCATTTTGTGTAATAGTTAACTGATCCGCCATATAAGTATGTTAAAACGATAATTGCTCAAACGATATGAGTCAAAGAGAAAGTCCATTCAACGCGTAACCAAGAATAACTTGCTGATTAATTTTTCAGGTAATCAAATTGAGAACAATTGAACGGAAATTACCACCCAAGTCCTGTACTTGAAGGTGAATCGGGTAGTTGAAGGTTTCCGTTATTAGAATAGTGGTAAACGTCAATGGTAGCATTGCATTCAGATAGAACTACCTAATTGGAGAAAGTACCCCTAGCCATCTGTGAACTCTTGGCAAAATGCCTATTAGGTATTTACAATACAACCATACGTTTGGACTTGTTACTTGTCTGCATACAACATCCTATCGCGCAAAATTGTATCACCATGAAAATTGCAATAGCACCCTCTCCGGCTCATTCATTGTATTTAAAGATGAAAAATATCCAAGACATAGCTATCTGAAGGCTATACTATATAGACTCAAATTCAGACTATGAGTTTCATCCTTAGTTCTCTGTCTCTATATCTTAGTCGAGAGCAACAATCGTGAACCACTCCTCCTGGGCGCTGTCCAGGTCGATGAACGCCCCACCACTGGGGCAAACATCAGCGGTGAGTGTTTGTGCGGCATAAGACTAGGTTGAGTAGTGTTAGCGTATCACAATACTATAGAAGCTGTAAAACTTACAACACAGGATTGTTCATCCGGAACGGCTACAGTGATCTGAAATCCGTCAGTATTACGTAGTAATTAATATCGTGAGATAAATACCAGGTTAAGGCCGTAGGTCTTTCCGTCTTCCGGTGCGTCGACACCGTCAGCGACGTCTGTGGTAACAGACTGAGCATCAACAGATGAGAAGTTGATCTGAGAGCAGAGCTTAGTAGCCCAGTCGAACTTCACTTGATCATCGAGGTCAGTGATAGACTGAGGAACATTGTTCTTCTGTCCAGGAGCAGGAAAGCAAAGCTTCTCGTTGGCTGCCGAGGCAGTGAGAGCAAGGCCGAGAAGGGCGAATGCAGCAGTTGAGAATTGCATGATGAAGGCGCGTAGGGGATCTTAGTGCTCGGTCTGATGAAAGTAAGAAGATGGGTGATAATTGTTTCCACGATTCAGTTGGCTTGGAGGCTATATATACCTAAACTTTTCAACAATATATTGATAATATTAATTTTCGGGAGATGAATTGGTCTGATTCATTGAGTTGTCATTCTATGCATTCATCATTGAGGCCAAGCGAAGTCATCAAATGCAACCATATGTAATTGAATACTACCTACTGGATTAAAAAGGACATCCATGTCTAATGAAGAACGGTAGGTATGTAAGAAGAGCGGACGAACTATACTTCTCTTTAACCGCTGCCGCTTACATCCAGCCCCAACAATAGAAGACCTCACCACCGCCGAGTCATACGAGCCTTTATCAGAAACCAGATACATGCCCTTTTACTATACCCAAACACAAAGTCCCTTATCTGTCTCAAGTTCAAGCATGCCATTGTAAGTTCACGAGATAATCGTGTTTCTTGTCATTCTTGCACTGGGATCGGGGCCAATATAATGCTAGAAAAACTCCGAACCTGTTCTCAGTCTTCATTGTCAGATTCCGCCAAGAAGGCAAGACTTTCCGAGAACAGTGAGATTTGCCTAATATACTAACTATATCTTATGCTTAAAAAGGCGGATGTTCGCTTTCTACAGGGTGCATCCATCTTTTACGGAGTACAGGGTTTAATGCGGCTTGCCCTGGTACATAGGACCCGCGATGAGCTTATTTTATCGGCAAATTCAGAAAATGGATGTTCATAAAACATTGAGGAAGTGTAGTCATAGATGACCCTGATATGGCATGCTAGCTTCACGTTTGACATTGACGTGAGCAAGAGGCAATGCAGCTTGATCAATTGATATCAACATCATAAAGAATACATGCCCGGCTAATGTATCCAGAAGACGTCGTATAACTCTGCATTCAGTTGTGACACTGTAGACCTGTTAAAAAATCGGGCCGATGCTTGTATGTAGGAATTGCAACCATGCGGTAGAGATTAATTTGTCGTTTCTGCGGGTAGTAGACATGATGTCTCATTTATACCCATAGTACTCTGGGGTAACGCGCATCTTTCCTTGTAACGTAAGAAGATAATTATGTAAACGAATTAGATTTTACGAAAGCTAGCTACTCCATTGGTAAGAAAAGGTGCATACTCGCGGTCTGGCCTTCAGTGCTGTCAGTAATCGACTTCTGGGAGGAGATATTCGAGTGCCAGAAGTGGACCCAGCGAGGTAGCAATTGAATGTTAATAATTGATCACTATCTGTCATTATCTCGTCAGCTATTTGATTATTATATACTAATAGTTTTACAATGTCTTTGTCGTGGCTTTTGGCAATATATAAGCGTGGCGGCCCAGACCTGGTAACTAGAACAGCTTTTTCATGGCAAGAGCTTCCAAGTGGAGTACTGAAGAGTTTATTAATAACAAGAGTAGATATTGCAAATCACTCTGATAGTTCATTTGAATAAGATTAAGATAGCTGCTAGTTTGCCTATTTTTTATGACTTGAGGCTTGTTAAGAACTATTCTAGTCTACTTGTCTATAGGTCTATACATATCGAGAGTCTTTTGTTATACTTACATACCCACTAGGTAGCTGCGAGTCTTATATCTATTTGTCTCATCTCTTACACCATCGTCTTTACTATACAGGTGGTAGGGATAATACGCATTTTCATCTAGGCTCTTTAAATAATAAAATGTTGGTAGGTCGCAGACTTCTGCTCGTTTCACCCAGATTTTAATACTGCTCAGGTGTTTAATAACTCACAAGAGTTATTTCTATTAACACCAACGCCCAAACGCTTAGTCAAGCAGCTTTCAAAACACTACCTAAAATACAAATAACATCTAAGTTCGTAAAAGCCATTTGCCAACTTGCAATAAATACAGATTATAAAAGATCAATTGCATATAGATTTGAAGGCTAATTTGAACATTTGCTAATGAATAATCGTTACTAGGTATAGTACTGTACTAGCTTCACCAATAATATTTTTACCACAATCTTGATAAACCATTATCTTTGTTTTAGTGTAAGCAGGTTAAGGTTTTGTTGCTCCTAGGGAATTTCATTGTATAATAGCACCTGGGTACTGAGGCAATGAGAGCGCTGGCAAGTTGTATATTGTATATACGTTAAATCAAATACCCTTTGCCCTTACCATCGTCCTTACCCTTTCCTTTCCCCTTTCCTTTACCATCGTCTTTTCCTTTTCCTTTTCCTTTACCATCATCCTTCCCCCTCCCCTTGCCTTTGCCATCATCTTTCCCTTTCCCCTTGCCTTTACCATCGTCCTTCCCCTTTCCTTTTCCTTTGCCATCATCTTTTCCCTTTCCTTTACCGTCATCCTTCCCCTTTCCTTTTCCTTTACCGTCATCCTTCCCTTTTCCTTTTCCTTTGCCATCGTCCTTTCCTTTCCCCTTTCCTTTGCCGTCATCCTTCCCCTTGCCCTTCCCCTTGCCCTTGCCCTTTCCATCATCTTTACCGTTTCCAAGTCCTCCACCCGTAATAAATATTTCATCGTCATATGGATAAGCTTCCACGGGATAGGCTTCGGCGCGCCCAGAGTCTCCAGTCACCACGTTACGCGCGTCTACTTCGGGATTGATATCACCCAACGATTTTGCCAGAGCGCTGCTGGCACAGGTGGCCACAAGGAGAGCGAGAGATGCCTTCATGGTTGCTTATATCTGTGGAGTTGTATGTCCTCTTTACTTTGCTGTCACGTAGAAAGATGTGCTGAAACAAACATGGCCAAGCAGATAATACGCTGGCTGTTCAGTTTATATACATGTATCAATGGAGTAGCGACCACAAAAAGGAATTGAGCACGTGCCCGCACCCATGCTAAGTTGGATCGAGTTACTCAACGTGGTCTTATTTCCTTAGGGTGACGAAGCATTCCCACCTGCAGCTTATTTCCCGCGCACAGATCACCTGTAGGCAGGCATTGAGTTAGAGCATGTTGAGGATAGCATCACTCTTTACGGAGTATATGGATACATTGCAAACATCAAGAGAACGGGGAGGACCGGCCATTGCCATAACAAGGTATAATATGCAAATAGACGCATGCAAGCAGTCATCCTATTACAAAGTTCTGTCACTTCGGGCAGCGAAGGGTACACACGTGGGGCTGAGAAACATCATTCTGTTAAACATGCATGTATTCCGTGTTACCTTATAGGTTGCTGCTGCAGAAACTGACTCATAGCTGCTAACAAACTGCGGAAAATTGCCTAGTGCATAAAGGTCATCTCGATATGGAGTAGAGTGATCGCCAGGAAGAGCCATGATCGGACTTTGTACCCGGGGAATTGCTTGTAGCACTGGGGCGGTGACGCGCGTATTCGATCAGCTGAGATTTCCCAGATTCTGTATTGATAGTGTGTTCATGTGGCATCAACAGCCGCTTTCTATTGGGTTGGGTGGTTGCAATTTTAAGCCTCGCCAATTCCAGGATTGGCAAGGTTCAATGTAAGGTTATTTTGATACAACGAATCTAACAGATGTTCGAGACTCTTACAGCGGTTGTCATACATGAACGACCCCTCATCTACTAGCTACATGCAGTTCTCTGCGCCTCACTATTACGCCTAAGTTCGCTGAAACGCCCGAAATATCTGCGACGAAGACGAACAGCTGGCCACTCGAAAGGTAACCGCCGGTAGTTCTGGACACATCAACAGATTCCTACATCAATTTTAGGCATCAGCAACAATTTGATAATCGAAACCTAAATACCCATTATTCTTATTAATGTTCTTATTAAAATGACACATGTACGAAACGCAGAGATAGATGTAGCTTCCATCTAGTTGGCTGGAACAAGAATCGGGTGTTTCCAATTACAGCACACGCGGCAACATTGCCTGTGCCATGAGCTGGGTTAGCCCCTAACACACCTGACGATCATACTTGATAGTCACATTGGCTTTTTTCTCTCTTTTTCTTATGTACAACTACGATTCGTTTTTTTTTTTTTTTTTTTTTTGGACCTCAATTCTAACAACTGCACAGTCACGTTGACAAGAGCTTTATTTATCCTACGAAAGAGCTATTGATACTATACTACTTATCCACGGCGTTATTCTTGAAGTTGAAGAATTGATTCCTAGATAACTAGGAACGCAAGATGAAGTTGATCATCATTCCCAATATACTCCCTTACGCAGCGGTGTCTTTGGCCTTCCAGCAGCGAATTATTTCCGGTGATGTTTGCACTTCGGCTTTATTTCAGGTCCCGCATTCTCAACAAGACCAGTTAGAAGGATGCAGATACTTTGGTCAGGATCGCTTGAATGCTGTCTCACTCACAAATTCATCATCCCCATGGACATCGCAAGACAATTGCCACAACAGCACTGAAACATTTTGCGTCTTTTCATCCAAGATTTTTGCAGGTGGTAGAGGCATATCCATTTTAACAACATCCGATCGCGCTGAGAATCTTCAACAGCTACCAGCATTTGTTGATGAAGATGCGTTATCAGGAGTGAATGAGCAACCGTCACCACCGTTCGAAGAAAAGGAGCTCCCTGGGAGAGGGCGTGGCCTCATTGCGAATAAGACGCTGCATCGTGGGGACAAAATATTTGCACATACACCCATCCTGATGCTGGACGGTGAGATTTTTGGAGAGCTAGAAACGGAAGAATGGCTGGAGCTGGAACATGCAGCCGTCAACAATCTCCCCCCAAAAACAAAGCAGATGTTTTCGGCACTATATGGCAGCCCTGTAACAGATCCAGTGAGTGATAGGATTGACACCAATGCTTTTGTGCTTGAGCTGCACGGGGTAACATATTACGCCGTATTCCCTGAGACAGCTGTAAGTGCAAGCTCTATATACTCACCGAAGCAAATGAACCATCAGACCTAACAACCAGCAGCGCCTCAACCATGATTGCCGCCCCAATGCGGCCTACTTTTTCGACAAAGAGACCCTTACACACTACGTACACGCTATCACGGACATTGCTCCTGGTACCGAGGTTACCATCACATATATTGATCCTCATATGTCGCGGGAGAACCGTCTCAAGAAGTTATCTTCCCTCTGGGGATTTCATTGTTCTTGCAGCTTATGTAGTCTTCACTCAGACCTGGCCCATGAATCTGACGAGCGCCTCGACCAGATTAACACCCTACGTGAGCGTCTGGAGGACTGGGAAACTGCGCCCCCACAAATGGCGCTGGCGCTTCTCAGTCTTTATGAACAGGAGCGTCTGCACGCTCCCTCGAGTTTAGCCTACTGGTATGCAGCTTTGACGAGTTGTGCGGAAGGCCAGTATTGGGACACCATACGATATGCGCGACTGGCGATCGAGTTGGGCATGCTGGATTACGGATTTAAAGATGAGGATTTCCAGCTCATGAGGAGCCTAGCAAAAGAACCAGAGAAAGAGACATGTTGGCTAACTAGATTAAAATGAAACCATCCGATATTAAACATTCTGTGAAACCATATGGTGATTGGCAATTACAGGAAGCATGTAACTTGGGCCAGATGAGATGGACAACATATATAGGATTTTGTTCCTCCTCAGAGTCGCCATCAGTATAGACCAGAGAAAAGCAATATTAGCAATATGAACTTTAAATGGTCATCAGTATGAAAGGTCTTGTTACACTAGCCCACCATCATTTTGGTTAGAATCGCTGTCGAATTTGCTACTTCTGCGGAACTTGGCGAGAAGTCGATGGATGGCCTCGTCTAATCGCCAATAGGGCGCATAGGACGCGGGAAATCCAATAATGATGATCAGAACTGAGATTGCGGTAGATACTGGGACTTCAGGGTGCATAATTCCGTCAGTTCGTTATTTCCAAGACGGGCAGCGTTTGAAAATGAGATCCATTCTGGGCAAGTTGGCGAGTAGCCCTTTGCCAGCGTTTCTAGAAAACAATTATAACTCACATGTAATTTTTGACACAAAGCTTAATGTCAAATTGTCGCTACCGAACTCTTTAGTAGGGATAGCGAAGAAGGCAGCGATGAAAGATAGAGGTTGCTATCGGCCAATTGCTGTTAGTACCTATTTCTACTAAATATCCAAATAGCGTTTCTTTTCTTCTCTCTCTGCATATGAGTGTCTAAAGGGAAGTGTTAGATGGTTGAGGGCTCACAAAAATAATGGTAACAATTGTAAACACCATCAGGGCTTTGCTCTGATTCCCACCCTCCTGCGTCATTACAGTCATTAAATGTAATTGTTCACCCTGAATAGGGGTATCGCGGGTGGCAATGACGTTGCTTTGTTTCTGTTTCATATCAACGAGGCTACTCAGCTACATTTTCCATCGTATTAGCTTGACGTCTAAATAATCATTCTGCTATTGTGTGCATGCCACCCATAATGCCTCAATATTCTTCCAGTTTTAGGGGCAGTGAAGGGGGGTGGATGTCAAAAAGAAGAGAAAGGTGACGAACCGCTTTATTGGTGTTTTTAGCGCGCTTAAGCATTTCTTGAATTTGGTTAGAATGCCGACGAACGGTACGAAGTGGAAGGCTTTGTTCCTGATGGCCCAAGCCCCAAATACTACTCCGTGTTACCACAGGCAAAATATCGATGCTGGAGGGGTAGTCGTAGTCTCTAAATCTGTCCTGAATCTCTTCAGAGTCGTATTCTTGCATCTTCCTGCTTCTAGGACCCCTTCGATAGTGCAACTTCGCGGGTTTCATATTGTCGTTTGTGTCGGAATCCCGTTGTTCCATGGTGCGAATGATCCGATCCATTGCTTTGAGAACTTCGTTCTGCTCTGTAAATACCATTTGCATCGTTTCCAGCTCGTTCTGAATATCCTTAATCTGGCTGAGAAGGGTAATCTCTCTATTTATGTCAAGAGCATAAAATCGACCAAACCTCTCGAGCAGCTTTCTGAGGTACTCATCCCGTCTGTTCTCGCCGTATATCTCTAGATTATTAATGTCCTCGATACTCGGAACATCCGATTCCAGAGAGTGCTCGCGATATTTGTGGCAAAGTCCCACGGAATCTTGAGGAACCTTCTCCTGTCGTAGGAGCCACTGAATGTTGTCCACGATCAGGTCTGCTGAACTTTGATAAGGATCATCTTTTTCCGATATGTTTTCAAGCTTCGTCATCCCTTCAAATTTATCCAAAATCTTGGTGCGAGTCTGCATCAAACTATTGAATGTGTTGAAGAGCAAGGTCTCTTCGTTCATCTGCACCACGGTGATGTAAGAATGATTAGCTGTCTGCAAAAGTCCATCTCGCATACAAATGGTTTGAAAAAGAACTTAGCGTACAATATCACTAATGGAGTTTTCATAAACCTCTGCAAAGTTTAGCATATCCGTGGAGTGATCAAGAAGTGCTCTTGAGCACCTGGTAGCAATAACCCCTGCAAGGTCGTATGGTGTTTTCACGGCATCGGGCCTCTGTTGGATGTAGGATCTCGTACTCTGTAAGACGTCGGTGGTGCGCCCTTGATCTAATATCGACCTCTTCTGAGTGAACAGCGAAGCCTTCAATTCAACGTCGGACCAATCTCTAGATGGGAAGCATGTGACGATCGCCTTGGCTTTCCCCGATTGATCAACGAGAATCCAAAGCCAAAGTTGATCCACCATAATGACTGTCAACGGATCTTCCACCTCCGGTTGCGTTTTTTTATTTAACTTCTTCTGATATCGGTGAACGGTTTGATCGGCATCTCGAATTATCGTGTCTGTCAAATTGTGATATAGATATTCGTCCAAAGTCCTTCGAATATGGAGAACGTGACGAAAGTTGAGATCGTGATTACTTTCAGACAGCAGGTATGTTCTTAATAGCATCTCATCCTTTTCCGATTTTTCAAGATTCTCGGAGGGCTCATTCCGCTCACGGCGAGGGAAGGTATCTCTACCAGAAACCCCTTCTGCTAGGAAATTTGATCTGTTTTGCATTGCTTCTTCTTCATCCCAATGAAGATAAGGCATCTGCTCTTCCCATTATTATATCAGCGGCTGTACTGATAATACACGGAATGAGCCATAAAAGATACTAACGTAGAGAACCACATGTCTATCTTTTTTAAGATTTCCAAATCCTATTATCCATATCAGTATATTACTTCACCACAAAGACAAGAAAGTATATCTAGCCATCGCTTACTATCACTCTCTTTATCTTTGAATGCCTCTGAAAAGTCGTGGCATGCTGGCATCATGAAGCGAGCGTGTGGAGAGCCTCTTGCTCCTTCATGTTGTCTCTTGACCCATCGATTTGGTTCCAGGACCTTATAAGCCAACGAAGGGTCTTCGTGATAGATTTTGCAAATAAAGCCTTTTTTTATGTTAGTAAATTACCCTCTTTATTTTCTCTTTTAAATTATGTATTCGTGAGTAACTCACCTCAGCCCATTTCATCTGTATTAAAATATACGCAAAACAATTCATTGATCTCAATAGAATTCATTGGAAAAATTATGCTATTACTTACATTGTTCGCTGGCAAGTGAAACCATTTAAAATTATGAGCTTTCCTATTTAGCGAAAAAAAACCGTCTGGTTTCCTCATTAAATCAGTTACACTTAGCTCTTCAAATTCTGGGGTTTTCTCTTCGTGGAAAGTGACTACTGTTGCTTCAAAGTGCTTATCAACGTTTGGATTCAGGTCTGTCGAGGATGCCAACTTTCCGGTACCCTTCTCGAATTCGAGAAGCCTGACAGTTGTTGAGTCTTTCTCTCTGGTCGCGGTGGTGAGCAGCTCCTTTTTGAAGTCTACCCTGGCCAGGACTCCGGCTTGTAATAGTGCTCGAATAATACTGTGCCTGTGTTTTGCGACCGCAAGTCGTAAGGCGTCCTCGTCCCCAGCACCATGAGTAATAAGGAACTCCGCAACCTTGGTTCTGTTCGCTTCTATTGCGCTCATAAGCGGCGTCGTCTTATGATTAACTTCCCCGTCAACCACCACTTCGACTTCTGTGTGAACTTTCGCACCGCGCGATTTTAAAACCTGAACAAGACTGAGGGCTCCTGTGCCTGCTGCTTGCACCATCTGGCGTGCTAGCCATTCTTCCCTCTCAGTCTCTTTTTCGAGCCGCATTTGGACCAATTTTTCGATAATTGCTGTTTGGTCTTTGCGTACCGCTATGCTGATCTCGTCTTCGATGTCTTTTTTTTCGAGAGAGGGCATGTTTTCTAGTGAAGGAATCTTGCCGAATTCAAGTATCTCATCCTTTAATGTCCCAAAATATTTGAGCAGTATAAGGAAAGAAACAAACACTCGTGTATCGTCTTTAAGTGCAGCAGCTTCGAGAGGTGAAGGCCCCTGAGTAGTCTTTTCTCTAGCCTTAGCGCTACCACCTTGATGTAGTGCCCGTCGGATTACAGAAGTCTGGCCGGCGAAGGCTGCACATGAGAACGGTGTCATCCCGAATTCATCTTCCACATAAAGAATGGATGGGTCTTGGTCAAGATATGCGGCAAACATGTTTTCATGGCCAAGTGCTGCGGTCCAACATAGAAGCCGTTGAAGTCTTGCTTCATTCGGAGATGGCGTTATATCAGGGAGGGTAACACTATTAAAGGCACGACTGGGTCGGCTTTTCCCATCCGTGGTAGACAAACTGGCCATGGACGCAAACACTTCCAAGTTTGACGGATAAGCGTTGAGAAGCACCACGATTCTAATATTGATTGAATCATTGCTTTTATAATTGTTTGGCTGAGGTATTTCGATATCAGCCTTTCCATCTTTGAAAGCATCCGGCTTTATTTTGGGGTCATGGCGGTTTGAACCGTTCAGCAGTTTCTTAATGTCGTTGTCGACTGTGTAGTAACCCACTTCTGCGTGTTGTATCGCAATGGGTTTATGAAACCCGTCTTGAATCTGTATCGTAAAAGAGAGGCTGAACTTGGCAACCAGATTTTTGCGACCGAAAATAAAGTCTGTAGGGCAGTTTAAGTCGATAGAAACTAGAGCTCCATTTATTTGATTCTCGGAGTGAGCAATCGAGGCGGTTGTATCGATGATGTCGATATCGTTGGTCAGATGCTTTGGACTGCGGATTTGCATAGTGAACGTAGTGTTTTTGAGAGCTCGATTTTGCCTGTGCGGGGTATATAGAGAATTAATCTTGCAGTATCTAATGTTTTCACATACAAGATGGATCGTAAAGAAAAGATTGAAGTGTACCGCAGTGTAGAGTACCGGATTTGATCAGTGAGCGTCTTTACACGTAGGTACCTTATATATATACATTCACAACAGCGAGTGCTTCCCAGCTGCGGCTGTATACTTGCAAGGATTGGCTCACTTGCTATATTGGTATTACAACATGCGCAATGCGTCCAAAAAAAGCAACCAGATAATAGACCTACGGGAAGGCTTTCCCGAGCTGTTTGGCCAGGTTTGTTACTGCCAAGTCACCTGCATATGCAAGGGAGAACAAGATTCGAATTAGAGTCGAGCGTTGGCCCCTGGGAAAGATAAGTAGGCATCCAATTGAATGCCTGTTCAACCCACCATAGTCTTTGAATGTACATGTATAAGGACAATGCAGAGCTGAATTCCAAGCCTCACACTGTACGCCGAGGATGGCTGTATTGCCCAAGTGCGCATGCATGCGTTATTCCGCCCACTCATCTCTGAGACCAAGATCAGAATAGCTAGAAATCAGAGGCGCAGGCAACTCAGGCTCTCTGTATACAAGCTGACACCGAAGAGGACAGCTGCATCCGAAATAAATTGCAGAAGGATTGAGAGTCCCTTTTTGGTTACGCCGGGTTGCACCACATTATCAGCTATACCCGATCCTTCGCTCTCTCGTATACAATACAATGATCCAGCCAGCCATGACCGGACGTATCCCTGAAGAGCCTCCGTCAGGCGACCAATGAGACTGAGGGAGAGATTCGGGCGCCTCAGCCGCCAAGTTACCTCGGTGCAAGCACAACCAGTATTTTCTGGTTGATAATTTATGCTGCATGCGGCTTAGAAATACTGGGACATGCCTCCAACAGCTCTCTTGTCATCGTGAAAGGTGTAGAGCGTAACACTGGGACTCGAACGTTGGGTGAGGTTTTACTTCGTGTACTCCGGACATTCAGTTTAGAGAGACTTATTTTACTTCAGAAGTCTCTTGGTTTATGAATTAAAGGCAGGGTAGAGTTATGTGTCATATACCGTAAAGCTGCGCTCGTTGTTTTTACCTGCGGTTGCCTTTCCGTGAGCTGAGACAAGGAACAGACGCCTTACCGTCACTCCGACCTCTTTCTATGAGCTATCATATTGAGTTAAGTGACAGAAAATATCAGTATACGCCGAAGTGTTACACTGTGCGCAGAACCCTTGAAGAGGCTGAGATTCCTTGATAAAGAAGGTACGGCTGGCGCTGTTCAGCTGGCGAGGGGGGTACTACAATAGCCATGGGTGGAGCTCATGCCATTGGTCACCGTAGACGATTCAATGTATGATGCAATGCAGAGCCCAGCCTCGTAATTTCGGTCATGGCGTTTGTGTGCAATACCACGATCGGAAGACTGACTGTAGTAAAACAGCATCCGAAGTTGTTTAGAACGCTACAACCGACGGGTATGAGGCTGTCCATCGCAACTACCAACCACAATGGTTCCATTTCCTCTTGAACGAAGAGTCACTCGAATAAAGAACAACAAAGATAGTAATAAGAAGCGTAATACTACTGCTGAAGGTTGCAGAACCTTGCTCAGTACTGATCTTCACGAGGCGCCTACCTGTATCTTGGCGCAACATGAGGAATAAGTCGTACTAGAAGACTCGAGAAGACAACATGAATGTTTGTCATCAGGTTTTATGCTGTCGCTTTTATCTCCAAAAAAGGATATCGTCTCGCTAAACGTCTTCATGAGAAAGTATAGTATGGACTCATCTATTAAAACGCAATGTATTGAAATGATTAATGATCTGAACGCGATGTCCAGTAGCAATGACACCGACGGCTATGGGGCTATGGCCATCTATTCCCGAATGGTACGCAACGTACATTGATACCTACATGTATGGATGCCCAAATCCTTCTCATCAATAGCGGGGAAGCTGCCAGCTATTGCGGCTGCAACTGAGATGCGGAAGATTTCCGACGGTAGGGAGTGCAAGATACTGTATATGGTCTTGTGATCCTCTTCCAAAAAAAAGAAAAGAAAATCCTCGGCTGAGAAGTTGTCCGCAGATGGTGGGGAAACATCAATATTTGGCTCTACCCTGCATCAGCCTACCCATCTCAGAGTGTATCTCGTATCTCTGCGGCTGTATTTAATCGGCTGTAGCTGCTCGAATATAGCTTGTGGTAATGTTCTAGTCTTTCAATCCAAAGGCTAGATATCACACCTTGGTCGAACCAGTTCCCTTGGCTTGTTTATATGGAGCTTGACCAGAAACAAAGCTCCTTTGTTGTACCCCGGCGGCTCTAATGCCTCGGGTGAATTGTCTCGGTGACAAAGCTACATCGCCAAAGAGGAATAAGTTAGATATTTAAAAGATCGGTGGGCGCCGTCTATAATCAAATCGAGTCGTTAACGGATTGAGCAGTTCCTGTCTCTAGCTAGACGGGTCGATCACTCCATCTCAAGCTTTATCTTGGCCTGCCAGTTGATCAGGTACAGTGGATGCATGGATGCTAAATAGCCCCCCCTCTTTCCACACAGAGTATGTCACAGTATGTGCACGTGAGCGTTGTGCTTTCTTTCTCCCTTGTTTTATCACCGTTGAACAAGATCGGTCAATACATGCCTATATATATCATTCTTCGCATCTTCATGTTCTACTTTCAAGCTTCTTCTAACAGTTCATCACCAACGTCTTGCTCTCTCAATTGGTTCAAGCCTCACGTCATCAAGCTGCTTTTAATAACCCACCACTAAACCTTAAGCATGCTAGCTACCCTAGATCCGTGCGGCGGGGCATTTTTTAGACGCGGCAGTGGGCCCCTCCATTTGGAAGCTGCCGTCGGTCCGTCCAATTCGCGCCCAGTCTCGACATCCTCAGCTCATGACGCTTGACTCTGTCGCTGCATCTCGCGATCAGAAGCATTTCGCCATCCAATATCCGCCTGCTATTGCTATTACTGATCTCCGGTCCCTGTATGCGCTGTGAATTCAGGCGCCAGCAGCTTACTATTTCTCTCTTCTCTCACTGTATTGGCTATCGCGCATCACTCAGTTGCTACTTTATTTCTTTTTGCTCGTCTTCGCGTCGCCTGGCCTCCAATGCTGTAACCCGCGCACACCATCCGTCGCTGTTGTCGCAACGGCACCTTGATAAACCGCAATTCTCTGCAGGTGCTGGAACGGATTGCGACACACAAAGCAAAATCTGTTGATGAAGGATTCTACCTTGCGGGACTGGCGACAAAGACGTCATTTGTTCCCGGTCAAAGTGAAACATCCAATCTCATCAAGATAACCACGAGCGCACCCTCCATAGCGCCTCCCCCAAGACAAGCATCATGGAGAGACCGCGGGGCCTGAGTGGCATGACCTTTGGCGAAGCCGTGATTATGGACAGCGAAGACAGCAATGGGCGGCAGCAAAACGCCGAAGCTGCACCCACTGCTGCCCAATTCCGATCGCCAATGACATCTAGGACCCGCTCGCTGTCCGACAGCACTGGCACGCCGTCGAAGCTTTCGCCCAGCCCGAGAATCGTCGAGACGTCGAGACGGACCTCCAAGGATGACAGCAGCATCACCCACCTGCCGCCGCCCGAGACACCGCGACGCTCGGAGCTGAGAGGCCTGTCGATCCAGATGCCACCACGGCAATTCACTCCACCACCGGGAACCCCATCCGGTGCCTACATACGGCCAGCTCCGTTGTCGCCCAAGCTGGATCACTCGCATACCTACGCTTCTCCCACCAATCTCTTACCCCGCCGCTCCCGTGGCCTCGATTTCTCGCGCGCTGCGACTAGCCTCCATCATTCGATGCTGGCTGAGCAGCCTTCGCCGGACTCGTCGCCAATGATTACAGACCGAGCGATGAATATTCCTCCTCGACGAGGGCCATATGGAGGGACAGAGCAGACGTCGACGTCATTGTGGTCTATGATGGGCAACCAGGAACGGCTTAATATCAGCACTTCACTGGGAAGCAACCATGCCCATGCCCCACCGTCAGACTCCTCTAGCTCTTCCTCTGAAGATGACGACATGGACGAAGACATGGACGAGGCCTATGTAACGACTCCCCAAGTGTCCAAGATGGGCATGCCTCCGGCGCCAGGTTCGCCCTCGATAGGTAGTCTTGCAAGCTTCCAGCACCGGCAACGGCACCACCGCAAACATCCCAAAATGAAGCCTCGCGGTCCTCTTGGCCTTGGATTCAACCTCGCTTCCGCTGTCCTCTCCAAGTCACCACCGACCAATTCAGCTGCGGCACGAGCTAGACGGGAGAGCATAAGTTGGCAGGCAAATCAACTTCATATCTCGTCGGGAGATATGGATGAGGGCGGTGCCGCAGAGGGGAGCAGTAGCGACCAAAGGAATGTGATACGCCGAGTTGTAACTCGGCGGGGGAATCTTCTGGTAAGAATTTGATTTGACTGGGGAATCACCGTCTACATTTTATCCATAAGCGACCCAGCTAACTGGTTTCTAGCCCAAGGCGAAAGCATTTGCGCGCATCCGGGCAGCGCTTGCTGAGGAGGGGGCACCAGCTGAAGCCGAATTCATAAGGGAGGCAGAAATCGTAAAGCAAGTCCGGGAAAGCGATGTCGACCTCGAGCCTCGTCATCAGCCCACAGGAGGGGATACAAATGCCATGACGACGGCTCACTCATCGCCTAATCTGGCCGGGAACCAGGAGACCCTAGAAGATATTCCGGCAGATGACTCAATGGGCGAGTTGGGCGCGAGTTTGTCGAGTAGCTTCAAACAGCATGCCATGAAGAATTCCAAAGGCAAGCAGTTTTGGGATACCTTTTCCGAATCCAGCGGAGCACGAACGCCTCCTCCTGCATCAGCCCTTTTACCTCGGGGTTCATCATCGGGGATGAGTGAGGATACTAATATGGACTCACCCTCCCTAAGCTCTGCTGCTTTCCATGTAAGTATTTCACCTCTTTTCGCGCCGTTCTAAAGCAATATCTAACACATAGGATGATTAGAACGGCCAATTGCCTAGCGCAGCAGAAATTACGCGGCGAATCAACAACAAACGCCGTCGAGACGACGACTTTGACCCGACAAGCTTCAAACGCCGTGCCGTCAGCCCCAGCATCAGCGCGCACAACTCGCCCGTTGTGCAAAGTCCAATGCAGCGCGACGTGATGCCATGGGGCTCACGGCCAGGCAGCACCGGCGGCGATAGGGGAAGCAGTGGCCAGAGCGAGTCGGGGAGCTTGGGCGGAACGCCAGCGAATCCCCCCATAGGCTCGACGGGCCAAGTCAGCAGGAAGGGGAGAGTCGGATTGCAGGGGATGGTTGATACGAACGACGGCATCATGCGCATGAGCATTGAGTGAATATCGGCGGGCGTATCTGGGCGGGTTACATGCTTCGCATTGTATTCAGGATCTCGGCATGGGTGTACGGTGGGAGATGGGAAAGGCTTTATTGCATTGTACGGCGTTGGCGATCCTGCCGGAATGGACTGGCAAATGGGATCTATGGGAATTCGGGACAAGGTGTATTAACTCATGTATCAAAGGGGCGGCTTAATCATGTATTATTATTTCAAGCGTTGACACATCATATAAGAAGCTGAATATGTACATTTCCATACATTAATTTGGTCGTGGAGATGTCAAAGAAGATGAATGAGTGATTGATAGAATCTACTGCTTTCGTTGCTATTCGTTCTGGTATCTAATCCTGAATGCGTCGAGTATTACAAGAAATATAATTATAACTGGGTGTTTTTTCCGTTTTGCTTCTTCACTGGGCAAATGCATAAAAAAAGCCGCACAATCCAACGCCAGCTGGTTTCCTACCAGCATATGATGCAATCTCTCTTCATCTTCCAAACACAGAATCTTCCCGTCTTTCACACAACCTCCATCTTAAAACTCGACAACACCGATGCCCTCTTCGGGGACTCTGAGCGTTCCGAGCTTTTCGTCCAACCACCGCGCCAGTTCGGCGGCCTGTCTCCTCATCGCAACTACAGGCGGAGCGCTCGCGCTCTCCAAGCTCGATGTTGTCATGCCACCCGCGCTTATCAAGCTTTCCACCTCACTGGGGCTTCCAACGCCGTCCCCGTTTTCATGGTGAGCATGTGACGACGTATGGTGGAGATCCTGCAGACTATACGCAGCGGGACCGACACAGACGAAGAGAAGACCGCATTTCAGACGCCGGATAATGACGGTACCTTCGCTAAGCTGGACAGTAATGGTAACGGGCCTGATGGTGCGCCTTGGCCGCTGCTTGGATCGCGCTGACTCGGTCGCGTGCGGGCCGTCGGCATCCTCATCCTCGTCCTGGCTAAGATGGTGGTGGTCGTCGCTTCCATGGGGACTGCCGGGCGAACTGCTCATAGGATCGGGCGTGCGCGATCCAGGCAGCGCAGTCGGGATGGCGGCCGAGGAGGATGTGTGGATGGCGAGGAGGGAGGCGGCGACGGTGGCGTGGGTGCGCAGGACGGAGACGGGCTGTGAGGAGGCGTGCGCGAGGAGTTTGCCTTGGGAGGTGGTGAGGAGGAGAGTAGGCAGATGGGCGGTCTGGTGGGAGTGGAGGAAAGTGTTGAGCCTCTTGGTGAGGAGGAGAGGCGGCGTGGCGCTGGGGACGGACATGGCGACGGTCGGGGGTTTTTCTATGGCCGTGGTTTTATTGATACTCGTGAATTTTCTTGGTTCCCAGCGCTTTTGGAGTTGTCGGCGAGTGTTTCGGGTAGTAAAAGTAAGGGAGAGCCGAACCCGCAGCGGGAGGGAGAAAAAGAAGCTGAAGTTGAAGAAGAGGGAGAAGACGAGGAAACGAAGCGAGGAAGCCGGCCGGACGGGATGCGCGTCACGAGCCGTTTGCTCTCGCTCGCTCGCTTGCTTGCTCTGGACCTTTCGCTCTCCCTGGACCAGTCGGAGCGCAGCGTCTGAGCGCCTCTTTTTTTTCTTTGTCTCTCACGCGAGAGTTTGTGTAACCCTCGTGAAATTTGAATTACGAGACACACCCGCTCTAAAAAAGTGACGACCCGAGGTTGGGAGGAAGAGGAGCTGGGGGAGAGCAGAGGTGAGCCGGTCGGATCGCAAGGGCCTTATGGGGAGAGGAGCTTTAGCGGGTTTCTGGTTTGGTTCTAGCGCTGCGCGGAGAGACTTCGCCAAGTCCCGCAGTTCAATCACGAGCTAATGCTGGGATTGGGTTTGGCTTTGAGTTTTGTGTGTTTTGCATGTGGTGAGAAGATGGGATATGGGTGAATGTTGGGATATTAGAATAGGTGTTAATGGGAATGGGTTCTCCTGAGTGCTTTTGTGGGGTTCGTTGGATGGCAAACTTGGTGATTGTATCGGATTGTTCTTTTGGGATGTTGGCAGCAGGACTAACAGGTGAATGGAATTTGATGGCAGAGGACACGAATCACTGTTAGAGTTCGGCCAGCACGAAACTTTGCTCAATATCGGAAATGGAATACGAATGTATCAAACAGTAAAGCTCATCTACACCCTCGGCAAACGCTATCCAAAACCAACATCAGGCTCTCCTCCACCTGTTCGGCGTACATTATAACAACAAGATCCTCTCTGCAGATCCCCCTGTGAGGATGCGCGATATTCCACCAGCTCCCACTGCTTTAGCCGCATGCGCTGGAAGCTAAAATCCCCGTTTCATTAGCTCAGCTCCGCGGCCCAGTTTAATCCCCATTCGTTTTCTCTTTTCTCCATCATATCTTCATCTCCATCTCCGCCTCATATCTCGGAAGCATGCCGTCCTCAATATCCTTATAATTCTTCCCCTCTTCAGTGCCATTCTTCCACTCTCGATAGTAATCCATCACCATCTTGGTTCGAGGCAGAACCTTTGTGATTTTTCTCCTGCTGTCTGGTTTCAACAGATCCATCACCACTCGCTGTAATCCCGCCGAGTATCGCGTCATGGACAATTTATCGGAGGAGGGAGAATTTTCACCTGTCATCATCGTAAACAAGACTTTGCCGACAGAAAAGAGTTCATCGGCGATTGTGTATGGGTAGTTGTCCTATACTGCAATCAGTATCTCCTGATAATTCTTGGGAATGAAATAAAGATGAGGATGAACCATTTGATTCCATACATACCGCTGTATCTGCTGTAACACTTGTGCGCAGCTTGTGGCGCAACGTATCCAACGACTCAAACCCTCGCCGCGCAGCCATTGCTATGCTGACCTCTACATCTTCATCCACAACATCTGCTTCATCATCGGGAGAAATGACATGATTCGTGACGGCTGCATGTTCAAAGTTGCCCAGTTTACACAGTCCATACGTTTCACTACCCCGTGGATGCTGAAAGAAAATGTTCATCGGTTCAATCGCACGGTGTAAAATCGGATTCCAATCTTGATCCACCGGCAGCCATTGCCGTTCTCCTCCAGCCGGTGCCTTTGTATCTAGAAAGAGGCGCTTCCCATCGTGGAGATATGTAATGGAGTTGAGAAGCGATGTCAGGACATGCCAGCAGAGTGACTCGGGGAGATAGAAATCAGGAGGAGACCTGCTGCGTCCCATACACAGGAAGATACCACTGAGGTTTCCTGCATCGCAATAGTCCCACACGATGTAATTCCTTGGACGGCTAAGCTGAAGTTCGCCAGCTACTGGAGCGGTACCGATAAAGGGATGGGTCTTTATGTGGCCGGCGATGGAGATGATGTTTTCGTGATTGAAGATTTGAGCAATGGCATCGCCAAGGTTCGAGTTGTACATTAGTTTGTGAAATGCGGCATCTTCCGCGTCCTCTTGACCAGATCCATCGAGAATTCTAAGAGGCTGGGCAATGTATTTCGGGAAGCCATATTCGTTCCTCTTGGTGGCAAACCAGATACCCTGTTCAGTTTCGTAGAGGAGCTCAAAGTCGGAAGTGTTGAAGTCGTTTATGAATGGCATTTTCAGTGTTCAACCAGAGGAATGGATGCATGTAATTGACAGTCATAGAATATCGAAGAGTGAGATGCCGAAAGAAAAAGTCGAAGTGAATTGAAGACGATTTGTCTGAAAACCCAGAACTGAATCCATGTAGTCTGTTCATGCTAAATATATACTTAGCAGGTATGAATCAATAATACAATGACAGGACATTGTTGACAAAATTGCTTTGTCTACATGTATTAAAGCACCTTTTACTAACAACTTCCATCTTTGTCCGTCCCCGCAACATCCGTGCTTCCATGTTCTTTGACTCAACACCACTCATTGTTCCGATTACATTGCAGTATGTCACCACAGAAATCGTTCCATGCTCTTTAGACTGTTAATCATTCAAGCAAGCACATGTTTATGTTCATTCTGTCGGTTTCCGGCCCTGAACATTGCCACTCTACAGCCAAGTGAATGTTGCCCAGCGCCATCGTAGTGACATAAAAAGCCATGAACTTGCTGTTTCTTGATCAGCCTGTGATCCTGCTTAACACCAATCCTGCTCTACCATCTTGTTGTCATCATGGAGCCAATTGTGTACACTATCGCCGAAGATGGGGATACAATCCTCGTACTCGAAAACGTCAACCGAGCCATCGGAGCACAACAAGATGACCCAGTATGGGAGAATGCGCTACCGGATGTGTTGGTCGACGAACCGCAACTTGACGAATTCAAGGTGAGAGGAGGCCATGTATCAGAGGACGCTAACAGTCAACGAGAAATCTGGATGTTACTTTCATCAAAGAAGCTCGCACCTGTATCGCCGATCTGCAGGCAAATGGAGCCCAACAACCAGCCAGAGATTCGACCCTTCAAGTTTACGTACAAGTATCTCTTCGTCACCCGACACTGGGATGAGAAGGCATTGGAAATGGTGATGAACATAATTCACGGCAAAACAGTCAACATCCCCGAAAAGATTAGCCTGGAGAAACTTGCTAACATCTCCGTTATTGTTGATCACTTTCAATGCCACCAGACAGTAAAGCCCTTTGCGGACAAGTGGATTGCTCGTCTGGAGGAGCCCTATCCTACCTGTTATGGGCGGATTCTTGTGCTCAGACTCTACATATCTTGGGTGTTTCTAGACAGCTTCGACTTTGCCGCCTTTACGAAGATAGTTATTCGAGAAAGCAGGGGCCCCATGCATACGCTGGGCTTGCCGATACCAAAGAGCGTCATCAGTAAGTTCCATCCCTGGTTACATGGACCCAGGTGCATGTAATTCACATCAAACAGTCAGACAACTAACTACTTCATTTCATAGCCGGGATTGATAAGACGAGACAGGGCCTCATTGATAAACTCTTTTTCGACCTCTACGCCATGAAGAAGAAACTATCAGAGCCGTCGCGCCTTTGCTCATCCAACTATCCGTCTCACACCACTGTTGGCTGCGCTACGCTTCTGCCTGATGCTCTCGTGGAAGGTATGAAAGATGTTGGCATAACATCGCCCCCACAGCGACCATTCAACGGGTACAGCATTGCGGCTCTTGAAAAGGCTCTTCGCGGGTTCCAACAGCCGGGCCTGGCGACCTTGATGTGGTCATGCGAGCTCCATGGCTCCAAGATCTTTCTACCCACAGAAGTCTGTGCGGTGCTCAGCAAACAACAGTTTGACAAAATAGAAGGTCTGGAAGTGTACAAGTTCCATCGCTACTGAGGAATGATGGCATGGGTTGAGACCTTTTTGTTGGCCGGGATTTACTTGGATTTTTAGCTCTAGTCATTGATGTTTGCAGTTGCGTTCAGCTTTATCTGTTAGTTGCTTAGTCCATTGAGGTACATGTAGAGGCAGCTCATCCCAAGGGTGATGCCAAATATATAGCCTAAAATGCATGCCTTCATTCCATCCATTCTAATTAAATCCACCGGCACGGAGCTGATGTCATAGCGTGTTTCAAAGCGACGGTGCTGAAAGCCAGACTGACGGTACAATCACCTTTGTACCATGAATGCCTCTCGAGCTTATCGCGGGAGGTTCGTTGTGTGATGAAGGGAATGAGTTGGGTGAGTTAGCGTGGCCTGTGACATTCAGATAAATTACCCGCCCATCTTTGCGTTATTATCTCAACCACATGCAATATTACTCGTACCCCACGTTTGAAGACATGGGATGTATTCCATTCTTTTCCAATTCAATTCAATTCAATTCAATTCAATTCTGTTTTTATCAACTGGATGACACTTGACAGAAAACAAAAACGACCCAAGCACGAGGCCAAGCGCTGCTGATTGTTTATTGTTTCCGCCCCTTGGCATCCAAACTGACAGACGGCGCCCAACCGAATCAAGTGCACGGCACGCACCTCGTCCGGTTTGACAACGTTTGGGCGCTTGAGCACGCAAATTCCGAAACAACTGGACACAACCGAGCAGCTGCAGGGGTATCGCTGAGGCCAATCACGGGCCAGAGGTGCCTGAGCGTCCGCTGATATGCTGAAGCGATCGGCCAGTGAGCGGCGTCTGCAGGGGGGTTTCAAGATGCCTCTTTGGGGGAAGCGGGCTTGCCGCTAGAGGGCCTGGGGGGCCAGGGATGTTTTGTTACATGAGATGGGATTGATGGAGATGAAGCCGTTTGTGAGATGAAGATGGAGGTTTCGCGGGAATAGGGCCTGTTGTATAAGTCCCTACCCGCGGATAGGACAATGATCCATGTAAGAGTGTGCTGTAGTCTAGGCCTAAGTGCTGGGGGATGGTTATCAGCGCTGCAGATCAATGTGAGGCCCTCTCAGCTACGGTACGACTCGACGTTTCCCTTTGATGGCTCCCTTTCATCTACTATATACTAGATACTATACAAGCAGCATGAGCATGAGTGTGATTGAGACAAGGTACAGCTGCACTAGCAGTAGCGATTAGAGTGTTCAATCACCCAGTTCATCTCATTTCATCTCAGTTGGTTCATTTAGTAGAGATCGCAATAGCAATACAGTAGCACCTTGGCAGAATAAGAACAATGCCCACCGCCCAGAGTACATCAATACAATCTGTATGATATCCCCAAGCATTGCATCTGCATTCTCCTCTCATCCCAAAACAAGCATCTCTCGTCCAAACAATCGACACTCCTTTGCCGCTGTCATTTCTCTCCCCGATCCGGAAACGAAGCCATTGCCCACCCCCAGCCATCTTGACACACGCTCAAGGGGCCAATCTGAGACGGCCAAGGCCCGCCTGCAAACCGCTCCCTCCCGCCTCGCCTCACCTTTGGGGGCCTCTCTTTTAGCTCTGGCCGTTCCCTTCCTTCGCCCATCCCGCTCTGCTTTGCTGCACGCTTCGCTGGCCGATCGCAATTCGCCTCTTTTTTTCCTTTCCTTTCGACGGGGACCTGCAGGTGTGCGGCGCGTGCGCGGGTGTATTCTAGCGCCTATTCGTGAGGTGAGCCGCTTGTGAAGCGCTCCTCTCTGTTGTGTGCCCACTCATGCCGGCCCTTGTGTCGCTTTTCTTTTTCTTCTTGAAGACGCCCGTCGTTTTCATTTCAGACTTCCGGTGACACTTCATCGCTGGTTTCGTCGGTCTTTTTTTTTTTTTTTTTTTTTTTTGAAGGGAGCGCCGTCGAAACTTCGCAGGCGAGGGACGACGAGTGCTATCGGCAGGACCGTACAAACCAACACTCTCTACGCTTCGACTTCTTTGACTTCTTGTTTTCTTTGTTTGTTTTCTATCTTTAGTACTACTTTGCGTTCTCTTTCGCTTCATTTTTTAGCCATTTCGAAGTCGATTTGTCGCATATTCTCTCTTTGACCCAATCCGAATACCCCGCTGTTTGCTCATTCCACATCGCCAAAATGGGTTGCCTCAGTCATCGCAGCAAGGAGACACGGCAATATACTGACCAAAAATGGGATTACATTAACCTCTCCGACTTCAAGGCCAAGGGCTGCGGCGCCGTCTTTGCATACATCACCCTCTGGATGGGCCTCATCATCTCCCTCACCGTCTACGGAGTCGATACCTTTACTGCTGTCCAATTGCTTGTCTTCAACCGATGGTCGTCCGAGATCGAGCCCGCCATTCCCTTTTCCGTTTCGAAATGGATCTTTTCAGTTTGCATCATTTTGTCCTTTGTCAACCTTGGATTTGAATGGATTCGGGCAGCTCGAAAGATTAAACGAGGAAATGTTGCCGAGGTTTATCTTGACAGTCTGGCTGTCCGCTGGGAGTCAATCCGTCTGGGGTCTGGCCAAGGTTTTAAGCGATTCCTTGTCTTTACCGAGCTCACCAAGAGTAAAAAGGGCGCCGAATACATTGCCCTGTTTACTTACTTTAGCTTTCAATGTATGTGCCAGCAATGGGATGAAGTTCCCTCCTGATTAGATGCGTTTTTGCTAACTTACACAGCCTGGATCCGAGTTCTATTCTGTACAAGCCCGCGACAGGTAGTCAATGCCTTGACTCTCAGATCTGTCTATCTCGCCAAGCTCGCTGTTAGCTCAAACTCAGTCGGAGGCTCTATCTCGGAATTCTTTGACAAGATCAAGACACTTGCGCAACAAGACTTTCGACAGGCTGCCATTCTTGGAGGCATGTGCTTCACATTGGTTGTCTGGGTCTTTTCAGCTCTGTACTTGCTTTCCGCCGTCCTCTTCTACGTCTGTTTCCTCTTTCACTGGATTCCCCGCGCCGACGGTGGCCTGACAGGATACTGTGAGCGAAAAGTCAACAGCGCTCTGCTCAAGATTGTGACCAAGACGGTCAACAAGGCACTCGCCAAGGGGCAGGCAGACAGGATGAAGAGAGCCATGACCGAGAAAGGCGAGGCTCACCCAGACACATCGCTTCCAACACTACCAAATGTCGGTATCTTCGCGCCACAGCAACAAACTGGTGTCACTGCACCTTTGCCCGCGTACACGTCGAATCCAGGGACCCCGGTCGGAGACTTTAAGCGACAGATGCCCCCGCGAAGCATGACGGGAGCCTCAACCATGAGCTATTCTTCTCGGGCTCCACTGGTCAGTTCCGCTGCCGATATGGGATACTCGAATAACACCAGGTCGGCCTCCCCCGAAGACATGCTCCCAGCCATGCCGTACCTGCAGAGGACTGGGACTGGGGACTCTATGAGAAGCACAGACATGAACCACATGCGTTCTGGCTCAAATTCTTCATATGGTCAGCCGCGTTCTCAAAGCCCTCCAAGCAATGGTCCTCGGCTGGATATGAGCCACATGCGGACTGGCTCAAACTCATATCGACAGCCATTCTCTGAAAGCCCCGCGAGCATGGGTCCGGCGGCTGCATCGTCAATGTACGCGCCGTCGACAAGGTCAATTCCGTCGCGTGTCCCCGACCAGTATGGCAATCGTCAGCAGATGCAAGACGATGCCCAATCTTTCCGAGGTCCGCCACCCAGGTCATATACTTTCAATAATGAAATGCAAGACGATGCCCAATCTTTCCGAGGTCCACCACCCAGGTCGTATACCTTCAACAATGAAGGTCGATCCAGCCCAGCACCATCCGCGGCAGGGTCATCTTACTCAAGAGCCCCTCAGCAACCCGTGAGAAGCGCGACAAGTCAAGTGCCCTTGCGTGGGATGCGATTCACTCCTCAGAGGGTGATGACTGAGCCAATGTCTAGCCGTGCACCGGGAGACAATTCCTACAGCGGAAATGGATCACGGATGCCGCAACCCAGACAGCCGCTTCGTCAAAATTCCCAGGACTTTTACAATCCACAAGCTCAAGCTCAAGGTCAATCTGGATCAACATATGGGTCAGCATATGGATCAGCATACGGATCAGCATATGCATACGATGTTGAGGCGCAGAACAATGGTAGATATTAGAGATAGACTGCCTTTTAATCTGTTTGACCGGTTCGGAACCAAAACTATTTTCTTTTCAACCGCGATTTGCATCATGAACTACGATACACGTAAAGGCGCAAGGATGAGCTGAGAGGGACAGCCGTGGGATCTGTACTATTAAGGAAATATACCCAAAATATCATGACTGGGTTCGAGGGATAGGTATTAGGATAATTGAGGATGAAAGATGAACAAACATTGATGTATTGTGTCCATCGTGAAAGGCATGAATGAGATAACAAGACACGTCTTCACTCACCGGTCACCGCAACACAATCCGATCTCAATACATACTTGCACAAGAACAGCGAAGACAAGATACTAATCGACTCGACATAAATGCGGGGGTCGCATCTCTTGATTTTAACCTTTGCATGAATTGTCAGCGCTAACATCTAGCAGACGAATGAGGGAAATGCGGCGCTTTTGCCGCACAATGATTTGTCACCGTTGCAGACTCCGATTCCGTTGAGCCAATCTCGATGCGTATGGAATCTCGTCAAAGGTGAGGAGGTACATGAGGCGATTGTCTGTCTAGTCGGGCGTCTGCCTTTCTAGAAGTCTCAAGTCGTTGCTCTCAAAGTTTCGACCCCTCAAACTCACTTCTTCTTCTTTCTCATGATCTTAGCTGCCATGACAAGGCATGCTACTCAGCCAAATCATCTCGTATAACATCTCACAGCTGCTATTCTTGCCAAACGCCCCTCTCAGCGTATTCACCACCAACGCATCCATCGTAGTCGACGCCACAATGCCGTCCCTCGTGTCAACTTGGCATCCGGGCGAGGTCGCCATGCATCGTGAGCTGCGGACGCCTCGCTTTGAGAACCCCACGTCGGCGGGATGCCCAATGCCGTATGCCGTAAGAGTGATGCACTCGCAGCTCCTTGCGCTTGGAACCCTGGACGATGAAGGCAGGCCGTGGACGACTATTTGGGGCGGAGAGAGAGGCTTTGCTAGGCCGGTAGCCGAGGGTGTGCTCGGTGTTAAGAGTGCTGTGGACAAGCAGTACGATCCTGTGTATAATGCTTTCTGGAAGTCTTCCGATGGTAAAAATGGCGGTGCCGACGAAGAGGGTATAGTGAGGCCTGAAGGAGGCAAGATGATGTCCGGTCTGTCTATTGATCTCGAGACTCGCGATCGCGTTAAGCTCGCAGGTCGACTCATTGCCGGCGCCGACATTAGCGGTGCGGAAAGCGAAGTCCAGCTTGCATTTCATGTGCAGGAGAGTCTCGGCAACTGCCCCAAGTATATCAATAAGAAGGCCCTTGAGAAGACGGTGCCTCAGCCTGAATTAGTACCCGGAGGTCCTGGAGGGATATTACCGCCTGAGGCAATTGCTTTGATTGAAAAGGCGGACATGTTTTTCTTATCGAGCACCAATGGAGAGAGCATGGACACCAATCACAGAGGTGGACCGAGGGGATTCATCAGAGTGTTGAAGAATGACGAGGACGGAGTTGAGCTAGTGTATCCAGAGTGTAAGTGCTTTTCACCCACCATTCAATATGACTGAGAACTAACAAGAGCGTGACAACAACAGATTCTGGAAACAGATTATACCAATCACTAGGAAACCTCAAAGTGAATCCCCTCATTGGCGTCGTCATCCCCGACTACGACACCTCCAATGCCCTCTATCTCACTGGCCAATCCACCATCCTCCTCGGCAAGCAAGCCTCCGACCTCATCTCCCGCTCCAACGTAGCCGTCAAAATCACAATCTCCGCCTCCCACCTCGTCAAATCCAGCCTCCCCTTCCGCGGAACCCCCAACGAGCCATCTCCCTACAACCCTCCAGTACGATATCTCCTCTCCGAGAAAGCTCCAGCTCTAGCTCCCACAGACCGGCCCGATGTCAACGCTACTCTCGTCGCAAGGGACATTCTCACACCTACAATCGCCGTCTTCACATTCAAGCTCGAAACAAGAGACGTAAAGGGCCTTCCCCAATGGCAACCCGGCCACCATGTCACCATCAACTTTGAAATGGAAGTCAGTGGTGGTTACGCCCACATGAATGACCAAGATCCCCAAAGCCTCAACGACGACTACGTCCGCACATTCACCGTCTCCAGCCCTCCAAATTCTCTCCCCCAAAAGGACCATTTCCAAGTCACCGCGCGTCTCCACGGTCCAGTGACGAACTTCCTCTGGAGGCATAATCTCCGCGTCCCTCTCGACCTCTCAGTCATGGGCTTCGGCGGCAAAGAATCCTTTGCGCTACCCGTTTCCACAACCACCACGACGCCATTCAAGGAGCCCATCTACATTGCCGGCGGTGTAGGCATCACACCCATTCTCGCGCAAGCAAAGGTTGTCCTCGATGCTTCTGTTCCATTGAAGTTGCTATGGACACTACGCGTCGAGGATCTCCCTCTTGCGATCCATACTTTCAATAAAATCCCTGGTTTGGCGGAGAAGACCACTCTATTCGCTACGGGATCGCTTTCTGAGGAAGATACGGAGAAGATGCTTGAGAAGATTCGTGAACGGGGAGCGACGGTGCACGATCGACGGATTAAAGCTGATGATTTGGGAGAGTTGAAAAATGGAGGGAAGAAGTTCTATCTATGTACGGGACCGGGGCTGTTGACGTCGTTGAGGAGTTGGTTGGATGGCGAAGACGTCGTCTGGGAGGATTTTGGATATTAAATGGATTGAGATGTAGGGAAAAGTTCAGTGTTGGTCTTCAAAATACAATTTTTGTAGCATTATTGAACAACAACAGCTCTCACTATCGTCACTTGATTGAGCATATATGCTACCTTCGCCGTATAAGTCTAGATTCATCTTGCTGGATGTAGAGGGGGACCTTGTCATCCTCCTATTATTCATTCGCTCGTTATGGCTCTCTCTAAGGAGATGGAAGATGTATCTCGATCGCTTTGTCATAGTAGCGGATGGCATGCATTCGAAGGATAGCCTAGCAAAAGGATAAATTCAGCGTGTATCTTTAAAAATCTGGTAATTTGTTTCAATGGATATAAAAAGAGAGAGTATCTGTGTGGCCTCATGGATAACCTCCGAGCATATGACTAGAGGAATAATCGAGGAAATATGTTATTAGGATAGTTGCGAGAAAAATGGAGGAATAGAGGTTCCGTAGCCCATGATGTCTCTGTAATTCGGGGACGCTGAAGCTATGATTGCAGATTCATGCGTGGTATGAGTAAAGAGATAGAAAATCGATGATGGGAGTTCTCCTGGCAGACAGATATGGTTAAGGTACCGAGAGTCCCGGGCCGCCATATCACAGCCAGTCGCTCCGACAATTAAGAGAGGGGGATAATACAAATCTTCCACGTTCTCAAACGTCATGATGGTGTTATTCTTCTTGTAGACGGACCCCACAGCTCCTCGTCATTGTAAGTGAAGAGTGGTTTCGATTACCGGGCTGTGAATTAGCCTTGTAGTTATGAAGACAAACGGCAATGGCAATAGGATAAACAAGCTGAAATGATGATAAATCGTAAGGCAGAAATGAAGAGAGTCTAGAATGGCCCAAGAAATAAGGTGAATGTATCTAATCTGTCTACCGAGGAAGCTAAACGATTAAGATGATTGTTGGCTTGCATAGGAGAACCTGACTTAGCATGGGGAAGACCCTCCTCATGCTGACCACTGTGGAGAAGCCTTCTGAATCCTCCTACATGATTACGACTTTGAGAGTAACATCACGATGAGAGAAATACTTAATCTCTACAGTGTGTGTACAAACATAGGCTCGAGTAATTGTGGTACAAAACATGACTCACTGGAGATGCCGATTCATTTTCTCGCAAACAGCAATCTCAACTCATAACGGCTAAAGTACAGCGTATATCAGAAAGGGGGATACAAAATTCTTGCCACCTAGCACAGAACACAATTAGAGCTTGTCGTAGATACGTCTACTAATGCCGAGAGATGGATAGCCGCTCACCGTCTCACTGGTGGAAGTGGTGCAATAAAATTACGCGTATTTAGAACCATCACACACCCTCATGCAGGGAAATTTAAAATGACTTGAAACAGATCATTAGAGGGGCCGTTGATACCGATTGTCTCCTTGTGGCATCTTCCCCGTATGGCTTGCTTTCAACAACGAGGCTTTATCAGCTTTGACCGCCGTAGCGACCCAAAGAAGCGCCATCTTGACTGCATATACGCGTATTCCTTGGTGCAGTCGCTAACCAATACGACCCGTACTTGCTAGAATCTTGGAACATTTTGTCAATTTTTTAAATAATGAAGCAATTGATTGGACAAGGCCTAGTTCGGCATTGAGGGAGTTGATGTGGGTGTTGGTGAATACGCGTATATGCGGGTGCCGCATTCGTATTCGGAAGGGCGCCTGTGCTTGACTTGACACAACGGCTGGGTAACGTTATCCGGCTATGTGTACATAGATCTAGATGGTTGATAATGTAAGCAGGTAGATATCCAGAAGATGGAAGCAAATGTCTACAAGTATAAGAGACTGCACTTCTGTTTGCTCTGATTCTCATCATACTCGGGCCTTCTATTCAATACCATTCTCTCCTTGCAGCCTTCCATCCCTTCTTCACTTACCAATACCAAAACCACCCGCCAAAATGGTCGACTCAACAAGCCGGGCTCTTCTTCCGGCCGACCAGGCCAGAAACATGGCCTTTGACAAGATCCTGCACAAAAACTCGTCGGCATCTCAGGGTGGTCTTCGTGCCATGATCAACAAAGACAACGAAGCACACAAGGCAGCTGTCGTTGAATACTTTCAACACTGGGATGACAAAAAGGCCGAAGACGAGACTGAAGCCGTTCGACAATCCCGAGTCATTGATTATGCAAGCTTGACAAGACAGTATGGAAGCATCTTTCTTTACGTCTTCTTCTACTCTGAGTGGCAGGTTTACTAACTCGAGACACACTGACAGATACTACAACTTGGCGACCGACCTTTACGAATATGGCTGGGGCGAGGCATTCCACTTTTGTAGATTTGCCTATGGAGAGGCCTTCAAGTCGGCCGTAAACCGACATGAACATTATCTGGCAAGCAGCATTGGCATCAAGCCTGGAATGCGGGTGCTGGATGTCGGATGTGGTGTTGGCGGACCGGCACGAGAAATTGTCAAGTTCACAGGATGCCACGTCACCGGCTTAAACATCAACAACTACCAAATCAGCCGAGCCAAGCAATACGCTGTAAAGGAAGGGCTTACCCACAAGCTGGATTTCGTTCAAGGAGATTTCATGGTTAGTATTTCAATTTCTAGGAAAATCAGATGGAGTCAACTTGGACTAACAATAACCACGACAGAACTTGCCGTTCCCCGACGACTCATTCGATGCTGTATACGTAATCGAAGCCACTGTCCACGCGCCTTCGCTGGAGAGTGCCTACAGAGAAATATTCCGTGTGCTCAAGCCAGGAGGCGTCTTTGGCGTCTATGAATGGTTCATGACAGACGCCTACAACAACGATGATTTGGCCCATCGTCAGATCCGTCTCGACATTGAGCAAGGCGACGGCATTGCCCAGATGCTCAAAGTCGAAGACGGCCTCGCCGCCATCCAAGCCGCAGGATTCACTCTTGAAACCCACTACGATCTCGCTGAGGACGACAGCAACGATACAAGTGTTGCTCCGTGGTATTGGCCTCTAGGAACAGATCTTCGTTATGCCCAGTCGCTTTCGGACGTACTGACTGTCTTGAGAATGAACCGGTTTGGCAGAGTGGTATCTCATGCTTTCATCTTTATTCTGGAGTTGCTTCAGATTGCTCCGGCAGGTACCGGAAAGACGGCTGAGAGTCTTGCAAAGGCAGCTGATGCGTTGGTTGAGGGAGGGAAGAAAAAGTTGTTTACGCCGATGTATCTCATGGTTGGCCGCAAGCCTGAGTTTTAATTTATTTGCTAAAAGGCTGGGTAGTATCGTTATCTTTTACTCAGGATATATTTATTAATTGACAATTGTATTTTCGCAACTGTACGTTCATAACTGTCGAGTGCCGTCAATTGAGACTTTATAGTACTACGACCCCCAACGCAACGTAACTCATGAGAGTGTCAACCATTGGAACATGGTGTAAATGAATATTAATCGCAAAATTTGTATAGCAGAGTTGTGTAACCTCTTCAGCTCCGTGCTACCAAAGATCGCCAATCGCATCAACTTACAAGCGCACATGACTTGGCATCTCGTTTTAGATTAACCCCTTGCATATTTTCTAGCGCGGACGCGTGCCTAATCGCGCGTTCTATTTCAGACCAAACTTCAATTTTTGCGGTCACTTCACTTCTCATATCTGTTGCTACCAGATTGCTGTATGGCAGATTGGTAGCAAAAAACATTGGAACCCCACGTATAAGCCGAGAGTCCCCGCGATACATGCATTCACCGCGACTCTTTTCGCATAGCCACATGAGCACAGCACAATTATTTTCCTACCCTCGGTCTCCTAGATTCCATACATCAGCCCGCATTACCCAGCACCATGCGTTTGTTAAAGACTGATACGCTTGAGTTTCGAGATTTCGACTATGGCAACATTCCGCAGTACGCCATCTTGTCACATCGATGGGGCAGCGAGGAGCTTACGCTCCAGGAGATGGAAGCAGGCGTGACTAATAAGCAAGGTTACAAAAAAGTGCAGCAGTTCTGCTCAAGGGCCAAAGCCGACGGGTTCGATTATGGCTGGGTTGACACGTGCTGCATAAATAAGACGAGCAGCGCAGAGCTATCAGAAGCCATCAATTCCATGTACCTCTGGTATTATCAAGCTGAGAGATGTTATGCCTATCTTGTGGATGTCCCATCAAAGTCCAATCTTGAAGATAGCGAATGGTTTGCCAGAGGATGGACTCTGCAAGAGCTTGTTGCGCCCTCAGAGGTTTACTTTGTTGATGAGCATTGGAACGACCTAGGAACTAAGAAAGACCTGCAACAAGTCGTGTCTAAATGCACTGGTATACCAATCAGCATCCTCTCGGGCGATGAAGATCTTGAAACAGCCAGCATCGCACAGAGAATGTCATGGGCCGCCAACAGAAAGACTCAGAGACTTGAAGATCGGGCTTACAGTTTGATGGGGATTTTTGGCATCAACATGCCCTTGCTTTATGGAGAAGGCGAGCGGGCCTTCATTAGGCTCCAAGAGGAGATTATGAAAGTCTCGGATGATCATAGCATTTTTGCATGGGAGTCTTCCGACAGTTGTGGCGGAATATTGGCAACTTCTCCCGAGGCGTTCAAAGACTCCAAGAACATCATTCCGTTCAATCACTTCAATGATCCCAACGATTCCTCGACCGTAAGTAGTCGAGGAGTCCATTTAAGTGCTCGATTCATGGGTAGAGGGCCTCGTGGATTGGGTGTCGCGATTCTTCATTGCAAACAGCAAGGTGTAGAAGATAGGCCGATTGCCATCTATGTCAGAGACTTATTTGGCACAATGCAGACATTTGAAAGAGTCAGAAGCGAAAAGCTGGAACAGCTTGATCTAAGAAAATTCAGATCTTCACAGTATCCAATGAGAAAACTATGCGTTCAAACGGGAAGAATGACGCCTACTCGGAGATCCAAGAACCTTGGGAAAGATGGCAGTACTACACAGTACGACGTTTACGATAATGACACCCTGGAGCAACTAATAAGTCTTTCAGATCCAAAAGCTTTGTTACGCGCAGCCGAATCCGGATTTGAAGACCGTGTATGGCTATTACTGACACGAGATGACATTATGATCGATTGGATGGATGAACATAGGGAGTATGCCTTATTACGCGCAATAGATGGAGGTCATGAGAATATCGTCAAGATACTACTTGCTCGTGGCGCCAATTCTGGCTATATTGCCGGCACATTTAGGACACCCTTGTTATTCGCAGTCCAAAGGGGACACAAGTCCATAGTCAAGTTACTACTTGATAATGGGGCCAAAGTCGACTTCAGAGATGAAAAGCTTGTGGAGACACCGTTGCTAACAGCGGCCGAAAAGGGGCTTGAGGATATTGTTGAACTTTTGCTGGACAAGGGGGCCGACATCAACTCTTTTGATCGACCCAGTGATACGCCGTTACGGGTCGCTTCCAAGGCAGGGCATTATGGTACCGCCAAGTTGTTGCTTGATAACGGCGCCAGAGTTGACTTGACACATTACCGCTCCCAACACACGCCATTACAAGAAGCTGCCGCGTGGGGACATGAGAGCGTTGTCGAGCTGCTGCTGGATTGGGGCGCCGATATTAATTTACGAGACTTCAGTGGTCGATCACCGCTCTACTTGGCCTCTTCAAGTGGACATGAAAATATTGTTAGGTTACTCTTTGAAAGGGGAGCTGAGGTCGACGAGAAAGTCCGAATACTACCACCCTCGGGATACAAGACTGTTGACAAGGTATTGCAAGATAAAGCTGCTGAGGCTAAACCCAAAGAAAAGAAATCAGGAAACTTTTCCATTAACCTCTTCAAGAAGACTTGAAAGAGTGTTGCTAAATCATAGCTTGTTAGAGTACAGTCTAGCTAAATGGTGGAACATATGGAGCAGATTGGATAGCAAGACGCAATTTCAGGTGATACTCAATCGGCTCCTCATCGTGCAAGTCATCCTGATTCCAACACGCCTCCACAAGCTCCCGTAACAACCTCATGTTGAAATTCCGTGGCTCCTCTCCAGCTCTGTTCAATATTTCCAAAGCCGTCATCCGCTGAGCATCGTCCCTAGCCTCGCAAGATATCATGAAGACCGGCCATGGAGGGATATAAGTCAACTCGCCGCATAGCATATTGAGTCCTCTGTTTACGAGATTTTTGTGGCGAAATTCCTCGCCAGAATAGCCCAGTGCCGCTCGGTTAAGGTAGATCAAGGCGGCAATTCGGTACAGTTCCGTGGTCTTGTCGCGGTTTCGGGTGAGTGCAGTCGAGGGAGCATCGTATGGAGGGGACTCCATAAGACCAGCTCGTAATTTCGCTTCCAATACGTAGAGCTCCTGCATTTGTGGAGGGGCAAGATCGGTGTATTCGACGATTTTCTGCATCAGCGCGGAGAATATAGCTGACGTGTATTCAAGAACTTTGCTATCGCACCCGAAATCGTTCTATCATGAATTAGCATCTGACCGAAGTATAATATATGTTTGGATCTGGCAAACGTACCCGCGGAACATAAATCCGTGCAGCCACAGGATCCATTGCACACAGTCTCATTCCTCGCATGGCCGCTTCCGGTTTCCAGTACACTATGCCAAACCTAGCAAAGATCTCATGATAAGCAACCCAGTCAAAGAGTAGAGAAATATCGCCGCGGACTTCTTGGGCTAATACGCCCGAAACAATGATTTGCTTAGCACCGCATAGGTATTCGGCCCAATCTTTAGTAGTGCTGGATATTTGAAACGTCTATTCACACCGTGAATCAGTAAACAACCTGATTTTCATTTGGGTCAAGGTGCTCTTCTTACCTCGCAAAGATACAAGAGCATACTAGCCATGAGATGTTGAGCAGTCCGATGGCCAAAGTTCCCTAGGCGCAATGACTGTTGGAGATATGACAGTGCCTTTATTTTCAATACCATAGCTGCACCAGTTCGGCCTATATTTAAAGACGACAATGCCAGTATGCTGTATAATATCGCATTCGAGGCCGGCGTAGCGTCGTAGAAAGCAAGTCGTAGAATGTAATCGGTCAATTGGCCCAGGTTATCCAATATCAAAAGACGAGAACCCGTGTCTATAACTAGACCAATTATTAATAAATGTGCACAATAAGACCTTCTCATCTACCTACAGTACTGCAATAATCCGGATTCACTCTCGTGTATCCTCATAGAATGGATAGAAGGAAGGGCCGGCGGAATGCTCATTTTGGCAAAAGTGATTTCTTTTCGATAGGAGTTAGCAAACAACTACTAAAGGGGCGAAAGATTCTTACGGTTCGATTTGGCCTCCGATAACTCATAAAACTTTTCCACATCCCAACTAGTCATATTGAGAAAAAGACTGTGCTGATACAGCGCGGCGAGTATATGCTTCTTTTGCTTTGCGGTCGATTTAAGCTCAACAGCTCGCCGTTTATCTCCGCTCCGGGGCCATGAGAGCCTCATGCCGTACCCCTGACACTGCACATCCTTATACCGGCAATTGGCGCATGTCGGGAGTGCTCGATCACACTTAATTTTGCGATCTACCGATTTCTTAGCCTATGATGAATCTTGAAGGTAATGAGCCGATTGGCCATCTACCTCGACAAGTCCAGCAGCCTTTAAGAGCCATGTCGACACTTGTGGGGTTCGTTCAGAGTAGCTTGCGTATGATAGGATAGATGTATGTTTCCCACGTTGCAATCCTCTTGTGCGTATGTGAATCCTACGACTTTAGGGTTAAGAAGCTCGTCGCGAATAGTTGCCTTGAAGCATAGGAAACGGGGGGCGAAAGTTGCCGTTGCTCTCAAACAGGCGAATGAAGCACCATATAAGTTATTCAGCGGAGCAAACGGCTCAACTTTGTGATCCGTAAGCGGTGTAACAAGGGGTTCTGGAATCGAGTGGCTCAATTACCGGTATTCAGCTTTGTCTCAGAGCATTTGGCTATATTTAGACTTTGACTATTTGGTATTAGTTGCGGAAATTCTTGCCTTGAGAGATTAACTACCAATCATGATTGATTATTAACGTTCGGTGTACATTCCACCCCAGCAGACATACACCTAATACGAATGTAGCTTACATTAGTAAGCGATTAATTAGGTATATTGCCTCGACGACACGCTGTTTTTCTATCATTATTACACAGACTTCTCTGTCTTTTCCGTACAAGGAAGTTACAGGGTTCAATTCGAAAGTGGGATGATTCAAATCAAGCCGCGAAAGGTTGTCAAATGATGAGCGTTACCAAACTCTCTTTCATCTTCATCGTTGAAAGTAGATATGAATATGTCACGAAAAGAGGCACTTGTGCTTCGCATTCGAACTGATGAAGTAAATCAGCTATGGAAGAGCTTTTACTCTTACTCGTATCTTTGGGTAATAGGGGCTCGCACAGAGGAAACGGTTATTCCAGAAGGGTTCGGGACAAATACTATCCGAGAGATATAGCTAGCTGGTAGGCTTGCCTCATGGAGTATTTATTCCACCTATTCGGCTAGCCTTTGTTATGCTTGTCAACCAGCAGTGCATATGATATTTTCCACCAAAGAGCGTGACTGAAACTACAGTATATAAATGAAGGATGAGAAAAAAGGCAAAGAAGAATGCCAGTAATTGTCTCGATTCAACTCAATGAATATGCATTTGTTCTCTCAGCTAGTGCCGTTCAGTGATTGCCCATAAGAGCTGTATACCATGACTGCGTTTTCTTTTGCAGTTTTTAGAATAGTATGCACGGTCAAAACTACAACGCATTGACTATAACTTGATGAAAAGTATGTCAATTGGCCTGACTCTATTGCTATGAGTTGCTGGGTGTAGACCTCCTCCTTTTGCCCGGTGGTTGGACTGACCCCTGTTCAATCAAGTAGCGATACCTAAGTCGGTGCCCCTATTTTCAACATAACTAACTAAATTCCAATCTCGTATCCAGACTATATATAGCTTCGCTACCTATGCCATTGACTCTAGAGTCCACATATCTCTAACGTTCAAAAGTTCTCTACAATTTTGAGAACCATGGACTTTAGTACTATCAACTAGTTGAACTGAATATTAAGTTGATAACGTATTAGTGTCTGTTGAATGTATAATGTTGTGCCTATATGGAACTCTTTCTCAAGTGGACTCAACGAAGCCAACACAACACCCAATTCATGCGCTATACAATCAAGCCCTGTAATGCACATATCCCATCGTCATATATACTGTTTATGCAACTCTTCATCTTTATGCCGCCTTGAAAACTTATAAACCTTTGCATTATGGATTGCGGAGAATATATGCATGTGTCAGTACTCGTATCAGTAGCGTACTATGTATCATCAACCAGACTTCAATTTTCTGACTCGTCTAATCAGTGCTGTTATATCGCTGATCTTAGTTTCTTCAATTATTCGTTTAATAACACTTTTCTTTTATTTCTCATATCCGACCCTCGCTTCGCGAAGTGAATGCACAACCTCGGATATGATTCCGTTTTGCCGAATATTCCTGAGGTAATATCCGTAGTATTTCCTCAAATGTCGAAAACAGTATTAGCCGTTGTTGAAGATTGATGACTAATGCGGGGCTGATGAGGGGCAGCCAATATTGGAGCTGTGACGTTGAATAAGCTGAGCTACTTCATAAAATCTCACAACTCACAAACACCAGGTTCGCCCTTTTTTTTCTTATTTCCTATTTCCATGAGAATCTCAGAAGCAAGTTGCTGATTTAGTTCTCATATAAAACTACAGAATCTCCTTTGTGATTAAGGAGATCTTTTTTGCCTTCATCATTCTGCTCAAATCTCTTCATTGTTTACCCCGCCATCTCTTTCTCGGGGCATCGCGAGGGGCAAAAAGCGTGCACACTTCTTTTCGTGTAAGACAGCAGCAAAATTTCGCAACAATGGCGGCCACCACGGATCTGAACACCTACAAGTTCAACCACTCGATGTATGCTGCCTCATATTGTTCTGCATTTGCCGTGTCAATTTTGGTTACTGATGAGCTCCCCAGGATTCGAGTCAAGGACCCCAAGGAGTCTGGTAAGTGAATCCCATCGTACTGTATCACAGTATTACCTATGGCGTGTTAAAGCCTCATGCTTACCCTGGTGTTCAATCAAGTGAAATTCTACGAGTTTCTTGGCATGAGCGTCATCCGCAAGGCCGAGTTCCCTGAAGCCAAGTTTGATCTTTACTTCATGGGATATAACAGCAAGGGCGCGACTTCATTCGGAAACTCTTCGCTTGACCGTGAGGGAGTCATTGAGCTCACCCACAACTACGGCACTGAGAGCGACCCCAACTACACCATCAACAATGGAAACAAGGATCCTCACCGCGGATTTGGTCACACCTGCATTTCCGTCGACAACCTCCAGGCCGCTTGCCAACGCATCGAGGACGCCGGTTACAAGTTCCAGAAGAAGCTGACCGAGGGACGAATGAACCACATTGCTTTTGCTTTGGATCCCGATGGGTACTGGGTGGAGATTATTGGACAGAAGCCCCTCGAGGAGACTGCCAGCATCAAGGAGACTGACGTCGCTACCTATCGCATGGTAAGAATCACCCACGCCTGCAGCTCAGTAGATTTGAGTTACTAAGTCTCACCAGAACCACACCATGATTCGTGTCAAGGATCCTCAAAAGTCTCTCAAGTTTTACCAGGAGGTCTTGGGCATGTCCCTCTTCAGAACCAGCGAGGCTCCCAGCGCAGGTTTTAACCTCTACTTCCTTGGCTATCCCGGAACCCAGGGCGTCCCCCAAGAAGGCAAGACGAGCGATCGTGAAGGCCTCCTTGAATTGACCTGGAACTATGGCACCGAAAAGGACGAGGCTTTCTCTTACCACAATGGCAACAGCGAACCTCAAGGCTTCGGCCACATCTGTAAGCAATTTTTCCTGACTCACTACTAAAAGTGTCATCAGCTAACCTTTATTCTTTTAGGCGTCTCTGTGGATGATCTGGACGCTGCTTGCCAGCGTTTTGAGGACCTCAAGTGCAACTGGAAGAAGAGACTGACGGATGGCCGCATGCACAACGTTGCTTTCTTGCTGGACCCCGATGGATACTGGGTAGAGGTTGTCCAGAACGACAGATACAGCAACAAGTATGCTGTTTAAAGTTGGAATTGCCATGATAGCTAGCCTTTGATGAATTGAGATTCAACAAGTTAAGCATAACATAGTTGCCATGATGAGTAGACGATGCAACGCAATTGAGCCATATTTGACCCCAAATGGGCAATTGCACGTAGTATCGACTTGCATATGCATGACCCACTAAGGCTGAACGAAGGAGCTAAATGCGCATTAAATACATGTAGGCAGACGCTCGACGCCTCCAGACGAAGTTCTTTGTCAAATTAATATCTATTGTACTCGTTTCTATTCAGGAAATACCAAATGAGGCTGTTAAACACAAAGTCGCTTAACCTCGAGATATTTCCTACCAATGAGGACATACGTTATGCCATACTGTCCCATACTTGGCGGGAGGGGGAAGTGACATTTGCAGACCTCCACCAACACGAGAATCGAACGGAAGCCCGAGGGTGGGACAAGATACGTCGAAGTTGTGAAATAGCTTCTGAGCTGGGGTTCGACTATATATGGGTTGACACGTGCTGCATTGACAAGACAAGCAGCGCGGAGCTGTCGGAAGCCATCAACTCAATGTTCCATTGGTACGAGAAGGCCGAAGTGTGCATCGCCTATCTAGATGACTTGACCCTCGCAGCAGATTCAGCAGCGGTGGACTCCGATTTCGAGCAATGTCGCTGGTTTTTCAGAGGCTGGACGCTCCAGGAACTTATCGCTCCCCCAGAGTTGCGATTCTACTCCAAGGAATGGAACTTTGTCGGCACAAGGACGTCTCTCAAAGCCATCATTGCGAAAACCTCGCGTGTCCCCGACATGATGCTCGAGGCGCACGTGCATGGCCAAAGACAAAGGCTCGACAATTTTTCGGTGGCGGAAAAGATGAGCTGGGCTGCCAACCGCAGGACGACTCGACCGGAGGACATGTCCTACTGTTTGCTTGGAATCTTCGATATCAACATGCCTTTACTTTATGGAGAGGGCCAGGGCAAAGCTTTTAGGAGACTTCAAGAAGAGATTATCAAATCTACAAACGATGATTCTATTTACGCCTGGAGCTATTCCGAAGAACAGTCCAAGAAGCAGCATTTCTGGGGCCTCTTGGCTGACACTCCATCTGCCTTTGGACAGCACAGGGAGGGCTTCGTGGTAAAACGATCAAGGTATGTATTTACAAGTAGTCTCTAACGTGATGAGATATCCTCGTTATTGACCCCCTGTCTCAACTATCTAGATATCTAGCACGGCGCTCAAATCACGTAGCCACAGTCTCCAACCGCGGCCTCAACGTAGAGTTCGCGCTGGCGCCTCTTCTAAACGATAAATCGGACACCATCTTCATCGCCATGCTGGACTGCGACATGCAGAAAGAAAACTCATCGCACTCGCTGACGCCGGCCATAATCCTCCAAAAGATGTCGTGGCACAGCGATTCCGAGTTTGTCCGCATACGACCAGACTTCTTGCTCGTTCAGCTAATGAATCGCATAATATTGCCCACAGCCGACGACCTCGCTCAAATGCGTGACGGCCTCCGTCTCCCAGAAGCCGTGCCGCGACAGATATTTGTCCCGCATAACTTATCCGCCCTGCGTGCTCCGCGGGGCATCTTGTTTCATCCTGCAGTCAAGGAACAGTCTCAATCTATGAAGCCTCAAGATTCGCTTGTAGTGGATGTACTCACGCAACCTTCTGAATGGCTTTATTTCGACGAAAGATCGCACGACGGAAGCATAGCAAGCCCCGGGCAAGCGAACCACGACTTCTTTGACATCTTATCATCATTACAAAGAGTGCAGTCATATGTATTGAATTTTAAACCCTTCTCTGATCTAGGAGTTACAGAGCCCACGCAGGCAATGATCCTTGGGTCGTTAGAACTCGAAATTAAGCAACAAAGTGGATGGAACAGCTGGCATGTGTGCTTGGTAACGGGACTGGAGCCGCTCCCGCCAAACCCCTTTGGCACGCCATCTCTGTATACTGTACCGTGGTATGCATTTGAGACAAAGGCCAAGGTCATGGCGGGAGAGCTCGATGCGGTGTTGGACAAGAAGACGAGGCGGGGGTGGCATAGACTGCTGGATGATATGGTGATGAGAGTCGATTTCGATCTCGAGAGTCGGCACTCGAGGTTGTATTACAATGCGGTGTTGAAGGTGATTACGCCGTCAGAGAGATATGGTGGGACGAATAACTCCAGGCCAAGTACATGAACTGTGATGATTCACAGAGAAGTATTATACAATTCAATAGAATATGCTCATAAATATCATCATCATAGCTCTTCCACACCCAAGACAGTCATCTCCAGCCTTTCCAAAATCTCATCCGGGACGTCCAATGGCTTCTCCTCCGGCACCAAGCCTTTGCTCACCAATTCATCCAAAGTAATATCAGGCTGTTCTTCTACCGCTTTCTTGAGCGCCCTCGCCCTCTCCGTAACATCCTCAATAGAAACAATCCATTCATTCGCCCACTTCGTACTCAGAGTTCCCGGTATACCAATCTGGATACTCCGATAATGCAACTGCTCGAGCTTTGCGTTCCTTTCCGGATCCCACTGGATCCTCACGTCAGAAGGCCTCTCATGCGCCGTCTTGTTAGTGCTCTCTTTGTCCACTCGTGCGTGTTCCGCTGGATGAGTTGATAAGACGCCTTGCTTCAGTAGTCCAAGGAAATCTTCTTTTTTCATCTTGAGGGCGAGGATGCGACTTTGGCCGTCGTCCTTGTAAGAGTATCCGGAGCGGTACATTATCCAGCACCAGCTTGGCTTAATCCAAGTCATGCGGCCGGGACTGAAATCCGGCGAGGCGTTGAGTTTTTGGGCTCTGACGGCGGCATCGGCGATGGATGCTTTGTAGGCCTGGTAGACGATGATGTGGTCGTTGTCGTACGAGGCGCGGATTTGGCGGTAGGGGATTTGCGAAGGATAAGACATGGTTGATGTTTTCAAGTTATTTTGTTGCTCGCATGTATTTATGTAATTCTCATTTGCAGAAAGTAGGATTTGAGTGACTGGCTAATTATAGTAGGCATTGTGTAGATGTTAGGACGATGAGAAGCTTTTATTTTATAAGCTGCTGCAGCTATACAGTGCAGGATGCGGAGTTGAGGCTGATTGATGACTCTGGCATGACGACGGACGGCGATGAGTCTTTTGCCGATGCCTTTTTTGGTCGTTTTGTTTGGTCGAGTCTAGACCGAGATACATGCACGTTTGTCTTTTGTACTGTATGAAACATTCTATTAACTATGAGTTGCATCTTTTTACGATAATACAAATAGGCATAATAACGAAGAGTTAATATACATGAAGCCGTCAAGTGGTGCTCCTTGTTGAATCCATCTCACCTTATAAGATTCAATGCAACAAATGTCCGCTTTGGGCCATCCCATTGTTTTAGGCAGACCCCCCCCCCTTCTAGGCCTAAGGCCCACTCAAAGTATCACTAAAAACCTGAGACAGGCGTGACGCAACGGGCCTGTGCAGCTCCATCGAACAAAGAATGCCGAACCGAGCCTTTTGGCCGCGATTTTTATTTTTGACTTTTGCAACATTTCTTAAAATCTATTGATACTTCTTATTTGATATACAAAGAACGACATATACTTTTTTCTTTTTTTCTCTCATCTCTTCTCTTATACTTTCACCCTGCCTCTTTTGTTTTTTCTGTACCTCATAAATCCATGCATCCACCTACGTAGCCCCCCCCAACGTTTCCGACTCAGGTACCCGATTCAAACCTCTGCAGCGCCCACAGCAGTAACCGCCAGCTACTACAGAGCTCTTCTCTCCTCTCCTCTTCTTTTCTCCCTCTTCCTCCTCCTCCTATTTTTTCTCTCTCCTTCAACCACCTGACCTCTCTCTCCCGCCTCTTCCTCCTGGATCCACGTGCATGTCGCCACCGGAAGCACCCGCAAGCCCAGCGCTTCCCGGCCCTGGATCTGAGCCTAGAGGCGCGGATGCCTCCGAGGTGACATGCATCCAAGACCCCTCGGTGGGGTTGGAGCCTGTTGCTGAGCCCGACAAAATCAAGGACGAGAACACGGGCGAGAACAAGAATAGCTCGACAACTCCGGCTCAAACTCATGCTGCTGCTGAGTCTGACTCTGGCGCAGCCGACGCGAATACAAGCGCCGGTGCGAACGAGGATCACGGCGACGACGACAAGCAAGACGCTGAGACTCGAGCCATGACGACAGAACCAGACACAACGACACCTCCCGCCAACCCTCCCTTCGGCGATTCCCCCAAAGAAGCAGCCGCTGATATCCATCTCCATACAAGCACCCCTAGCGCACCCGGCGCAGACAACAACGAGCCTCCTCAGCACTCTCCAGACTCACCGCTGGACATGGCCAGCGACGGGGCCAGCAGCAGACCGACAAATGCGGAGCTCGAGCAGGGCTCTGTCTCTGTCTCTGTCTCCGACGCTGGCTCGGCATCAGGCACTGCCGAAGCCAAAGACAGCTCCAGTTCCAGCTCCAGAGCCAAAGAGAAAGCTCCTGCACACGAGATTCACTATACACACGAGACCATGGCCGAGCCTACAGACGACATCTCCTCCTCCGTCCTGACCATCAAGGCCACCGTTGCGAGCCCGTCTTCGCCGTCTTCTCCCATGCAGCCCGACTACCCAACCACGCAGCTTCTCGTGCCCGAGCATCCTAACTATGTCGACCCAACGCCGCCCACGCCCATGGCCTCCCGCCCTCCCTCCCGCGCCCTCTCCACAGCCCGAAGCGACGACGCATCTCCCACCAGATCCGGTCCCGAATCGGACGATAAGAGCGAGGATGACCAGGAAGGTTCACGGTCCGAGATTCAGAGCATCATGGAGCAGTTTAGCGAGTATGGAGGTGGTCCTGATGCCGATGAAGTCATGAGCCCGCGCCTGGAGATTGCTTCGCCCATGCTGGGATCTTCTCTGCAGCATCCGCCTCGAAAATCCAGCCTCGAGCCTCTGTCGCCCTCGCTTGCCAGCCAGCTTCAGGGACTCAACGCCCTACACATCTCGACGCCTGGTGACGACGACCATGGACCTCCTGTGCCCCCTAAAGATGGATCCATGGGTACACCTCCGAGACCCAAAGACGCACGACCTCTGCCCAACAATGTCGCATCCCCAGCATCTCCTACTATGTCCATGCACAGGCCGCCGCCTCCAGAGCCCGAACCCGAACCGTCCCTACCCTTCGACTTCCACAGATTTCTAGAACAGTTGCGGAACAAAAAGGCGGATCCTGTAGCGAGATATCTCAAGTCATTCCTCTTCGAGTTCGGGAAACGCCAGTGGATGGTTCACGAGCAGGTCAAGATCATTAGCGATTTCCTAGCCTTCATTGCCAACAAGATGTCGCTGTGTGAGGTATGGCGGGACGTCTCGGATGCAGAGTTTGATAATGCTAGGGAAGGCATGGAAAAGCTCGTCATGAATAGGCTCTACACACAAACCTTTTCACCAGCCATTCCGCCGCCCAAGCCAATACCTGGAGCAAAGCCTAGGAGGAGAGGAGGCGATCCGCCACTGGGTCCTGGTCGGAGAGGTCAGCACCAGGAGGACGTCGAGCGGGACGACATTGTGACGCAGAAAATCAACATTTACGGCTGGGTCAAAGAAGACCATCTAGATATACCACAAGTCGGGGAGAGCGGCAGGCGTTTTCTGAAACTAGCGCAACAAGGTGAGTGCCTTTACATACACATATGGCACACTCATCTATATACTAGATCTCATTGCTGACCATTCCATCAACCAGAACTCTTAAAGATCAAGTCATATAGAGCCCCCAGAGACAAGATTATTTGCGTCTTGAACTGCTGCAAAGTCATATTTGGTGAGTCTATCCTTTCCCATTCAGTCACGTCTCTTAACTGACGTCCCAAGGCCTTCTGAAACACAACAAGTCCGACTCGTCAGCCGACTCCTTCATGCCACTGCTCATCTACGTAGTGCTCCAGTCGAATCCCGAGCATCTGGTTTCCAATGTGCAGTATATTCTGCGATTCAGAAATCAGGAGAAGCTCGGTGGCGAGGCCGGCTACTACCTCTCCTCTCTTGTAAGTAAACTGTTAGCTTGAAGTCTCCCTCATCACCATGCAGATTCTTACCCCATGACAGATGGGCGCAGTCCAGTTCATCGAAAACATGGATCGAACCTCTCTCACCATCACCGATGACGAGTTTGAGAAAAACGTTGAAGCAGCCGTCTCCGCAATTGCAGAGAAGCACCAAGCAATGTCTCCAACAGGATCACGCCCACCGCAGCAGATATTCAACGAAAAATCCTCATATGCTGAGGCTCGTTCCTCTCTCGATGGCGCAAGCTCGTCCGCGCCACGTCGTTCAACAGACCAGAATGAAGTCGACCTCACCGCGCCAATCACTGGGCTCCTGCGGACTATTCAGAATCCCCTCACCACCATCGGCCGCATGTTTTCAGACGATGGTGCATCATCAGCACCTCGGCCACCCCCGCCGCCACCCATCGGCCGTCCCTTGGGGTTCCCCGATTCAGTTCCTCTGAGGACCAGCACAGACGACCAAAGAGACAGCGGTCGGCGCGATTCAAGATACGCTCTCCCCGCAGAGGAAGCAGCAGCTCGTCAAGCAAGCGCCGAGGTGGCCGAAGCACAACGCTTACACCGCGCTGAGCATGCCAACGTCGTAGAGACGCTGGCTGGCATGTTCCCAGATCTGGATAAGGACATAATTAGCGATGTGGTCTACCAGAAGGAGGGAAGGTATGTTTTCACCCCCTATTGCTCTCCCTTTCCATCTTTTACTATGCTAACCTGGTGTGCTCCTATGTGTAGAGTTGGTTTGGCAGTCGATGCGTGCCTTGCTTTATCCTCGTAGCATATATATATCCCGAGAAAGGCGAAAGACCTCTACACCTTTAATTAGATAGGTATGGGGCTTGGTTTTTGCACCATTGTACAACGGTATACATCGATTATGTGACATACTTTTATTTCTACCCTGTAATCTACCTTACCTTACCTTTACCTTCACCTTTATTTGCCGGTATATGCATCGTAGAGAGAGAAGCTAAGGAATTGTTTGCCATGATATCAACCATCATCCCCAATTTATAATCATTCATTCCATGTCTCCATAACACGAGCAACCTAAATTATTAAGGATGAAAAGCACAACATCTTACTGCATGATAATTCAAGAAAGATGAACAGTATATAATAATAATCTTGATAAAGAAAAGCAAATATATTCATCTCATTTAGTCCTCATGCATACAATGCCCCTCCCATCCCTCTATTCCTAACGATCCATTTTTCTATCTCACCACTCGCTGCCTAACACAGCCTTCTATACACAACATGGGGCTGCGCATACACGATAGCCCACACTTTCCGGGGAGGTGACACAAACGAAGGAGTAAAGCGAATGAATTATAAATACATAAAAGATGCTGCGGCTGATGTGACTCAAAAAACACAAAAAAAAAGTACGACCCCGTAACCCTCCCCATCCCCATGACCCTCGCCTCCGTCTCACAAGATAGTTGTAGATACCCTGCATAGGATGGTGAAAGTAGTCTAGTATCCAGAGTATTTCTGGTGGCCTACAAAGTCATAGGGGGATACTCCATCTCGTCCATCAGAGCTGTTGCCCCTGTAGTGCGCATGGCCATCATCAGAAGCGAAGCCTTGCGTGTAGTTGGGAGACGCGTCCCCGGGCTGTCGGGAGCCAGTCAGGTCGCGAGACATGGCGTTTGGCGAAGGTCCCGAAGACAGAGCCGGGTGGTATGTCGACTCTGGTATGCTAGGGGCGTAATACCGATCTCCAGCCTTCGAATACGGGGGAAGGTTCTCCTCGTGATCATGTTCGGAGGGGTAGGATGCCTCAAGATCTGCCTTTGATTTGATCATCATCGTGTTGCGAGCGTCAAGGGGGGTCAGATCATCCTGGTCTCCACGGAGTTTCTCTGCAAGCAGCTTGTTAGTCTGACAAAAAGGTACCACTCAAAGTAGGAAAAAATCAAAAGAGACAGAAGAGAAAACTTACCCAGCTCCTTTCTACGCTTGCGGTGAGGGTTCATCTTGATGGCCGCGTTGATAGCGTTCCATCCGACAAGGAGTGCAAGCGCAACTGTCAACGTGGACTGTATAGCAATCATGACGACGCCCATAACAGTCTGGGTCGTCTGCTGAACATTGAACTCCTCGACAAAGACAAAGACGCAAATGACGGATAGCACACGAACAATAGCAATGAAGATGTTGATGATGTTGCTGGAGCGACGCTCAAAAGGACGGGTGAACACCAAGAGTGCCAGCATAGCTAGCTCGACAACAAAGCTGACAGCGGTCTGAGCCATACCATTGCCATCGCCCGCCGCCACAACGCAGCCTTTGACAAATGTATAGAGAATGACGGGGATAAACAGCCACCAATAGGACTTTTTGTAGGCTTCGTAGAACATGGAGTACTTGAGCCAATTCTGCTTATCCTCATACAACTTGGCGGCGTCACCATGCTGGGACTTGAGCCTGTGCGCTGTCATCCAGATTTTGAAACCAAAGTACATGAGAACACCAGTGAAGATGCCAAGGGAGAGACCAGCAAGCAGCTTGGCCGCCCACGAGTCACCAAGCGTGAATTGAAACACGCAGTACAAAACCCAGATTCCGTAGAGGAGCAGGATAAGAGTCGTGATTGTTCGAGCAATGGATCTCCAGTAGTGCTTTCGGAACCCAGTAAGAGACTCTGGGAACTTGCCATATAGAGACCAGACTTCAAGAATGACTTTGATAAGCAGAATACCTGTGACAACCGAGGCAATGACGATAGCAACAATAAGAAGTGCCGTCATGAAGACATCCGACTTGGGAACGCTCACTGATTCGGCAAAGTTTTTGATGCCCGAGATTGTCTGGGTGAGTTGGCCCGAAATACCCTCTGTGCCATCGTCTCGACGAACGAGCCTTGAAAGGCTGAGCTCAGTCGAGTTGCCCGTGTCGTCATCTTGTTCGAGTTGCCTGGTAAGATTTCGTAGGTAGGCAACGCTGTCTTCAGTCAGATTGCCACCAGTCTTGGCTCGAAAGTCATCAATGGAGTTCAGCAGGCCATTCCACGGAATGAGACCAACGGAGAATGCAAAGTTCTTTGCGAAGCTGCGGTAGATGGGTGGGTAGTTGACCGAGAGCATACCGCTCATGGCCATGCCTTGGAACCAGCCAGCTACATCCGTAAAGCTGGGACCAGCGACCGCAACTCCCGCAGCACTGCTTCCAGACATGGCACCACCAACTGCAGACATGCCAGTGGCAACGAGGGAGACGCCAGCAATGCCCACGGCCACATATGAGACAGCAGGCACGTTCATAGTCTTGCCGTTGGTGACCTGAGCCTGAATACAAGCCACCACGCTGTTATCATCGAGGCTGTTGAGCTTCATAACTGCCTCTGCAGAAATGTCTGGAACACTGAAAGCGATTCCCGGGATCATTGACGCATATTGAGCTGGAACCTGCTGAGTTCCACGAGCAACGAATTTGCCATTGGGCAAAGGGCACAGTTGTTCCACCAAGGTCTTTGGGTCACAGGGGTTGAATGTGTTTGTGAATGCGCTGATGCCATAGGCTGTGACATCGAGAGTTGCCGTAACATTCTGGCTGTTCGTGCTAGTGCCCTCGATGTCGAATGTGATGGTCTGGGCGTTATTGTCGTAGGTCATGCTCAGTTCGCTAATCGTGATGGAAGGCAAGCTTCCACAGTCGACATAACCAGTCGTCGTTAGGATCTGGTCGCCCATGACTCCCGTCATCAACATTGCGCCCATGCATAACGCCTTCCGCGTCGTCGATTTTAATGCTGTCCGAGCCATGTTTCGTAATCTTTGTCCAATGGAATCAATAATGCGAATAGTTCCAGTTCAACTTTGAAATTCCACCACTATGATTCGCTTTATGAAATGCAGCCCTGTCGATGTAGTAATGTACCCAAATCCAGTATCGAGAGTTTCCAGCTAGATTCGTTTCGCCAATCGTCTCCGTTTATCGGTGTTCAATCTATATGGTAAAATCGGTTGTAGAAGTAAATTATAAGAGAAAAACTCCAAGGAATGGTCGAGTATTCCGGTATATAAGTAAAGGAAAGTTGCTGAAAGGAATGCCAGCTAATTCAATAAAATGAGTTGATCGAGAACAAAAGTCACGGCAACCTCACGGATATGCAGAAAAGAAAAAGCGCCCACAGGGCGAGATATCCAAAATGGTCAGGATCAACCCGACAAGAATCGAAGAAACAAGACAAGAAAACGAGCGGCCAATGCTGTTCACAGCGCTATAACTCAGGGCGCTTTCCAACAGTCACCAAACGTCTTCTTCACGGCGGGATATTCATCAAGGAATGGAGGCGATGTCTATAAAATCGCAATCGTAGAATCGGGAATTCGGTTTTCGTTCTGCAACGGCTTCGATATCAGATGAGATGGGGGTTGGCGCTATGTGAAACGGGTCTGCCCCAGGAGCGTCACCGGAAGCGGTTTGAAGGAGAGAAAAGACACGAAATAATGAATGACAAAATTCAAAAATCGAGCAGTGGCTGTTAAAGAAAGAGATCAAGCAAGAACACAAACAAAATTGAATTGACAAGACTAGAATTATGGAAGAAGAGAGAGAGAAAAGAGAGAGAAGGGGAAAACGAGGCCCAAGCTGCGATGTTGAAACATGCCGAAAGGGGACAGCACCTGCACCTGCACCTTCCTCGCAGCCAGGGTTCAATTTCCCCCACTGCCTGCCTGACACTGCTGGGTCTGCACTTAAGCGGTGCACCAGGGTGTATTTGTTACCGAGCGATACCTGCGGCCAAGCCCTGTCGCAGCACTGCCACCAGGTCACGGCCAAGTCACTGTTCCTGGAAACCTGCAAGGCCACTGGCAAGGACCCTGTCCATCCATTGTCTTAGGGGCAGATCCAGTGGAAGGGGGTCGAAGTTGGTACTTGCGCAGCGCCCTGATTGGCGCGCCATGGGCCGAGGCTGCTGAGGCTTTGCTGCAAGATGCGCTGAAACTGGGCGCTCAAACAGCCTGACACAACCATTGAAGTACTAAACGGCGATCTTGTAACAACAATCGCATATTGACAGCCTACTAATTGATTGATATCCAATTGGAATTCCTATCAATCTACACAACATATGCAAAGAGAAACCCCAAATCTCAAATCATACAATAAATTACCTCGTTATCAAAAACATCAAATCTCATGCAAGGACACATCAGACCAAAAAGACTCGCTTTGCACGGGGCACCCAGACTAGCCCATTTGCAAGATTTCAGGGATCAACCAGCGAAATTAACTCTTCCCAAGCAACGAGATTGAGCATCATTCGGCTCGCCCACTCTCTCGCACGCACCACTGAAATAAATAAAAACAAGCACATTTTAAAAATAAATAACAAAAAAAAAAAAAAAAAAAATGGAGCGTGAAATAGACGAGAGGCAGCCTATCGTGAGTTTTACTCCATCCTGCTGCCCGTCGTTCTTGATTGCGGAGTGCCGAGGCCAGCTGCCCTCGCTGATGGTGTCTGGTCTGGTCCCTTTGAGATAATCTTCAAGGGACGATCCCAAGGACCTTTTTTTTGTCTCATCATCACTTTTCATTAAAGATCTACAGCGAGTCATGCCAATCTGCTGAACACAAAACTTGGCTACCTACCTATTAGGTGCCTAATCCACCCAAAGCTCCTCAACTCTGCTATCGTACAATTAAAGGCATCCGACTGACTGTAACAATATTGGATTGGATGCCTCCATACCTCAGGTGCACTAACTAACAAGCCTCCATCCATCCCATACTTACTCGCTGCAAGCCTCGCGCCATGATCGACATCGCACAGGCCCTCTCCTCGCCTCGCTCACACAGCCCCAATGAGAGAGAGAAAACCATACTCGTACCAAACCTATTCATAGACACAAAAGAAAAGAAAAGAAAACACAGCCAATCGAGCCACTCCGAATACGGTCTTTCCATTCTTGCATTCTCTCTCTACGAGATCCAATCAGTAACAATCCATTCCTCGTACAGCTACCTAATTCTTCTCCCCTGATGAGGGCACTAATACGAGCTCTCATCAACCCCAGACTCCTACTTTTACAGCCCAGTCTCCACCATCGTTGCACCCTTCCTCAGGTACCGGAACGGAATTGTATGGAAGTACATGTGCGTATCCTCGTATATCGTACATAATCGCCAATGCATGTCTCATCTAGCATATTATCCGCCGGCTGCGCGGCTAGATTGTGCTGAGCCAGATGCATTCGGCCTAGGCATTTTCCTCACTTAGTAGCATCGAAGACAGAGAATATCAGGCGCGGATATGTATTCGTAGTATTTCAATTCAGCTGATGCCGTTATCAAAAAGTCTATGCGACATAACTCGTACGGTTATTCCCCCTTAGCCGCGACATGCGCCCGCAACTCTCATCCCACAGCCATTGCCATGCATACGGTAGTACCTAGGCAATTCAGGAAACGGAAATAAAAGAGAAGAAAGAAACATAAAAGAGATGCTCCGTTTTATACATTGGTCTCTAATATAGCCCAACTTGCATCCGAAAATAAAAGAATCGAAAAGAGCAAAACAAAGAAAGGCTAGAATAGCAACTAAACGCAGGGGAATCATGTTCATATACTACTGCCCGTTACTGGACCTTCCAGAATAACAAATTGTCGCCAGAATCCATCCCCGGATGATGTCCAACTCTAAAAAAGGCCCCCCATAAATTCAGTATCCAAGAGAATTGAAAGGAAAAAGAACATTTCAGAAAGCGAAAAAGAAAGAAAAAGAAGGAAAGAAGAGAAGAAGAGAAAACCCCCGTGGCAATGCGCAACTCAACGCTTCAATAATATCCAGAGGCTTGTCTATCATCCCAGCTCTTGGTATCTAGATGAATGGCGCCCTGGTGAGGAGAGTGTGAATAAGTCGATAATGTTTCATGCCCGCTAAACGGGCTGCCGTGCACGCTTGAAGGGTCCATCATGTTGTCGTATGCCATCTGCGCGCCCATAGGGGGCACAGCGTTTACCGGGACGGGCACGTTTTGCAGACCCAGCGCATTCAGGGGTGGGAATGGCTCCACCTCATTTGCCATTGTCATGGCGGTATACGGGTTCGACCCCTGCACATACGGAGCCGAAGTGACGGGCAGGTCCTGAACCCGCCGGCCGGGGTCGTAGGCGAGCGGGCTGGGGGCCATTGACTGGGTCGAGTGCAGGCTTTGGCCTATGCTTTCGAATTGAGGAGGAGAATAGAAGGGTTGATACGGTTGTCCCGGGGGCATCAAGGGATAAAACTGGTTAGGAGCCTGTGCATACTGCATTGCCTGCTGAGGAGCCATTGGCGGCGCTGGCGAAAGCTGATGTTGCTGCTGGCCATTTTCTGGATACCGAATGGCTGCAGGTGATTTTTGCTCTGACATGAGTGGAATGTCATGCCGTGGAGGGGGGTCCTGGACTGGGCTGATGATGGTATCCGCCGCCAGTTCCTTTGCCTTGGCCGCCACCAAGCGCAGCACAGGAAGCGAGATTTGCTCCATATGCTTGGCCAGGTGGACAGTCAACTTCTTCCACGTCGGAAAGACCTTGCCGCAGAACCTGCACGCTTCTTCGTGTGGTTGCTTGCTCGTTTCCACGTGACACTGCTCAACTTTGTGCCATGTCGGATCAATTGCGCCGGCCTTCTTCATGGCCGCCTTGGTCTTCACCTTGGGCTCCTGGAACTTGTGCTCACGGACAAGGTGCTGCAGGAAATTGTCGCGGCGGTAGCATGTGTGCCGGCAGTCCTCGACATCGCACGTCCACCACTCCAAGTGACGATGGCCCTCATTTTCATGACGGACCCAGTCGGCCTTGCGCTTGAAGATCTTGGGATCCCGGCACTTGTCCCACGTGCACGTAAAGGGCTGCACGTCTTCATGCACGTGCTTGGTCCAGTCGGACGGCTTAAGGAACTTCTTCTTCTGATAGCATAACTGACATTCGAACTCGGCCGGCAGGTGCTGCGTAGGCGGCATGGGAATGTCGGTGGGGAAGCTTTCCTGGTTAATGGCACCCTCAGTCGGTGTGACATCGTCGTCGTCGTCGTAATGAGCCGACAAGGTGTCCAGTCCCTTGGTGCCATTGCTGTCTCCCTTTCCGGTCAGTACATTGGCTGAGCCGCCAAGTGCTAAGCAGAGAGAGCCGCAAGGGCAGTTGGCACCGAGGCCAAGATGCTTGACCTTATTGTTGAGCAGCTGCTTGTATCTGATAATTTGCTGGTGAGCAATGCGATCTACGAGGTAGCCATGAGTTGGTGGTAGTCCCGGGTTCAAAGTCTGGATGTGCTGTTGGAAGCCGGCAAAGTTGGGCGCAATATCGTCAATGATGTTGGGGTTCATCTTCATGTCGTTGTCTTCGTAGAAATCGTCGTCGTCGTCGTCATCCTCGTCTGGATCGACGGGAGCCTGTCTGAGAACCGCCACAGGTGGTCCGCCCGACTTCCTCCACATGTCGGCGAGGCTAGAGTGCGCACCACCGGCGTTGTCATTGTTGTTGGCAGAGGAGGATGGCGATGGCTTGGGCAAGTCTGATTTGCTTCGCGGCCGCCTCAATGAATTCCTGACACTGAGGCCGGACAGAGGACCTTTGGAGGAGGGCGCAGTCGGAATCGTGCTGATAGACCCAGCGCGCGAGTGCGTGGTACCAATGGAGGCAAAGTTCTGGCCCATTGAGACTAAGGCGGTGTTAATACTGGGAGTCTGGTGCTTCTTGCCCCAGCTGGACGTGCGTGTCATGGGAGATAGATGCGGCATGCTATCGCGCTTATTCTGGGTTGGCGAAGGCTCAGGCTGCTCCTCCACAGCCTCGCCTTGTCCACCGCGAGAGCGCTTTCGCATGTGAGAGCCGCTAGGGCGCCGGACGAGGCCGCGAAGGTCTTTCAAGAGACTGCCGGATCTGTTGCTTTTATCGCCACCTCGACTAAGGGAGAGCTTCTTCAAGAAGTTACCACTAGTGATGCCCTCAATATCGAGGTCGACGACGCTGGGCAAGCTGCGTCGGCGTGTGCCCCAGGTTGCGGCTCGGGAGATGATGGAATCATTGTCACGGCACATCCTCTCAAAGCGGTCAATGGCAGCTTGTGAGCTCTGGGGTTGATGGCGGCTCTGGCCACCACTTCTGATGGAGTGTAGAATGGGAGCATCAGCCCATCCGCGATTGGCATAGATGATATCATAGTCTTCGTCCGACATCTGTCCAGCCCCATTGGGGGAATAATAGGTTTGCCCGGGAATGTATTTGTTCTCAGTCTGGTCACCAAGAGGTATGCCATCGTTGCTGTTACGGTTCTCTTCTTCTGTGGCGCTGATATCTGCGGACTTGTCTGGGAGGCTAGTCTCATCGAGGTTGCCAGTAAGCCATTTGCCGACTTCCTGGTTCTTCTCTTCAATCTCACGGCGATTGATAATCTCATTGATGCTCGCAATCTCCTCTCCAGGCCGCCTCTTTGGGTCCAAGCCAGCGAGGCCGGTGGCAGGGTCACGCCGCCATTGGCCCATGGAATCTCTAGTAGCAGTGGCAGCCATAGCAGCTTGGCTTTGCCCTTGGTTTACAGACGATGTGATCAAGTCTCCTGCGGATTCGAGACCGCCACGCACCGTGGAGGGGCTATCTTCAAAAGAACGCTCAACAGTGTGGACAGGTCCGTTGTTGTCCTTGTCCCAGACTGAGATGGTGACACGAGGACTCTGACACCGCATATCGACAGGAGCGGGGGCCAGGCCGTCCTCGCTGGATCGTCCACTGTCTGTCTGGCTTGGGGTCAACTGAGGCGGCGGGATGACGAGGGGGTTGGGTTTGAAGGCTTTCTGGAGCTCCTGCGGTGAGATGGAGCTTGGTAGCTGATGCTGATCGGGTCGCGTGAGTGTCGTTCTCTCTTCACTTCGCGGCGACAGTGTGTGGACAGAGGCAGTTTGGTCCGGTGTTAGAGGATAAGAGTCGTCGTTGGCATTGTGTTCCTGCTGAGGCTCAACTGGTGGGGTGTTGTTGAGTGAGAGGTCCCATACGCTCTGGTCGTCGAGGAAAGACGGCGTGCCGACGTCGGGATTGGTAAAGTTGGCACCGAAAAAAGGGTCGTCGTCAAAGTCACTGAAGTCGCTGGACTGGTAGATGCTCAAGGTTGAGGTGGACCCGGCAGGCGTTTCTGAAGGGTTCGCGGGCGAGAGAGAGTCGCTGTTGACGCGGGATAGGAAAGGCGACAGCAGGTTGGAGTCGATGGATGAGCGCTGCTGTTGTTGATGCTGCTGCTGGTACTGTCGCTGCTGGCCGGCAGCGGGATTGCGGGGTTCAGGGTCGAAGGAGAAGTCGTTGTCGAGGGCCAGAGGGTTGTCGGTGTCGAGAGGCACGGAGAAGCCTTGGGCGGTGGCCGATGCGGAAGACATGATTGTTCCCAGCTGGGGCCAGGCGAAAGGGGATGCCCGAGGATAAGTAGTCGGTATATGAGATGTACGGGGAGATGAGAGGGACTGGAGGATAGGAGCGGTGGCTTCCGGGAAGAGGTCCCAAGCAGTCGACAGGACAGGCAGCCGGGGCCCAAAACTGAACTGGTGCGCTCTGGAGATGCGCAGCGTCACGTCACTGGCCAGGGATCATGACCATGTTCCTGAGCGGACGGGAGAGCAACGGGGCGGCGTGGGTTGAGGTGAAAGCTTAGGCAGGACTCGAGCTCGGGAGGCGCAGTCGGCGAGAGAGAGGCTTGCGGCGTCTTGCTAGGAACTGGGCTACAAAGTTAGGATGACAAAAACGGTGGTGTCGGACGAGAGAAAAAAGGGCAGCGGGCGGCCAGAGAGCTGATGATGGGATGGAACGTGGGACATGGGCGGCCAGTTTGTGTGGGGTGCGGCTGGCGGATCTAAAGCGCTTACCACCTTGATTAGGCTGGACGGCACCCCCTGCTAAGCGACCCTGCCCGTTTCTGATGCTCTGATGCCACTGCTTTTGTGTCCGCGATACGTGTATTTCCTGTCGAGTACGACGTGCCAAGGTCCAGCTGCTTAGGCCGGGAGCGTCATGGAGGTGCTGCCAGGTGCTACCTGGTGCTGGGCTCTTGGGCTTCAAGCTGGTTCCCAGGGCCCCAATCAGAGAGGCCGGCGGTCGAGATATGGGGGGGGTGGATTTGGTGATGGTGATGGATAGTTTTGGTGGTGGTGTGGTGGGGGGCGAATTGCGGGAGGAGGCGTGCTAAGTTTGGCACAAGGGCTTTTGGTGGCGGCGAGATCTGAATCAATTGTTGCTGGACTGTATCTTTTATTTTGTACGTAGTAGCATGTGAGAGAAAGAGTGAAGAAGAGAGAGGATGACGATGCTGATGCTGATTGTATTGGTGAAGATCTGATGTGAAGGAGACAGAGAGTTACAGACAATCAAGGCCTCCAATACTTGCTTGGGTTTTGGTGGGCAGAAAAGTGAGGGAGGGGGTTCGGAGCTGAACATTGATCAATGCTCTGGTGCCACTGCTACAGTACCATTTAGTGAGCGGTAGGTGGCATTAGGTCCAAAGTTGGTACGCAGTGACGGCATCACAGCAACCCTAATCCTAATCCCAGGTAGCTTCAAATTGAGTCCAACCAAAGCATAGATCTCAGTCCATTGTATCAGCTATGAGTTTTCGTTTGCTTTGCTTGTAGAAATCACATCATGGATTGCAAACAATACTGTACAAGCACAATATCGGCATTCTACTAGGCCGAGTAACTTGTACGTACCCGGGGCTCAAAGAGGCGCGCGGTTGCAAGAGACTCTAGCGATAACCAACCTCTCCAGGTTAGACCTTATCCAGCCTAGAGCTCAGGACATGCTAGTTCTACTCCTCACCTCCACAACAAACAACCTCGGAGACTCAACAACAACAACCACAACCCGAGAGAAAAATACACAACCCGAGAAGAAAAAAAAAAGAAAAATACAGGTACAGAGCTAGGCAAGTGGCTACCGCGCTAATGCCCTCGTCTCTCATCAACGGTCTGGCTGCTGTCAAACTCACCATCTCGTCTCCATAGCCTCCACCACGCGAAAAAGCCTAACTGGACAGCATCAACACTAGCGGCCAGCGTTTCACACACAAGGAGCATGTCGAGTGGGGCTGCCCTGCGAGAATATGCCCAGCTCTGGGGTCGAAAAGCCTTGCGGACGGACAGCTAAGCATGGTAGCGCGGTACCGGCCGTCTGCCCGTCGACGTCACCCTGGGCCAGGTACCCGGGCATCAAGAGCCGCCTGACCCCTGGCAGCCAACGGTGGGCACGAGGCTTGCGGCCTCTAATTCCGTGGCTCCCCAAACGGGCCATGGCGCGCTCTGGGGCCCTGTGAGGCTATCTAGCACAAGGGCCAAAGTCAGGTGGTGCCAGCCCCCGAGGCGTTCTTGTAGCCAGCAACACCGCCTCATGAGCTCAGGGCTGGTCACCACTCTATCTCGTTTGCTTCTGCTTCTGGGAGATCGAAGGCGACGCTGGAAGGGCAGGGCAACAAGGCAGCAGCAGGCAGGATGCGAACCGCAGCACGTCACGATAGACTGAGACATCCAGATGACATCAGGGAATCTGTCCAACGGTCCCCCTAGGGAGTGGCACAGCAGTCCACAGCATGGTCTGGGATGATGCAGGAAATGTACAAAGTGCTCCGTTACTCCATACCACACACGGAAAGGGGCGTATGTGTAGATATCTATGACCTTGCCTCACACCTTAGATTCGGCCGGCAGGATCAGGACCTTGGCTCTTTTTGGCCACGGCAGCCGGGCTCGATCGTCCAAACAAGAGGTATTGGTAAGACGAAGCTTGTTCTATAAGCGTCTCAAACCATGTAGACTTTCGGGCTTCTGGACGAATGCAACCCCTTGTGCATACAGCAGGATCAAGCAGCAACAGACATATTATTGAGCTTGGTTGCTTACATGGCGCTAGCCACGGAGCAGATACTGGATATATTCCCATTATTCTCACCAGGTGGCAGTCTTTGTGCCTGTCTGAGCGGCAAACGGTTAATTTCCCGGCTGGCTCGGCTCTCGTCAGAATCCTATTGCCGTTGTTGCTGTTGCTGTTGCTACTACTGGTCATCTTGCTCGGTGCAGGTAGCACGAATACCTCGGCTTTATCCTCGTACGAGAGCTAGATACAGGGACTCGTCCGTGCCCTTGGCGGAGATTGAGCAGAATCTCGGGCCACGGATTTCGCAGTCGGAGTCTTGGCACGGGCTTTTCCCTTTTCTATCAAGGCACAGATAACTTGTTTGATGCAATATTCAACGGCATTCCGATTATCTGCAATATAACGCCAATTACGAGGAAACCAATAGGTCTACAATCTAATCTCAAAGGGGGGGCGGCAACACTGCCCCATGTCCCACCGTGCGGCTGAAGCATCCGGCACCTGTCTCACAGAGTCGATTAGCCTCAACAATGCTAAAGATCTGTCTGCTCCGCCTCACTCTAGCATCGATAAACCTCAAGCGAGGACATCGTCTGGGCGCGTCCTGGAACATTCTAAAGAAGCTTCACAGTCCAACATGCCCGTGCGCTCCCGAGGCCTGCATGCTCGATTGAATCCTGCATGTATGTAACCTGCATGAGAAGGCTTAGTGCACCATCTATCGAAGAGAGTCCGCCCTACTTGGGCAATAGACCAAAACCTTCCGCGGTCGACAAGGCCCTATAAGGCAGACTCGACGTATAGACTAGGCGTCTTGCAGTTTGAACGTTGTAGGGCTTGAAGCTTGAAATGCAGCACATAGGCAGGGTAGGGTAGGATCCCACGGGGGGCCTCCCGCCTCACCCAAAGCTTCGCCCCGATTTCAACAACCTACGAGCGCCACTGATTCGGTCAACTCGATTTGGACACCGCGAGTGCCGGCAAAGCAACCATCGAGTCTTGCCCAGCACAGGCAAATGCGCAGAGAGATAAGCGCGCTGCCGCATCGATAACCGCCATTTCGCGGCTGTCTGTACGGAGTAGCATTTGCTGGTCTTTGATGTCGCTGCTATACTTGCGATGCGATAATCATCCAGTTAAGCCTTTCGATATTGATGGTCTTCAGAGGATCAATCTTTATCAATCACGTTACATCAAATGATGCATGAATTTCTTACCAGATGGGATGATTTATCGACTGCATAATGGCAGCCTGAACTTCAATCATCCTTTGCACTCCGTATTCTGTAGAGACAACTGCAGGGAGACAAAAAAACAACCCCACGTCATTTCATCCCACCAAAGCTGGGGCGCTCGCCACGTGATGCCTCAGACGACCAACTTCAGCCACCAACTCAGTCTAAAGTGACGGTCATGGAATTTATTATCGCATCTGTATCTTCTCTCTTACTCGAGTCGGCTCTGCTCAACTAAATTCATCAAATAGATCTGGCACCTTCCGCCTAGATCGCAGGAAGAAGAGGCGACAAGAATCCGCTTCCCCGTACAGGCATCTTGATCCTTTTGCCGGTCTGCTCGCCCATCATGTTCCGGGTTTGTCAACGCCTTGCCCCATCATTCTCGCCTCACTTTTCGCGTTGATAACTGCGGCTAACGTTTAGATCCTTTTCCCTGCACATAGCCCCATCCAGAGGAGAGCATGCACCTTCGGCTCCATAGGGCTCGGTCCGTGGTGCTGACAAGTGAAGAGTGAGTGTCGCCACAAGCCAGTCTCAGTCTCCAGCCTTAGATAGACGGCAACCAACTATATGTCCTTTGCATGGATTTCAAGTCTATAGTTGCTCCACCTATCTATTAGAAACAAACACTCATCTCATCTGTCTCTACAGACTCGTTGAAATCCGCGCCGCCCAGCGTACCTTTGAAGGCGCTTACATGCGCACCGCCTTGGGCCTCTTCTCCTTCTCCCTCGTCATCCTCAAGGTCTTCACCGAAGAGTTTTATCCCATCGGCGCCCTCTTCGCCGCCTTTGGTACTGCCATTCTCCTCGTCTCCATGTACCGCCGGTACCAGGGCCACCGCCAGTTCTTTGTCGCCGAGTCGGAGGACGGCGTCCTGCGCCGGAAATTTCGGACCAGCGGCGACACGGTCCTTCTATTGACGGCGCTGAGCCTCTGCGCGTATTCTACGCTGTTGGCGTTGACTTGGCGCCTCAAGGATGTTTGAAAACGTGTTGACAGGGATCTGATACATGTTTGGTTATTGAGATCTCATCGGATGACTGATTTACCTACGACAAATACAGCAATCCTTTCTTGACATTTGACTCGAGTTACCTGCTCAAGTATCTTGGCCGGTTTCTTGAATATCTTGTCGAATTATTCTCTCTTGCTTTTTGCTCTTATCACTCCAGCATTTGTTCGATCCGAAGAAGGCCTCCTATTTGCATGAGGAGTAGCCTACAGTGATTTTCACCTCGCTGCATTATATCTGGCGCTGGATGGGGTTCTTTTTTTTCTTTTGTTTCTGTTAAGGGCTCATAGTTGACCTTGGTTTCTTGCTCACGCCAATGGCTCTAATGGAGTCGATATATATAGACTTGGCTATTAATACTGAATACCCATTTGATCTTTTATGCAAGACTAGTATAACATTGCTCTAACAGTGCTTGCATACCTGTGACTTTGCAGCCTGCCTAGGGGTCTCTGGTGAATAATGCAAGACAATGATGTCCTACAAACGCAAGGGAGCAAAGCGATAGTCATAGATATACCTATATGTGCAATAGTGCAACTCGAAAACTCTCTTATCATAATGAATATTTAGATTACTGATCTCCAATGCGTAAAAATTGGGCTCAATAAGATGCGTTCGGTAACCTCACTATTAATCGGTGAGGCTTAGAGAACCATATTATATGTGGAAAATCCAAGTTTGGGCCAATGAATTGGCATAGTTGCCTAATGAATATGCTATACTTAGGCTGAAGAAACGAAATTTACTCTTATCATTGATAACCACCAGTATTCACGCAAGTGTCTTCATTGCCCGTCCATCCCGTAGATCATTATGCCTCATCTCGAAAGGCACGAAACAATATTCCGCTTCTTGCATAGATTACACGCATCTCATAAAAAGATTCATCCCGAACACAATCCTTATATAGTGATCACTGTACTTTATACTCAGACTATAGAGAAAAGTAGTGAAAAAGAAGCGGAATCAATGACATCCGATGACAGACCAGCACACACACCAAGACAAACAAACTAGAAGCTAGTTAAATGTCAGACTTTAATTATAATACACACAACTCAATAAAGCATGGATTCTCAACAACCGAGTCCCTCATCATTGCATCATCAACAGCAAATAATGACCACATATTTCGAAAACGAAAAAAAATAGTACGACAAGAAACACCAAGAAGAAACCCCAGAACCAAAATAGTTCGCCCGTTGTTGTGAAACAACAATTCATCCCATAGTTCTAATCAACATCAACCAAGCTGGCCTAATTCATTCCTACTTCGACCTACAACCCCCTTTTTACTATTCTCGCAAAAATCGTCCCTCCAAAACAGAATTATCAACTCCACACCAGCTATGAAACAAAGTAACCATCAAGTCCTTTACGTGTCTCACTTCCCCTCCCTTATCACAATTCCAACTTACTCCTACTATCCGTCTCGCGAATGACTCACAACTCATCCAACAACAAAACAACAAAGAACTCAAGAAATCTACCCAAACACTCCCCAAATACGTTCAAATCACCTTAAACAGGGGGTGGAAAGTAAAAACGAGAGAAATCTTCTAACAAGTGAAAAAAAAGAACGGCCTTAAACAAAGACCTCAACCATATTTCCCTAAACAAAAACTCAAATATGCTTCATTGAATGCCTTGCAATTTGTAACACACACACAAAAACACACACAAAAACACAAAAAACACCAAGAAAAATTCCCCCATGCCCAAAACTTGATTAAGGCAGCCAAAAAGGTCCGCCTTCAAGCCTTCCCGTCCACCAACCGCCGCCCACCCCGAAACTTTTTACCCAGCTTCGCACCCCTTGAACCAACAAAAATAAAGCCCAAATAGAAAAATGTCAAAAAAGGGAGAAATTGGAAAAATCTAAATCCGCTAATTCCGCTGTGTGAGTCGAGAAGCTCACCGTTTAATGATCCCCCCTCCAGTTCTAAAAGTTTGTTTCGGCCGTTCAAAACATCCGTTGAGACCCCCACAGTATATACACGTCGTCGAGAAAACCCGTAACCCTCCATCCCAAATCCCGTGGTATTATCGCCGTTCGTACTCGTCCAATGTTGAATGTTGAAATGATAAGAAATATGCAAAGCCCCGTTACGAAATTCGAACGTTACGTGGTGGAAATCCAAGTTCGAATGGAGGTATAATGCTGAGCTGAATCTTCGTGAGAGCCCCACCCTAGTTGTTAGCCCTCTTCTCAGCAGTAGAACGAATGGTCGGCTAGTTCTGAATACTGCCAAGGTACAGGTTGTAGGTTCGTAGCACATTGGCATAGGCGGCCGCTTTTCTTGCCAAGTGGTCGAGTTTCGGTTAATTAGTGGTATCCAAATCTCTCGTTCCAAAAGCATAAAGCCCTCAGCCAAGTTTCTCCCTTAGGCCATCCCAGCTTAGTTAAAGGCCCATCTCTTGCTCCAATCCAAAGCCCAGTGAAATCAGTATCCAGTCATTCTCCATACTCCCGCTTCTTGTAGTTCCCATTGGCCGTAGGGATTTTCGAATGCCGTGCTCTATTTCTTGGTATTCAATCCAGTGGGAAAACTCGATCAAGTGGCTGCTTTCATATCAAATTGTTGGAAGCTTTCCTGGATGATGGTGGGATGGGTATTTCCATATACATGACCCAGAGAATTCCTTCTAGTCGGAACAAAGGTTTCCTGTCCATATCTGTAGTTCCAAGACTTATATAGACTTAGCCCAAGGCCCCAATGTCATCAAAGCTAATTAAAGCCCTTTTCTTTCCAGATTGGCTACTTTGGTATGCTTCAGGCACTTTGATTTTAGTAGGAAGAAACGACTTGCCGGTAGCCCCAAGGCATTTACCACCTCTTACCGTGACATGTTTCCGCCAGTTTCAGCCAGGACGGGATGAAGGGAACCGGTTACACCATCGACCACTTTCCCTACATGTGTTGTGATCTGTCACCTCCACCGTACTCTCCCCATGTACGATAAACACCCGCTTGAGTATCTGCTATTTGGTGCTGTTGATGCTGTGGTATGAGCTGTTGCGGCTGCTGCTGTGCTTGTTGTTGCCAAGCCATTGGTGCTGCTGAGGGGACAGCACTTCCCATTATTGCAGGGTCAATGGCCTGCTCTATGCCTTCATCCGCCTCACCCACAGGCACTCCTCCGCTGTACATAGGAGGGAAATGTTGAGAATGCCTTTCATAAATTTGATTTTGCTGGGGCACAGGATAGTACTGCGGTGTGTGATGGCTTCCCAGCATCTCTCCGCTGAAGGACATGGAGCGAGGAGGCGGTGGCATACTACTATTCCATCCCATTTCGTTGGCAGACGCGTAATTTGAGCCCGCCCAAGCGGTCGAGGAAGCTGATGGATCAGCATATGGGGAAAGTTGCCCGCCCATATTTGGTGGAAACGACGGTCGCCAAATCGCGTTCGGGTCGCGAGGTTTCGCCATTGCGTCGCTATCTGTATCCGTGGACATCCATCCTGGTGAAGACGAATCTCCTATAGCATATGATGGTCCAGATGATATGGTGTTAGACGAAGCTTTTTCAGGCTAGCAGTTAGCATGGATAACGACAGAGAAAGAAAAAAAACCTCCTACGAAGCCTTTCAGCTACCCACCTTCCATGTCTTGCGGAAAGAATTCGCTTTGAGGTGTCTGAATTGTTGGAGTGCCCATGCTGGGCAACGGCGCGACAGGTATGGAAGAATAATGTTGTCGTTGCGGTCCTTGATCGACAGAGCTGCCACGAGATATGGCGGGCGATGAAGATGCCGTCACAGTATTGGAACCCCCAGGCGTCTGGGGTGGCTGCTGCTTTTGGTCGTACGGCTGCTGCTGGTCCACAGGGTGAAAGCTGCATTCTTTCTTGAGCCGTATGCAGTTTACACACCGATTTTGGTCCTCCGTGGATATAATGCAGCGTATCTTACGTCGACGGCAGTGACCTGGCATTCGTTAGAATCTCAGCAGGGCCGGGAGAACCGGGCCTTGAACTCTCAGGCGGAGTAAAAGAAAGGCGAGACTCACCGCAGGCGATTGATGTTCGATGATAACCAAGCTTATTCCTCTTCTTTTCACCCATCGGTGGCGCCAAGGATTGTGATTCCAAGTACGATGATGGGGTTGCACCACCCACAGAAGGCGTCGAAAAGGATCGTTTCAAGAAATGAGTGGGATTGCCTCGAATGTTGGACGCCATTGCAGAATCCTGTATCCCCCTTAGACTGCCGGCGGGTGATTTGGGAGGTGGCATCGCAGATTGGCCGTGGTGCATCTACTCCTGTTGTGACGGGGTATAGCATAGGACATTTGATGACTGGAGGCAGTGGCGGCGTCGATAGCTGGTGAAACGGGGGTACGAGGGTCTTAGATGAGCGCAAGATCGCAAAGGCCTGGGATTCGATTGAGCAGGGAGGGAACGACAGGGCGGTCACAGCCATGAACAGCAGATGGCAGAGCTGTGCAGAGCCGTGCTGGTGGCGTTGGATTTGCCAATACTCGTGATGCCAATGAGCCAAAACCAAAACCAGAGCACGCTGAACCTCTCTGGTGGCAAAAGTATAGCTGACCTAAGACAGCTGATTGTGAATGTGAGCTAAAGGGGATTCCATTACCAGCTCTTGGCCAGACCCGATCTGGTAATCTATGAAATCTCTTTTGACTCCTTGGTACCGGACGGGCAGATCGAGATGGGTGGCTTTGACGAGGGCCGGACGATGGGAAGGTTGATGGGAAAGAACACAGAGCGGGAAGACGCTCAGTGAGAACCAGGTAGGTTACTCTAGCAGCCAGCCTTTGTGACACCCTATGTAATGCACTCTGCCCCAGTAACCATGCTCCGGGGTCCTCCATAGGGCTATTATGCCTGTCGATGGGCTACGGAGCCTGCCAATGGCTGGAGCAGCAGCAAGGGTGATGCACACTCTCGACCACCCAGCCCTTTTGGTGTGGGGAGGGCGATATTGAGTTGTTAAAACAAGAGGAGCCGTACGTACATGACACCCCTACGTCGACACCACTTTTGGTACATCTACGACAACCACCAGGCGTACAGCTAAGTACTTATAAGTATGGGTCCACTTGATGAGAATCAAAACGGCGCATTTCCCGCTGGGCCTCACCCACAAAGGGTTGTGTGGCATGTGCCAAGCGGCGCAGCCGTCGACCGTCAGAGGTGAAAGGCGGATGCTTGGCTGACAGGTCAGCAGCGACGCGGCTTCACATGAAATGCAAAGAAACGGAGCCGGGCTGTGGGAAGCAAGAAAACTGAAGAAAAAAATATACTAGCTTGTAGTTATTTGGTTGTTTAAACAGTCGTCATCTTACTACAACCGATGTGGAGACGTGCTCCCACATGAAGTATCATTGTCGGCCACTGAGCGTCTGGGCCAGGATTTGTCACTTGTGAGCGGAATCGGCATGATGATGACAAAATGTATGGAGGCGATGTTTTTGGCAGTAGCTGTTGCATTCTAGCCAGGCAGCAATTTGCAGGTCCGAATATGCGTATCCTTTTTTTTTCCTGTGTGATTATGAGACAAAGGGGAAAGCTGCCGAGCGGCCTTGCCGGAGAGGGTGGCACACGGTGTTGTTCTGGGCGTGTATATAAAAGAAGAGTGCCGGCGGCCTCGGCTCGCTCGAAGATATAGAGGGGCCTCTTTTAACGAGGACTCCATCAGAGCAAAGTACAAACATGTATGAGCATGTACTTGTTGATATTGTCTGCTTACCACCTGCCCGTGGCAAGCTCATCGCGATGCTCCACGAAAACTGGTGCAAATCCCCATCCTGGGACACATAGGGTTTGCCGCTAAAGGCCTGTCTGTCATTTTTAACAAACCTTGGGGAAGTTTGATTTGCGGTAAGATTCATGTCGCACAACCAATAGCGTTGCCGTAAACGGGCGGAATAGAAAAAGCAAAAAGAAGGCTTCGAGAACCGGGAGGCAGGGCCGGGTGAGACTTGATCCAGCTGATGGCTCACCCTCTCGTACGCCTGTGTGGCGGCATCGTAGGGCATCGTACGAAGGAGGATAATACAAGCTACCTAGTTAGAAGTGTAGTACATGTCTTGCTAGGTCATAGCATGAGAAACCTTGGCAAGGGTGAGACTAGTGAACCAATGATTAGCTGCACTAAAACCAGGAAAAGTAGCGAGAGGGGCCGAGATGGAGAAGGAAAAGAAGAAAAAAGGAAAAGAAAAGAGAAAAAGGTACAAACCTAGTCCGACGCAAGGGAGACGAGGGCGAAAAAGGGCTGGCAGTGACCATCCCAAAAGCAGGATCCCCTGTCCAGCCATCTGCCGGACTCCAACTCTTCAGCTCAAGCCGTATACTGGAGACCCGGTCGTACAGGTAAGTGGCCATCTGCAGGGCTGGAACAGAGGATAAGAAAGAAAAAAAATGGCGATGCGGGCACCTCCGTACCTATTCCGTTTTGATGGAATGCGCCGGCATATGCAAGCAGTACGTGATACACGTACTATAACGCTACTACCTACCTTGAGTGGCAATAGTCGTGTCTTTTTCAGCTCTTCCAGGGCACGGACTTAAGCGGTATGGCGGTGCAAAGTCAGCTCGAGTTGCCCAAGTCGCACATGAGTTGTTCAACTTGTGAGCAGGACGACACGTATCTTGCAGCTGGAAATTGTCCGAAAGAGTTTCATTTAGTCCCAGGCCCTCGATCCCACTTTGCTGGTTTGTTACCCGCAGGCGAGCCCTCGGAGAGACGCATCGAACTTTGCAATCCCCACGTTTCCGCCTTAGGGAGGCGACCAAAGCAAAAGAGGCCAAAGGCAATCAATTAGCTCCATGAGATCAATCTTGTTCGCCGCCGGCCAACCGATCCCGAGAAAGCAAGACTAAGCGACCACGGTAAGCATTTGAGACCTTGACGCCTCCCAGAGAAGAAGTCAGCAGGCATACTGTACAAGTGAGCCATGCATACAACAGGTTGCACTCTGACGGAATCTTCTGGTCAGGTATAAGATGCTCCAATTGAAGCACCCCCCCTAATCAGCAAACTTTTGAGATTATTTTTTCTTCCCTTCCTTGATTTTTTCTCAGCCTTGACGGCCAACATTCTGTCGGCTAAAGCCGCTTGAACGGTCAAATCCACAGAGGCGGAGTATAGGACCGAGCACTAGTATCAATTCTCCGCATACCAGTATGCACAAGCAGTGTCGGCCATATCGTGGGTTCCTCGTAAATCGTCGGTTCTGTGCCTGATCCACGCTTGTGGAAGACCAATGACCCAGCTTATTCATACCGACAACGTTTCATCCGGGCAGCTCTCCACCCGAATCCACCACTTGCAATTCTGCTCTGCAATCTAAACTTAGCGGGTGGGTTGATACTCGCAACCAGAGCAGTTTGCGGCGGCGGCTGCCACCGGCGACCAATGTATGCGTCATAAGTGATCCCCGGCTGGTCAAAATGTCCCCAATGGCATTACGGAGCAAGCTAGCGCTGGGAGAAATTGTCTCGGCTGAGATTTGAATCGAGGCCGTTGTTAGCGCTGTGTCAATCAACGGTGAAGCAAGGGAGAGAAATACGCGACAGGAGCGAATTCGCTGCTAGTCCGAGTGACGGCGACTTCTCTTTCGCTTTACATGTGCCAACCACGCCTCCGGACTAATCCAAACAACGACGTGCGAAGTACACACGGCGCAGACCCGAAGGATTCGGGTTGTGGTTCTTGAGTGGGGACGTTCGCACGCTTCCGCCCTTCCTGGTAGCATAATTCGCGTGATAAGGCTTAGACTTGTGGTGTACCCCCAAAACGTCCGGATGGAAATGTCGCTGATGAATAACTGCTATTAGTTGGTAAATCCATCTCCGAGGTCAGATTCCTCTCCATTGGATTCCATCGTATATCGTACTGTTCCCCGTTGCCGTTCAGTTCTTGTACGAATACTTGTACTCGTACTGTAGGCGATTGATCCACATCCTGATGGATGGTTACTGGGTACTTTACCCACCCCCTCCTCTTCCATCTTGGTGCAATCGAGGATGGGTTGACAGCAGATCTCACCACGAAGGCTACATATGCCGGCTCTCTGTGCTAAATACTTGCCTTGGCAACTTCAGGTGCTGCGCACTCCGTAACGTGCATACGAGCATACCCATTCGTACACAGGCCATGGCAGTGCGGATACAGCAGCTCGAGTATGTACCTGTGGTGTGTGCTGTTACACAAGTGGACCTTGCGAGGCGGGAGTCCTAGCATGGCGCGCCGTACTCCGTAATAGCCCCTCGGCAGGTCCCATTCAAGGCCAGTCCCTGTCAAGGCGCTGCGCTTGTTCTGACGCCGCTCTGCCCGTCTAGTGGGCGTGGCAGAGGTGGCATAAATTCGATTCCTCACAGAAAACAGGCCCATACGATTTGCCACGGCCAGCTCCGTCTGCACCTAACAGCATGTTAGATAGACCTACTCCCACAAGCAACCCGAGCGTGAACAGCGGGCGGCGAGGGTGATTGATGAGAAGGCAAGCCGGACACCGCAAAGACGGCACAGCGAACCCCAGCTAGGCGGGATTTCGGGTACAACCGAAGTTGCTATGGCCACGAGATATTTGATTGTTGGGGTTGATAGGGGGGCTATTATACCGGCAAAAGAAACGGACAACGTGGGGAATAGACGAGCAGTCTCTTGATCCTGGCGGCCTGGTAATGGTCATTCGAGGTACGATGTGTTCCGTAAGGCACATACAGGCCACCACGCAAGAGAGCCGATCGCGATCGCCTTGACGTACGGCTGTCCCTGCGGTTTGCGGCGAGGAGATGGCCTTTTCCCTGCTGTAACGAAAGACCCTCACAAGGCTGATGGGCAAACAAAAATTCCCCATTAGCGCGGCGGCCGAAGTAACTTTGCCAAACGTCTTCTATCCCTAACGGCGTTAATCTCCTGAGGGTGGGCCACACAGGTTGAAGGTTTTTAGTCTTGGCGAGCACGGATCAGAAGCCGACTCCCCCGTCAAGCGACGCTGGGATGATATTTGATATTTGGCAGCGCTCGATAGGTACAGAGGACCGGGTGATTCGTGGCTGGGCCAAGATGCGACGCAAGATGCGCGCCACGCGTTTGTGCGGATCTCAGCCGCTCCAGGTTCTGGCGCCTCGTGCGAAATCGGTGAGGGCTCCTTGCATGCAAGGGACGACAGGACGAAGTCGTTGTTGCTCGAGCTCGGACAGCGGCCAATCCGCACCGGCGCCAGACATTTTGAGGGCTAGCTGCGTCGATTCGAAAACTCGGCTCAGCTGCTGGGCACTTTGCCGTCCAATGGCTGGATGCTGGAATGAAGCAAAAAGAGGACGAGTTTGATGAGTCTTTGCAACTGGAGACGTGAAGCTGAAGACCAGGAAGCTGTGGGTACTTTTGGGGGAGCGGCAAGGTACCTCGCCGAACATGCGCCAAGCCCCAGGACGACAGGTACAGCGCGCGTACCTCGAGGCGATTCTGGACGACTATCGGAGGCACAGGCCGGTAGCACAATCGTCTTCTCCAGTTCTCCCTGCTAGTACTTTAGCCCTTAGGTCGAAAATCGCTCGAGCGACGGCATGTGGCAGCGGTTCCCGAGCAAGGCTCCGCAGTGTTGGTTCGGCTCAAATGCAGAGAAAACTGCTAAAAGCCTTGAATGGGAATTTAGGCGCTACAAAACGCACTAGGCCAGCGCCTATCACCATCTCAGGCACAAAGCAGCAACTGCCTCTACGAGTCGTACGAGTGACCTACTTAGTGGTCGGCCATGATGGAGTACATGGAGTACTCACCTGTACCTTGGAGGTACCGGCTCTTTGCATCTGCCTTAGTAGCAGCATCAAGGACGGCAGGGACTCCGCAGCAGCTCATGTGCAACTGCTTCCCCGGTTATTGCGCTGTTTGCGCTGGTGCGGCTTAGATGCCTCAATCTATGAGAAACTGATTGGCTCGTATCCACGCAAATCCCTAATTACTGTATGTGTCGTGCCTGCTAGCAGCTCGCTTGCAGCTGCCATTATTAAGACATACAGGAAGAAAGTGCTACCTTGGCTAAGGTGGGAAAGGTAGGTAGGACCCAGGTACAGTATTTCCGGCGAAATTGGATTCGCCTCAGGACAGGTTTCAGTTAGGGAGGTGCATGTACATGAGTTGGTTGCTGCTACCTTAAAGCAGGCACTGCCTCTTATGGAACTTTTTTCTCAATTTCGTGACATGTGCTTATACAGCAATGGCCCTCTCTCTCTCCTGTCCCTTTCCATCTCCATCTTCTCCTCCATCCACGCCCTACCTTGCCTTGGCCTCTTAACTGCTGTTGGTTAGTATTCACGCCAGCGCCATGCATGTTAGTCGAGACAATTAGACACAATTAGCCGTTGATCAGATCAAAAGCCCCTTCCTTTGGCGTCCAAGCCTCAAAGAGGCATCAGCATCACATGCGGCGTGCCAGAATCAATTTGTAATGACGATCTCGCTCGTATCATCAATCATGCCACCATCCATTGGAGCCGCTCTCTCTCACTCTCAGACTTGTTCAGCTGGAGCATTTCAGGCCTGCTTTGCGAGAGCGTTGGAATCATCTCGGACGCCCAGCCAGAGAGGATCCCACCGGTTTCCTTGGCCTTCTAGGCCTCTCCAGGGGGGGTTCTTACTGGTAGGCGGAGGCGGAGCTACCTCCGATGGACGTCGGATGTATGCACCCATGGCCCTGTTTTGAGACTCTGCCCCTACATACACTGTGTCATCCCATGTCACCCAAAGGTGCAGATGGCCATACACCAAGCTGCAGCTAAGAAATAGGATGATTTGATATTTGACAAGTTTCAGAGTACATGGCTGATACTTGCCACCGCATCTCGAAGCTACTTGGCAAGATTCAATTGTCCATGTCTAACGGACCCCGTAGACGGCGATTTCCCGTTCGGCTCGGCCCTGGCCGTGTAAGCACCTAGACTTTGGTTAAGTCCGAATCGTGATGCTCGACCTCGTGGATGATGGATAGTGCTAACTTTATACTCTGGATAGCATCCATTCTCGCAACTCATTATCGACTAGTCGCCTGCCTTTGCATGCATACGGGGTACCAGATAGGCAGAGACCGAGTTGCACGTATCGATGACCTGCAGGGAGAGCGGCCACAACGCCTCAAAGGGTCTTACTGCGCTGCACTAAGACTGCGTGTCTTGGGGGATCAGTTGGCTGGCTGTGAGAAGCAGTTATTATTGGGAGCAGATGAAACAGCAGCTCCGAGGGTTCTCATTTGGAGAACATTGTCTCAAATTCTACCCCAACGACCGTTGCCTACCATTGCCTACCGGATGAAAGCCTCCGAAGCCCTCTCGCCTACTCGGATATCCCATTGCAAGCGATTGGCTCACGATGAATGCAATATCTTTCATACAAAGGCTACAAAGAACACATCCGAGAGGGGCGATCAGCATCCCAATGGAGGTCTGAGACACGGCTGCTGTGTTTGCCACTCATGTGAGGACCCCCCTGCCATTCAGGCAATAGTTACACATCGAGAGAAATTGATACTGGCATTAGCCGGCACTACGATATGAGATCTTGGTTCCGTGCCGCTGGGTCCATATCCATGTTTTGGGAACATGCGGTGTGATCCCCGGGATTATTGTCTTAGACACTGGTGGATTTTATACGTCAGCGCCGTGTCTCTAACAAAATGACTTTGCCTAGTCGTTTGACGTGGCGGCTATTGCATATCAACAGACACTTTTGAGCCATTGGACGAGCCGTGTCAGAGCGGATGAATGTCAGCAGAAGAATGAATGAATGAATGAATGAATGAACGACGATTCCAGGGGCCGTGCAGAACTGGCGACACGACGCAAACAAAACTGAGAAGAGATTATAACATGGCATCGGCGATCTCAGCGGCTATCAATGTAGGAGGCTCGACTCAATACTGCACGCAGATTGTGTAACCTTGTTACCCAAAAGAGCTGGCTACAAGCGCCTCCCTGCATGCTGACTTGAAATATTCACTGCTAGTGCCGAAATTGCATATCCCTTGATGGAATTATTTGCTCCTACGGGCTACCGAGTGAACGTATGAGCGTCTGAATGGATCGCTTAGGTTGAACCACGACGCAAGGGACTGTTTTTCATGTCATGCACTGCAGCCAAGCGATCTACCAAGCGTTTATTCCCAAGTTTGATTCAGGCACTGCCCTGGCGAGCTAGTAAACGCCTGATATGTGAGGGACCAACATACTGCTATGAATATTGGACTAAAATATTACGCGCCATTTGACGACGATCGAGGTGTGACAGAGACATCGGATGAGACTGTGTAAGCGCGTCCAGGAAAGTTTCCCTTGCTTAAGAGGTATGCGAGATGAGATTGATAGTAGACCAAGCTAAGAATTACAGCCGGCTTAGGGGTAAGGTGGGCTTGTGTAACGCTTAATTGACGACTTCCATATCGTATTTGTTTGCCTAGCCAACACTACGAGGAGGATCGTGATGTTGTGTTGAAGGTGTTTCTCACCTTTGTCCTTTTATCGAAGTCAAGAAGAGTCGAACAGAACAACACTTGCACAGGCACGGCCCGAAGAGTGTTCTCTCCTCTCATTAGAACAAATTGGAGGATGTTGGAAAGGTAAAAATTCTGGCCAAATAGTGTGCCTTCTGTGGCTGCTCACCTCATCATTCCTTAGCTTTTGGCCGTTGTCGTCAAGCTTGAGGATGGCCAAATGATGAGTAAACAATATGTGAATCCTCCAAGAGCGCATTGAATAGATACAAAATGAGGAAAAGCAAAACATAAAGGTTTATAACATTGGTTTGAATTTCTGTTTAAATAAATTAGGAATCTTTTCTCCCCCATTTGATGTCTTATCAAATACACCAGCCAAGTTTTTCCTACCATATGCTGCTTGAAGTGAGTGCAAGGCTCCAATTTCCGCACTGTCTATTTGGTCAACTTCTCCATACATTTCACAGTGTGCATCAAGGCTAGCCCCACTCCGGCCAGCCTATTGACCGACTTCCTTTGTGTGATTTCGTAACAATGAGGTACATACATGGCCTGTACATGGTTTTTGGTCAAAGACCCAACCATAGAAGGCTGCGATAATCCCACACCATCTCAAGGCTATCCAAGACAGATTGCGACCGCTTGACGCTTACCAGCGATATTCGAACTGAGCAGCGGCTGAAGTCGTCAATTGAGTCCCCACGGATCATCCAAACCCCCGCATCTGCGAATGGCTGGACCTTGATCAGCTCACATCACCTGCTGTGCTCCAGCAATACGGCGCCATCATGAGCGACCTCCAGCGAGCTTGGGCAAAATCCAAGCTTGGGCTTGCCCCCGAGCCCTTTGAGGAGCTGGACGAGGCTGAGGAAGACCAGGTGCCGGAGCTGCCAGAGGGGCTGGACGACGACTCGTCCTCGGCCTCTTCGGTCTCCTCCACGGGAACGATTATCCCGACGCCGAGCCAGAAGCTCTTTGCTCGCCCCCAAGGGTAACTACATCTGAGCTGGACAATGGCCAAGCACTTGAATTTATGGGCTGTCGGGCTGACGGTACGCAGCGTAGCGAGGGGCCGGACGCTGGAGCAGATTCCATGGACAACCTACTTTGAACGAGAGCTGTTTCTCAAGTCGGATACCAACCCGGAGGTTACTTACCATGTATACCTCAACTCGCCGGTGGATAAGGGGCCATTGTACGTGATGCATCATGGTGCTGGATCTTCGGGATTGTCCTTTGCTCTGGTAGGCTCTGAGATACGGAAACGACTGCCGAATGCTGGCATCCTGGCAGTCGACTGCAGAGGCCACGGCTCTACTACTGCGCCTGATGGTGCGGCTCTGGATTTGAGACTTGATACGCTGTCATCTGATCTATTTGCCATGCTGGAGGCAACAAAAACACAAATGAGCTGGCCAGAGTTGCCCCCAATAGTCCTCGTGGGTCACTCATTGGGCGGCGCTGTCGTCACCGACCTGGCCATGTCTGGGAAGCTGGGCACCTCCCTCCTAGCATATGCGGTCCTAGATGTCGTCGAGGGCTCTGCAATGGATGCACTTCAGAGCATGCAGACGTACCTGTCCACGCGACCAGGGGGGTTTGCAACTGTCGAGTCGGGCATCGACTGGCATATCAGAACCCGGACTATCAGAAACTCAGTCTCCGCTAGAGCCTCGGTGCCAGCGCTACTGGTTTGGGATGAGAGCAAAGATGTATCTCGCCCCTGGAGATGGAGAACAAATCTCGCGGCTACGCAGCCGTTTTGGGAAGATTGGTTTGTGGGTTTGAGCAAGAAGTTTCTGGGGGCTCGTGGGGGAAAGCTGTTGCTGCTTGCTGGCACGGATCGACTGGACACTGAGTTGACAATTGGGCAGATGCAAGGTATGTTTATATATGTTTAGGACTTGTATACGAATACGGGAGTGAAGCTTCCTGCGGCTAATGCCTTGATACGAAATAGGAAAATACGCTCTCCAAGTATTCCCCGATGCTGGGCATTTTATTCACGAAGATAAACCAGAGCAGACGGCCATCTCTCTGGTTGACTTCTATCGGCGAAATGACAGGAGTGCGTTGGTCCTGCCACCAAAGGTCTCTGAGCTCCTGAGGCAGGGCAAGAAAGTATAAGTCATCGACAAGATAAATGAAGAGAAGAGGATTGTACGCTTGACGGTGGAGAAATTGCTTCTAGGCGTTTGAAAAGAACTAGCAACTGCATATACTTTGGTGCTCACGCCCCCTATTTAACGCCCCCATATAGAATGTTGACGATATCAAGGGAGCAACTGAACAGTCAGTGGCATGCTGCAATTACTCGATGTGGATCTAGAATAAGGTGGCTATGAATAATGAATGTTATTGTCATTATGTGTTTCACAGAAGAATGAGTTGTTGAGCCATCATCATCATCACAAAGCAGAAGATGGCTGGATCTTAGTAGGCATGCCACTTTGATACTGCATGTGCTGAGCATCACAATAGCTTCACCCTCAAGCCCTGTCTCTGCTACGTCATCAAGTGAGGTGATCAATGGCAAAGAGGTCCAAGCGGAAGCAGAGTAACGTTGGATCCCTGCAGTCTTGCTGTTCCATTTACCCGTTTTTCGCCATGGGTATGGGCAATGGGTATCATCAGTCTCCCCACAGATCGGATACTCAGTCTTACAATGGATACTTTGCTGCACGGACGGAAATGGGTGGATGCCAGATGCATCATACATGGTATCATTTCCATGTTGATCTACCGAATGGCGATATTCCTTGTCTCCTCGTATGATGGCCAATCTATTCCTTGTCTTTGAAGCTGTCTTTGCTGGCAGCTGCCTACATGTATGTACATACACGGTCCGAGAGGTACGGAATACAGGGTACTCCGTACCGAGTATCGAAAGCAACATACGGGACGATGACTGCATCTTTCCGGCCTGGTCTGTCTTACTATCCGAGGTCTGTCAGACTAAAGCTGAGGAATTGATGCCATGTACATGCAAACTAGCCAATTACTCCTAGTCACCCTCGTATCAATTGCAAACTGTTAAAAGTGCGGGTACGAGTAAGAACGCGCTGCTGGTGTGACGGACGAATAAAAAACAACATCACAAAAAACAGCCAGCACAGCCTTTCGGGTTAGCAGAAAAGTCCATGTCCGTCACACCAGAATAGCCGATTGGCCGCATTGGCCGCAAAGACCCCTGGCTTGTCTTTGTCGGGGGCCGCATTTTTCCCACGCGGTGCAAAAGCAAACATAAGCCCCAATCAGTGGCTTCAGGGCACGTTCCGCCGTGGCTTTGGCACCATCGACTGCTAGCCAAGAGGCGGAAGCTCCCAAGCTTCAGGTGATTCGCGCGCTAGAGGCCGCTAAAGGCTGCCTTCCCCAGATACGGAACATCGCTAGCACCCAAATGGGCTGCTAATGGTGTGTTGGGTTGCAGCTTTGAGGCCATTGGATTGGGGATTCCTCGTCCTCCTCCCTTTTGCTTCTCCAACCCTTGACCTTTTCTTCTTCTTTTTTTTTTCTCTTAGCCCTTTCCCCTCATCCAAATTCACACCGGATTGCTGCTGCTTATCCCGAAAAGAACTTTACCCAACACTCTTTTCACGTGTCAATCACCTGTCAATCGTTCAAGATGAAGGCCTCCGTCCTCTCGCTCGTCTTCCTGTCCGGCCTTGCCGCCGCCCAATCCGGAGGAGGGATCCCTACCTGCGCTGTAAGTAACAACAAAAACAACAATCATAAGAACAACTCCTTGCATCCATACATGAACATGTTCCATCGCCAGGGACCATCAAGGAAGAGGCTACTCTCAGCTTGATGGAGTCTGCACTTCCACCTCGTCTTTGACAACAACCACTGTAAGAAGAAACTGTACACTGACACCATCATAGACGGGCTGCGTCACCCAGTTCACCACCGGCACCTCAATTGCTGGCTGCGGACAGCTCGACATTGCCTGCATCTGCAAGAACGCCGATTTCCTCAACGGCATCGCATGCTGCCTGGCCTCATCTTGCGACCAGGCCGCTCAGACCCAAGCCGTCAATTACGCCAAGCAGATCTGCTCCTCTGCCGGAGTCTCGACTCCCGATTCGGTTGTCTGCAACGAGAAGTCGTCCAGCAGCTCGACTGAGGCCTCCCACGAGTCTACCACTGCCAGCGAGTCCTCCTCCTCGACTGCCACGACTGGGTCCTCTGACTCGTCCACAACCGGCTCTTCCGAGTCATCCACCACCGCCGAGTCTTCTACTTCTGGCCCCGCCACCACAAACTCCGCTTCCCGAACCACTGCCACTTCCGCAGCACAGCAGACAACTTCTGCGGCTTCCACTACAAGCTCTAACGTCGCTGCTCCTCTGGCTTCTGCTGGCAGCTTCGTTGGTGCGGCCATTGCCGTGTTGGCTGCTGCCTTGTAAGCTGTCAATTGAGCCACTGAATCGAGCGGCGAGAGACTCTGGGCGCCGTCTCGGATAATATGTTTGCTTTTAGTGGAGGATTACAGATGTAACAATACACGCTGAATGTGATGGGCTGTCTGATTAGGCGAGAATGCGTTGTCTAGCGAGCTGCCAATGCCGAGATACGATACGATAATACCTGGTACTGCCTACCACTAATTGACTGATTTAATAAATATGACCTAATGAAGAGCCCTTTCATTCTCATATGCTGATATCAATGTGATGCTTGTATGTAATATTTGACTGATAAACTATATAAACGGATATTCTTAAGAATATCATTTACCCAGGTAGGTAAGCATGATGACGTTGGAGGCTTGGAGATGCACAAGTGAAGTCACATCGATAACACGCGAAAAGGTATATATACAGATCCATCTGAATTGATTAATTTGATCCAAAGGAAGACTTTACAAAATATGATTAAAAAGGAGGAAATCTCGAAAGGGTTGTACTTGTCCCGGTTCTATGTTTAGATCTTGCCATGCCAAAGTCTAAAACAGATCTTGGTCAGGGGCGCGGATGTCATAACTTTAAAAAATCGCACATCAGCGAGATTTACGCCAAGGAGCTAAGTAAAAGCATATCGAGTGGTGGGGTTGTAGATGAGATCACTCGGCTTGTGCCGTTGGGTTGGCTTTTGGGACCCTGAAAATGCATGTGAAGACTGGAGGAGACGGGAACGCCATGCAGTGGCTGCGATGCCAGATTGGGCGAGCCGCGGCTTTAGTTAGAATACAAGTCTATCAAATTTGCGACCCTGTCCTGGTATTATCGATTCAGAGATACTTGATGGGCGGCTTGGACATCTCGCGGAACATCGTGTTCGTCTTCATTATTGGTGGTGCAGAAAAGTGTATATGACTCAAATCGTGGCTCAAGATGTGGATGTTGCTGTAGAGCTTTGGGACATCCTTGAAGTGCCACTCTAGAGTATAATTTATATTGTTTACTATGTGATAAACCTGCCGTCTGTTCATAGATCTTACTCTCATTTCGTCTAATGGATTTTATCCTCGAAACCGCAATCCTATTTATGGCCTCCTCATTATAGTTCAGCTCTCTAGCTCGAATTCCCAATAACCTCATCAAGTGCACGGATAAGTCCTTTCACCTCGTCGACTGCAATAGCATGTTAGCCCGTCTTCTCCTAAACTCGCAATAGTGTAGATACTTACCTGTGTTGTAATGCACCATGCTTACTCTCACAACGCCATCTTTGCCCAAACCCAGAGCCTCTCGAACAAGTCGGTCCGAGTAAAACGTCCCCCAACGGAAAGCGTACGTAGACTTGTTTTCCACTGCTTCCACAAGATCTTTGGAATTCCACCCCTTGACGGAGAAGCTAATAGTTGCTACTCGTTCCGAGACATGCTCATTCGGGACGCCATAAATCGTAACGTTTGGTTTGTCGATGAGATAGCTTAGGAGCTCATATTGAAGGCTGGCCTCTTGAGCGATGACTTTGTCCCACTTGGAGTCTAGATACTCGACAACTTTTGGAATAGACTGAAGCAACTCGTATGAGCCAGCAGCAAGACCGAGTTTGTCTTCCAGGGTGGCAGAGGGGTTGAAGAAATGGCCCAAGGATCTGAGATGAGTCTGAGCGCTCCAACTACCGTAAAGCATAGAAATGTGAGGCCCGTAGACCTTGTACCATGAAAAGCAGTAGAAGTCAACGCCGAATGCCTTGACGTCGATGGGCCTGTGCGGAGCATATGCTACAGCATCAACGCACAGAAGGGCACCGACGCTATGGGCCGCATCCGCCACGTCTCGCACATCAGTGATTGTTCCCAAGATATTGCTTGCATGTGTACAAGTGACGAGTCTTGTCTTTGACGATAAAAGCCCAGCCAAGTCTTTAGCAAGGAGTTGAGGGTTCGGGCCAGGAGCTGGCTTCCACCACTTGAGGATGAGGTTCTGTCGCTCCGCCAGATCCACCCAAGAGGCAATGTTGGCCTCGTGATCTATACGTGAAACGACAATCTCATCACCCGGGTTAAACTTGAGGGCGTATGAGAGATTGCGGAGAAGTTGGGTGGTTGAAGCGCCAAAGACAATCTCATCAGGGTTGGCGTTGATATACTTGGCAGCGGCCTGGTATCCAGCGCTATAAGCAGCCGTTGATTTCTTGCCCACGGCGTAAGAGGCGCCAAGTTGCACATTTGTAGAGCTCAGATAGTCCCTGATTGAATCAATCACTGTATCGAGAGTCTGACTTCCTCCAGCGTTATCGAAGAAGACCTGCTCTTGCTGCAGGGCGGGGAAACGATCCCGGACATCTTTCTGATGATTGTCGAAAGCCATGGCTTCGAGTTCGACACGATGCTTATTTGAAATAGAAAGTCTAGGGGAAGAGAATATGAAAGATGAATAAATATACTAGAAACTATAAATAATTGCGTCGGAGAGTAAAATATACCAAGGAAAAGACCTTTTGTAGTTTTGTGCTGAAGAGGGGCATAAGGAATTCGGTCATGATGAAACCGAGCGCCGATTCCCCAATCTGGCAAGTCCCCGCCAAAAGTTTCCAAATCGCTGGCCAAGGCCGTTTTATTAGTCAGTTCCTTTCCGAAGGCCGAAGCAAGGCGTTGCTCAACAATTGGTGACATATGAGGGGTAATATGAGGATAAATGGAAGGGAAATGGCGAAATAGAACTCATTGATCAAAGACTGAGGATTGTTTGGAGAGGTTATGGTTAATTGCCCGATGTTTTGATTGGTTTGCAGCAAACTTGTGCTTTGTAGGGTATGTCATCTAACCTAACTAAGGGAAGCAACATTAATAGCAGCGAGTCCGGAGTTTGGAAGTGTCACATATATTAATACTACCAGTCATGAAGCTGTTCTATACAATAATATCCACTCTTCAAAAGTAAATTGGAAAGAATTGTTGCTGTCTCATTGAAGATGTTAGTAGGAGATGAGGTTGGACGAATGACCTTATGATAGATTGCATGATGAACTATCGTCATAGCTAATTGGTCAGACCAATTCGAGCAGCTCATCCGATTTAAAAAGATCAAACAATTTGACTATTCTTGATTAATTCTTGACCAATAAATACAATAAGGAATAGTCGTGCCAATGCATTTTAATGCATCTCAACAATGATTGTAGCTGGTTTTCCACATTAGGAAATCAGCAAAACTTTAGCTTGGTGGGGAAACGCAAGTGGTGCCAGAACATGACGGCGGCAGAAAAAAAAAAAGTTGGAGATGCGCAATCGGCTGATCTCGCAACTCGCCTCATGCCATTTCCCACCTCTTTGCGAAAATCTTTTCGCCCAAATCTTTTCGCCATTGACACTGCCGTAGCCAATTGCGCAGAGTCGGTCAGACACAGCTCGCAACCATGAAGAGAAAGGCGGAAAGCCATGCTTCTGGCAAAAAAGCCGGCAGCAAGAAGCCCAAGACCAGTGAGCTCTTCTCTCTCTCTAGCTTTCTCCTCCTCGTCGTCTTCTGCTGAATGCTAACCTGTGGGATGCAGCCATAAGCCCACAAGATGCGAAGAAGCGCTTTCGCAAGGGTCTTTTCGACGACTCCGTTCTAGAATCATACACGAACGAATATGCAGAGTCCTCGCCGTACAAACACGCTGTCATCCACGAGCTGGTCGATGACAAGCTGCTCCGGTCGGTTCGAAGCGAAATCCGCGACAATGTACAATTCACCCCCAAAGAGACGGATATCTACAAGATCCACCAGTCCGGCGATCTTGCCAACCTGGATGGCTTGGACGACGAGTCTCTGGCCAAGCTCCCCTCGCTGCTTTCTCTTCGCGATGCCATTTACTCCGAGACGTTCCGCAACTACGTCTCTGGCATCACCGGCTGCGGACCTCTGAGTGGCAAGAAGACGGACATGGCCATCAACATTTATACTCCCGGTTGCTACCTGCTCTGCCACGACGATGTCATTGGCAGCAGGCGAGTCAGCTACATTCTCTACCTGACCGATCCCGACACTCCTTGGAAGCCTGAATGGGGCGGCGCATTGCGTCTGTTCCCGATCCAGGAGATCAAGAACAAAGATGGCGAGATTGCCAAGACACCGCTCCCTGACGTGGTCAAGGTCATTCCTCCCGCCTGGAACCAGCTGAGCTTCTTCGCCGTCCAGCCTGGCGAGAGTTTCCACGACGTCGAAGAGGTGTACCACGCCGAGACAAAGGAGCAGCTGGAAAAGGAGGGTGGCCGCGTGCGCATGGCTATCAGCGGTTGGTTCCATATCCCCCAGATTGGAGAGGACGGATACATCGAGGGCGAGGAGGAGAGAAACGCAAAGAACAGCGGCCTCATGCAGCTCCAGGGCAATCCTGCTCAGTACGATGCGCCGCAGGCACAGCCTGTCAAGGTCGAGGATGCAAAGGGCAGCGAGGCCGAGTTTGAGGAAGCAGACTTGGAGTTTTTGCTGCAGTACATTGCGCCGACGTATCTGACGCCTGATACGTTGGAGCAAGTCTCGGAGCACTTTGAAGAGAACTCGAGCATCACGCTCGGAGACGTCTTGTCCAAGAAATTCTCCAAACGCTTACAGGATTACATCCAAGCACAAGAAAAGGCCACCCTTCCCGAGGAGAGCTCAGCCATTGAAAAGTCCACTTCATGGAAAGTGTCAAAACCGCCCCACAAGCACAGATATCTCTACCAACAGCCCTCTGCGTCAAGCAAATCTCGCAAATCGGCGGAAGAGTCACCGATTTCAGAGCTGCTGGATAAGCTCTTCCCAAGCCGTCAGTTCCGTAACTGGCTGCAAGTCGCAACAGGCTGCACCATTGAGAGCCACGACGTCATGGCCAGGCGATTCCGTCGTGGAATGGACTATACTCTTGCTACTGGCCACGACGGCAAGCCTCGTCTGGAGCTCAACCTGGGCCTCACCCCAACAACCGGCTGGGGAGACGCCGCCGACGACGAAGAAGAAGACGAAGAAGCCCAAGCTGAAAAGGAAGCCAAGACCATTGGAAAGAATAAGAAGAAGGGCAAGGGCAAGGCTAAGGCCGTGGAGGAGCCGGAAAAGGAGGTCGTCGAGGTTGGTGGTCATGAAGTGTACATGGCTGGCGACGACGACACCAACGAGGACGCGGCAGTGTACAAGTCTAGCGGAGACGACGACAACATCTTGTTCTTCCAGGCTGCGGCGTGGAATAAGATGACGCTCGTTTTGCGGGATAGCGGTGCCCTCAAGTTTGTAAAGTATGTGAGCAAGAAGGCCAATGGCGACAGGTGGGATATCTCAGGCGTGTTTGAAGTAGAGGAGCGAGAGGACGACGACGAGGATGAAGATGATGACGAAGAGGATGCAGAAGATGATGACGAGGACGAAGACGAAGACGAAGAGGTGTTTGAAGGGTTCTCGGATTAGAAAGCGTGGGCAAAATTATGACAAGTTAAGGATTTATGAAGCATCTATGCATGCTATAGAAATTGCATTTTTACATTTGGTTGATTTTCATAAGCCTCTGTATCAAGGCTGGGTATCTAAATATCTCATGTGCTTGTTCTCCGTGAATTGCGCCTTATCCATGACGGTAATAATAATACAAGTAAGTCTCCCTGTGTCCAAATAGACCCTGTCCCTTCAACTTTTAAGTCGGCGTCAAAGTCTCTGCAAATATATCTGATAATTCTGACCGCAAGATTTCTGTGATGCCTTGAGCTTCCTCGCTTCTCCCAGATTGCTTCAGATGGTTGACCGTATCGTGACCTAGAAACGCGATCCACGGTATTGTGCCCATGCCCGTGAACTTGGCCAGGTTCAATTTCTCGGGGCCCAGTGCCTGCACCAACTTGCGCAATCTCTTCTTGTCATTGAAGAACTGCAGGGCGGGAACGTGGTCGGGATGTGTTGGGTGATACAAATGCAGATGCGCAGTTTCTACCGGGAACGCCCGAGGGAGCCGTTCGGCTGTGGCCATATGTGCTTCGAACAGCTTTTCTGTTGGCATTGCCCTGCTGTATGCCTCTACAGTAGATAGCCAAGACACAGATCTCCATGGCTGAACGAGGAGTTTGGGGAGTGAAGGATTATGCTCAAAGAGCCGCTCTGCCTCAAGGATTGCCTGAATAGCCGCATCCAGGTTTCCGTAGTGAGACTGGCTCTTGATGCGGACAATCTGCGATAACAAAGAAGACGCACGAGCGATGCGCTGCTCTTCGGTGATGCCTGCGGACTCGTTCATGGTGCGTATGATCCATTCCCAGGCCACTCCCTCCAGCTCCTCAGCGACCAAGAACGGAACCAGTGCTCGAACAAAGGCCGGCTTGTCCAGGAACTGAAGGTCACCTTCCGCGCCGGATGATCGAAGCCACCGAACAACTCGGAGAGCCGTGTCCGAGGATGCGGTAGGGGAGTTTGCCTCCGCAGCAGCCTCCATCTGATGCCCCTTGGCCACCAAGCAGCCCGTGGCAGCCTTGAGCGTCATCATGCCCCTCGACACGGCATGGTCAAACACATCCATAGGGTCGCGATCCGACACCCACATCGCTTTCGGCAAGTGGGCGGCGTTTTGTTTGTTGCCGCTGTTGTCGTAGCTGAACAAAGGATTGGAGAGAATGGACTTCAGATGCAGAGTTGCGGCAGACCGGCGAGTCTGGAGCTCGGCATCCCCGGTCTTGGCGGGCACGGCGGCGCTGTCCGAGGACGAGCGGCCGTATTCGCGGTCTAGCTGGCTTCGAAAGGACGCCTTGAGGCCATCGAGCAGCTTCTGCGACTGCTGCTTGGAGATGGGCAGGGGTTCGTGATAGCCGGCGAAAAGCTTCCGGAGGGACTGCGCAGACTTGGTGGAGAACATGATGGGAGTTTGATCGGGGCGATTATTCCTTGGAAAATTAATTCAAATCGACCAAGTAGATTCGTACAAGTAGTATCCGTAAGCACTGCCCAGAAGGCAGGCTGAGCAAGGGAGACAAGCTGTGCGGTGAGCTGCAGGGAGGCTTCACTTGTCTCGAATTCGAGGCTGTTCCAATGAATCAAGCGATATGGATATCAAAAGGCAAGGCTACATTAGCCTCATCATGACATATGGCCGAGTCATGTGATACATGGGCTGAGACTGGCCCCCAATCGAGAGCTGCGGTGGAGCGTCTGGGCTCGCTAACTTGCAGTCTAAGGGCTGCTGGAAGGTACTTGTACGTGTACTCGTACAGCGACTTGCCACGTCTTGATGCTGGAGCCGTGGCTCTGTGCAAAGAGATGCGCTGGCGAGTACATGTACAGACACGGTGGCTCTTTGTCAGCCTGGGCATGCGTAAAATCGAGTTCCAAGTTGCATTCAATGACCGAAAATGTGCAGATGATTGGAAGCATTGACGGCTACTGTACATAGTAGTGGCAGTATCTGTACCTGTACTCGCACGCAAGATACTGCAGACCCAGGCTCTCTTACAGTAGCACCTGTTAGTACAGGTAAGGGTATCTCCTAGTGCAACTAACCGGTCCCTTAGTAATACTGGGCCATGGCGAGGCTGGATGAAAAGGGAAAGACAAGGCGTGCGAAGCATATGGCTGTCTCTTGTAGCTGGGCCAATTGAAAAGCCTCAGACTCATTGCCGGCAGGCCATGCAAACATTGTCTAGGTCTCACCTGTGCCCTGCCTCGCTATTCCAAGACACAATGGGCTCGCAACGGCCCAACTCTATCGAAGCTTGGGAGTGGAGGGCTGCCGAGCACAGTGTCGCCCGCACGGCCTGACAGGACTAGCCGCAAAGTTTAAGTGTGCGGGCGTCAGCTGCATCTTACGAGTCCCTGTGGGAAGCAGCACTGTGCAGATTCACTCGGCACAAGGTGCCTGTGCCAGTCGGGGTGCCCTTGCGCACGATCTGCGATTTCCAGCTCCAAGTACACAGTGCTGACAGACAGTGCGAGAGGGAGAGACACAGTAAGCCTCCATTGCCCCAGACTATTGGAAGTCGGGTGTCTTCAATGCCAGTTAGAGTTGGCGTCCATCAGCGTCAATTCAGGCGATAGAGACGAAAACAAAATAGACTGGATGCACATCAATTTCTCCGTATCATTAGGTGATCAATCACGTCAGTCAATTTGTACCTGTACATGTTACTGCATCCCGCCAAGATGACTCGACTAAGCCGTGCACGCAGCCTCGTGCTGGCCGGTGGGTGGTGGGCGACGGATCAGGCAGCGGCCAGAGCCTGCTCCTAGCCCTACCGAGCGCTGGACAGCTCGCCTACCGCCCAACTTGCCCCTCCTTTGGGGCTCCTTTGGGGGGGCGCCTTGGGCGGCTTTGGCGCTGGATCTGGCACTGTGTTGCACCGAAACAGGTACCTGCTGCTGGGCTTTCAACGCGGTCAAGGGGGGCGTCACCAGGCGCTCAAGCCAAAAAACCTTCGTGACCAGCCTTTCGTCTGCTTCCGGGCAAAACCTCGTGCCCTCCACCTTTTGACCTCCCTTTGCCACAACACCACGCACTCTCAGCATCTACGGCTCTCTCCTGAGTACGCTCGGCTCTGTTCTCTTCGTTGTTGTTTTTTTCTCCTTCTCTCCATCTTTTCTTCTATCATCTCTCTGCTCGTTGCACCGCTCTGCAGAGGCCATCTGACGGGCCACTGCACAATTGCCACTTCCTTCCCATCTCCACATACCACACCTAATCAGCTTCCCATGTCTGAGGTCATCTCACGGCCATCTGCCTCACGCGGCAGAGGCTCCGGTCGAGGCGGCAGAGGGGGTTTCGCCGGTCGAGGCGGCCGTAGGGCCAATGGCGATAAGTTGGATCACAAGACCGCCGACGACAACTTGGGCACCTTTGAGGATGAGGGGGAGTTTGCCGAGCTTCGACAGCAGTATGGCGGCAAGACCTCTGTGATTCGCGAAATGTTCCCCGACTGGTCTGAGGCCGATATCCTCTATGCTCTCAAGGAGACAAACGGCGATGAGACTGAGGCCGTGACACGAATGGCTGATGGTACGTTTTGGGAGACAAATTTTGCTGCTTGCTTCCCCCCCCCCCCCCAAGATGTTTCCCTTTCCCTTTGCTGCCTGGAAATCAAAAAGCTCGCATACAGCAGCTCAATCTCAGAGCAGCAGCTGATTTCACACGCTCGTAGCGGCTCAATTCCATGTTCAATTGCTAATGCCGATTTTTTTCTTCCCTTTCTAGGCACCATCTCCCAGTGGGGCGAAGTCTCCAAGACGAAGAAGACCGCTCGCACCAAGGCCAAGGACACATCCTCCGCACCCGTCAACACTGACTTGCCAGCCGGCGCTCGAACTGCTCGTGGTGGACGTAATGCTTCCGACGCAACTCGTGGCCGAGGCAGAGCTACCGACAGGGGTGGCCGTGGTGGACGTGCTCGATCGACTCATCCCACCAACGGATCTCGAACCAAGGAAAACCAGCCGCTGTCTGTGCCTACCGAAGAATCCTCCGCATACAAAGACGACACGGCCAACGGCCTCGAAGAGAAGCCCGTTTCTGTTGAAAAGGCCATCCCCGCCGAGCCCGTGAAGCCCGTTGCTCCCCAAGTCAAGACCTGGGCTAGCATGCTTCGGCAGTCGACAGCTCCCAAGGTTGTGCCGGCACTTCCAAAGGAAATCCCTGCCCCCAAGCCCGCCGAACCCGTAGAACCCGAACCCGTCCCCGAAATCGCCCCTGTTGAACCTGAACCTGCCAAGCCCGAACCCGAGGCGGAGCTCGAGGCCACTCCCGTTGTTGAGCAGGCCACTCCTGTTGTCCCCGCTGCCGCCGTCGAACCAGTTGCCGAAATACAGCCCTCTCAAGATGAGCTCACCGAGACCAATCTCGAACAGGTTGTTGATGTCTCTCAGCCACCCGCGACAGACACTGCTGCAAGCACTGCTGCTGACTCTTGGGACCCCCGACAGAGCCCTCCCAGCGCCAATGCCACTCCTCTTTCAGCCGCTCAGCAACAGCATCAAGCTCAGAGAACCGCCACCAGCGGTTATGCTGCTACTGCTTTGAAAGCTACCACAGAGAAGGCTGCCCCCCGCACTCCCAGCTTCCAGCGACGAGTTCTCGACCAAGAAGAGGCCGTCCGCATGCCTGGCAACCGCGAGGTGGATCGCGCTGCCGTGCAGTTCGGTGCCTTTAACCTCGAAGATGACGAAGATATCGATGGCGAGCGTGAGGAGGCAGAGACTCGAGCTCAACCCCCAGCCGACTCGCCCGTTGCCGTTCCTAGAACCTCTCTTCCTCCGGCTTCTTCTCAACCCGTTGCCGTACCGGAAACCTATGCTCCTAAACCCACGACTGCTCCTCCTCCTGGAATGACACCTATTGGTATGCAAATCTCTACCCCCCTTCTGTTTGAGTTGAAGGTTTCTTTCCCCTCTCTTGTCCTGGTTTCTGTATTTAAACTTTGTTTCCTTTGATCCTAATCATCCACGTAGCCGCTGCCGCCACCTCAATTCAAGCACCTATCCCCTTCCAGCGTATGTTTCATTTGAGGTTCAAGGTGGTTGCGAGTGTTTACTAACAATTTTCTCTTTCAGCTGCTCAACAGCCTATCCCCAACGCTCAACAATTCGGTCGATTCGGTCAGGCCGGTCCTCAGGACATCTCGGCAGCTCAGCAGAAGCCGCTGGATCCTTTCAACCAGGGCGCCCCCGCATCTCAACCGCCGTTCGATAACTTCGCGGCTCAAACTTCTCAGCCTCCCGCACAGCAGCCCGGTGCAGCCTTCACCTCGGCACCTAGCGACTACTCAGCCTACTACACCGCAAACCCTCAGGACCGAAACCCATACGCCTTTTACGGCCAGCACTTTGGCCAGCAGGGAGCACACGCTCAACCGGAGGGTGTTTCCTCGCAACAGCGGCCCTTTGGAGGCTACAACGCCTCTCAAACCGATAACCTGAGCCAGTACCCGCAGAGCGCTACTGGCCATAACCAGCCAAGATTTGGCGGCAGCAACGAGAACCAGAACAGCGGCCACTCCACCCCCAACCCCGTCACTCAGGCTCAGCAGCAGCAGCAGCCACAGCAGCAGGGAGTCCCTGGTTCTCAGCCTCAGGCTCACGGGCAATACCCCGGATATAGCCACCCATACTACAGCAACCCCTACTACCACCAATATTACTCTGCTGGATACGGCCAAGGAGGATTCGGGCCGTATGGCAAGGGTGGCATGTATGGACAGCCTTATGGCAATGCTCCGTATGACCACACCTCTTCACCCGGAACGTTTGGCCCCTCGTCCCTCCACAGAGAGAGCCCTCTTGGCTCCGGCCTTGGCGATTACGGCCGCGCTGGCTCTGGCCAGGCAGCCAGCCAGCCTGGCCTAGGAGGAAGCAGCTTCGGTTCCACCCACGACAGCTTCTCCCGCGGCGCCTCATCCTTCCAGTCCCAAGGACAGTCCTTCAGCAGCCAGACACAGCCAAGCACCGGATCTTCGGCCGATGATCTGAAGCCGTTTGGCGAGGCCAAGACCTCGTCTGGCCCCTCGCCCTCTCTTCCTCGACCTGGCTCTGCCACGAACACGGCACCCGGTGGACAAAGCGGCAGCCTCCCGCCTCCCCAGACGTCCCAGATGGGCGGTGCCTATGGTGGCTACCCGAGCCACCTGCAAGGCCACGGCCTTCATGGTAGCGGTGCATACGGCATGGGCGCCGGTGCCGGTGGCAACCAGCACAGCACCCCCTATGGCTCTTACGGCCAGGGCGGATTCGGCAGCGGAGCCTACTACAGCGCCGGACAGCAGCAACAGCAGCAAGGCCAACAGCAGCAGCAACGCGGCGGCTGGGGCGGAAACTACCATTAGTGGGGTAGATGCCGTGAAGGGAAACGACGAGGGCGATATCGCCGTGAGCGGGATGGGATCGCGCTCGTCATGAATCCAAGATTCGCGAAGGGGATGTGAATTTCCCCCACCCCCATCATTTTTCTTATTTTTACTCTTTTTTTTTTTTTTTTACTTACCCTTGTTCTTTATTACAAATGGACTTGTGTATGTGCGCGTGCCACTACACTAAACGCCTTATGAGAGGTTGATTTCGAGGTACGGGAGAGGGAACAGGGCAGCACCTACATGTGTGCCCCTCATGCAACTAAGGATCGGGAATGGAGGCGGAGAGAAAGAAAGGAAGTCTTGCTCAAGTCTCTTACTCGTTGATGCAAACGTGTACGATTGTTTCTTTTAATTTCATTTTTTCGAGAATCACCTAGAAGAAAGCAGGGTGGGCGGCTTGGGCAAAATGGAAAGAAAGGGCTACGAGGATGGATGGGGAGCACGGATTTGTTTGATTGTCGTTCCCGCTCATTTGTTCCCCCTTGGGGACTCTCGAGGGCAACCGAAAAAAATTGACTGGTTTTGTTGTGATTTGACGCATGGGTCTCATTCACTTTTTTTTGGGAGGCCTTTTTTTTTCTTTTTTTCCCGCCTGGGTATATTAAGTCGGCGGTGGTTTTACGGATAGGGCAGGTCATTGAAGAAGCAAATCACCATGGGAGGGGATTGAGATGCTTAAGTGGACACGGCGAATAGGCAGTCAACAAAAAAATGCAAACGTTTGATGAGTGCACGAACAAGATATGCGTTCCAATGGCAAGCAGCCAGGGGTTTTTTTGTGATGTTTTGTTTTGTCTTGATTTTGCCGTAGATCGGTGTCATGTGCAGACTTGCTGAACAAGATATGCCAGCCAGCAGAATGAGCGACAATCCGCGATTTTGGTATGGAGACGGGCAGGAGAATACGGCCGAGGTGGATGGATTGATGCAGTGCCCAGTTGGTTGCGCGCGTAGTGAAGGCCCGATGACTCTTGGGGGATCAAGACAAAATAAGGACAGCTCGGAAGCTGAGTTGCATTGCTAGCTGCTAGCTTATTCTTGAGAGAGAGCCGACGGATAGATGTATGTAATGTTGATGCAGTTTGTTTGTGTCAGTCATTGAAGCTGATAAGACGCCGGTAGTGTCTTTACCCGAATTGTTGGAGTTGAAGCAACGTTTATGTAGAGCTTCACTAAAATGCGGCCCCTTGGCTTTTACTAACTTGGGAATAATACCGATCTGACCATCTGCCGATTCTAGCAGTTAAACTTACGAGTTGTAAGAGAGAGGAGGGGTCACCCTTGTATCATTCTTTTTTTATCTTACCGGCATGAAAAGTCGGGGAAGCTGGAGTCCGTATGTATCTGTATAATGTCCTATTTGCCGTGTTTGTTTTCCAAGGTTTTGGATGGCCGGGAGCCGGGGGTTGTATGCCTTGCGGGCCTTGTGCTTGGCCTGTGGAGAGAAGATGGTAGATGGGGATTTACCTCTGTACACGTAAAGCAATACGGCATATCGCTGCGCTTGGCCCGGTCCGAGATTGTGGGATCTTTCACGTATGCAGATGGGTCGTAGTGACAAGGTTCTCTTTTTTTGTCCTGGTCCTGGGGAGTTGATGTCATATGATGTAGGAATGATATATGAAGAGTGTCATTTCTCCTTTTTTTTTATTCCCCGTTTGAACCTTGGATTGGTGTTTGCATTTTTGGTGCAGCACGCAATACGCTTGGGATACTTCGTATGGGGGCCGCCGTTTGCAATTGATCCCGCCGAGAGATTTTTTCTTTCTTTATCTTCCCTCCCCTGTGTATGCCCACGGACTTATCAGGAAGCAAGAGGGGAGAAGATAAGCTGGATTGTCTTTCTTAATTGAGATTCAATCTTTTATTCTTCCCTTCCTTACATCTTGGTGCCTCCTATTTTGTTCAATTGACAGCCGCCCACCGGGGGTAACACTCAAACCGGCGCCGGATCTTCTAAACATTTTTCACGTTGTTTTTTTTAGGGGCTCCGGTTCCGCTCCGCTCCCGCGCCGACGGCAGGAACGACGCAGGTCTCGGTGACACATGGCGGCTCTTGCCAAAGAATTGGGGATGAAGGCGGGGGTGGAAAAGGACGAAGATGAAGAAGTGAAATCTTCATCTTCAATTACAATTCGATCAATCGGCGATGGTGATGATGGGGATATTGAGGACGACAAACAGGCGGTAGTTGCGACGAGTCGGCGTGTATCGTCGAGTTTGAGCAGAGAAGGAGAAGATGAACGAGATGGAGAGGGAAATGGAGATGAGCCAAAGAATGATGCTGATCATCATGTCTTGACGCTATCGAGGGCACGATGCATTGCGCTGGTGGCCACTGTCACGGGCGCTGCGTTTCTCAATGTAAGTCAAAGGGATGAAGCCTGCATTGATGACAAACTCTATACTCTGTCAACTCTAGCATCTCAACTCTACAACTTACACTATCTATGCCATCAATGACTGACTAAATCATCATAGACCCTCTCCCTCCAAAGCGTCGTCATTATCCTCCCCACCATCGGTCGCCATCTTTCCATCCCCGAGAGTCGACAGCAATGGATCGTCTCCTCCTACTCGCTCACCTTTGGCTGCTTCCTGTTGTTCTGGGGCCGCGTCGCCGACTTGTACGGGAAGCGCCTCATCTTCGTGCTGGGTTCCATCTGGGTGACGGCGGTCATGGCTGCGAATCCGTTTGTGCCCAATGAGATTGGGTTCAACTTATTCCGAGGTCTTCACGGCTTGGTAAGGGTTTTCCGCATTCCTTTTTGTACTTTGATCATAGCTAATCATCTCCTGTAACTCAAGGGGGCTGCTGCCAATGTGCCCACTGCGATTGGCATCTTGGGTGTCACGTTTCCTCCAGGCAAGGCGAAAAACTATGCCTTTGTTGCATACGGTATGAATACTTATCACTCATTCTTTGTAGTATGCTTGTATGAGCTGTACTGACCTTCTTCATTCATCTCTCAGGCGCCGGTGCCCCTCTCGGAAGCGTCTTTGGAAACATACTGTCCGGCTTCATCGCCGAGTACTCCGACTGGAAATGGGTCTTCGGCACTCTCGCCATCATGGGCGCCGTCGTTTCGATCTGTGGCATCCTTTTCATACCTGCTCCTCCACCGTCAGCATCCAATTCGAACAGAAAAGGCCCGGCTTCAATTGACTGGATCGGTGCTACGCTCGTTACTGTTGGCCTCCTTGCTCTCATGTTTGCTCTTACCGAGGGCAACGTTGTAGGGTGGAATACTCCCTGGGTCCCCGTCCTCATCGTCGTTTCTGTACTCATCATCGCTGCCTTTGCCGTCTGGCAGTGGTATTTGGAACGCAGATTAACGTCCGCTGTTCAAGCCGAATTGGATGCTAGTATTGTCGAACAAGGAGATGCCGTCTCGTCACCATCGGATTCCCGCCGCCCTTTGCCGCCAGCTTCGTCTCTCACTCCGCCGCTAATCAAAATCTCCATATTCCGCAACCTCCAATTCAGCGCTGTAATGGTCATCATGTGCGTCTTTTTCGCCTCCTTCAACAACTATCTCATCTACGCCACCTACTACTTTCAAGAATTCCAGGGTCTATCGCCCCTACAAACTATGCTGCGGTTTATCCCAACAGGCGTGGGCGGTGCTACCGTTGCCATCATCGTTTCTCAGATCCTCGACCGCGTGCCCACCGTCTTCATCCTCATAACCGGCAACCTCTCGGTCTCAATTGCATGTCTCCTGTATGCTGTGCCTATCCCCCCGACGACTTCGTACTTCGCTTGGGGCCTTCCTGCTATGGTCCTCTCCGTCGTTGGCGCAGACACTACGTGGCCATGCCTCACTCTCTTCACCTCACGTGCTCTCCCGAGAGAACATCAAGCCGTCGGCGGTGCGCTCATCAACGCCGTTGGACAATTTGGTCGATCTATCGGCCTCGCGCTCAGCACGGCAACTCAAACCGCCGTCATGGCCAACGCCCGTGGTGTTCCTGTCAAGGATGTCGGCAGCATAAAGGCGTGGGAACCGGAATCTCTCAAAGGCCTGCGTGCGGCTTCGTGGATGAATTTCGCCTTGGGAGTTGCGTCTCTGGTCGTCGTCTTGATAGCCTTTCCAACGCTGGAGATTGTGGGCAAGGCGGAGCCTACGCCAACCAAGAAGCAGAGCGAAGGGGTTATTCGCAATACGAGGAGCGAAAAGCAGGAGGAGGCTGGCGACTCTGAACGTAACAGAGCATGAGTCCCTTTTTATTTCACGTTCTTTTATTTTCTCTCTCTAACCATTTTTCGCATTTTGCATATTAGAATGACGACTTAGAGCCTTAAGAGCATCGCGATGAGACATGAGATATTTATTCATTGGAGTAAACAGATGCATTTACGATTAGAATGACTTTGTATATATGAAAAGAAATAAGAAATTCTTTAATATGCGTCTATGCAGTAGTATCTATTATGATGCCTTATTTGCTGGTATCGTCCCCCTTGTTTCCAACTCTACTCCTCTGGGTATCATGCTGTATCATAAAGGAGCGTAAAAAAAAATCAATGGAGAATGAGCGACCAGGACAAATGAAATCTTTCTCCCCCCAAACCCAATGAATTTGCTCAAACCGGTGAAAAAAAAAAAAACGCCCAAATTACTGCAAAGAAATCTTCCATCTCCCTTTACTCCCCCCTCTTCACTGCCTTCTGGAGATGTCAATTTCGATTTGGTCGAAAATGTCGTCTTCATCCTCCTCCTCCTCCCCGTCAAGATCCAGCTCATCGTGATCCCTCGCCATCTTCGCAAGTTTCTTCTTCACAACAGGATCCTGCTCCATCTCCTGCCACAGCTCAAGATCCCACTCCTCGACATTGTCGCCGAGCCGCTTCTTCTGCCAGGGCGGCCAGTGCCACAGGCCGGCGACGAGCATGGCGCGCTTGGCCGCCTTGAAGAGCAGCTCAATCATGCCCATGAAGGAGAGGACGATGAAGACGGTGGACCACCACACGGCGTCGGCGCCCCAGAGCTTGGTGAAGGTGTGGCGGATGTCGTAGACGCCGGAGGGGGTGGCTCCGTAGACGCCGTCGAGGAAGGCTAGCCATGCGAACCAGCCGGCTGTGGTGACGAAGAAGCAGGCCATTACTACGGCGGATTTGTAGTGGGTTTCAAAGATGCTGCTCGATTGTTAGCTTTGTTTTCTTGTTTTGGTGATATATGTAGGTAGAGAGGAAAAGACAACACTTACAATAGCTTCCAGTTGATCCACAAGACACCGACCGTAAACACGAGGGATCCAATGGCATATAGGTTTTCATCTTTGGGCGCAGGTGACACCCATCCGTAGCCAGCCCAGATGCCGTTCCAGGTAATCACGCCTTCAATGGCAGCGAGCACCATCCATCGCATGTACTTCCAAAAGTTGAGCCCCATGTTGCGCTGGCCGTAGATGTAGAGCTCAGGTATAGCCAGCAGTGTTTCCGCGGAGAGATCCTGTTCCCAAATACCCATGCAAATCGTGCACAAGCTGGTAAACAGCGTATTGAAGACAGTCAAACTAGCCGATTGGTAGAGTGAAGTGCCGGTATAGCCATTGTATCGCTGATACTGCGCCGCCGGGAGGTAAAAGAACATTTCTTTCCAAAACGTGCAGATGATAAACTTGGCAGTACGGATATAGTTCCATCTTCCATGGACGAGAAGCAGCCTCTGCAAGAAGCGAAACTGCGCAATGGCGTAATCTGCCACTCGGGCGGCCTGGAGTCCCTCTTTTCCTGAAATACCAATACCGACGTGACTGGCCTGAATCATGGCGAGATCGTTGGCACCGTCTCCAATTGCAAGTGTAAGACCTCGACGATTCTTGCCTCTGTACTTCTTAAGTTTACCCCGGACAGTTTGAACCAAAAGAGCCTTTTGGGCAGGTGATGCGCGGCAGCAAATGACTGAATCTACCTTGAGCATGATGGCAAAGAACTGCACCGAAAGGGCTTCCGATTTTTCAACAACAGCCAGGGTTTGACCATCTATGACGACGACACTGTGGATTGAGCCGGCGTGCAAATCTTCAGCCATGGCCGAGAGCTGCGTCTTGAGAGATCCCTTTGTGACGTCCAAGATGTACAGGTCGGAGCCTGGGCGGCAAATACGAGCGGAATGAGCAATATTGATGGCCGTTTCTCGCTTGTCTCCTGTCAACATCCAGATCTTGATGTTGGCCCGTCTCAGCCTGTCGATAGTTTCTGGCACGCCCTTCTGCAGCTTGTCCTCGATCGCGCTGCCACCAACGAGCTCAAAGGCTTGTTCAATCATCTCACCGGCGGCTTCGATTTTGTCCTGTCGATCGGTAAGACTGGTTGTGGCATCGTCGTAAAGCTTCTTCCAGGACCTGTATTCTTGTTCCGAGACGAATTTCTGGGCAAACAGAAGAGTTCGGAGACCCTCAGTTGCGAAATCATCTAGATGCTTGAAACACTTTGTAAACACCTCAGATTCGTCAAAAATCCCAGAGTCTTCCAAAAACGAGAGACGAGGATCCAGTGGCGGCGGTGCGTGAGGAGACATCGGGCCGAGAAGATGGCGATTTGAAATATCAAATGAAGCTCCGCGTGAATTCACATTGAAGGATGGGCGTGGTCGTTCCTCGGATCGACGAGTAAGCTTGTTCAGTTCGAAAGACTTGCTTCGGTTCATTGACGGCCGGTGTACACTTCGTTCCCTAGTAATGGTAGGATTACGACGAACACTGAAACTAGGCCGTCCACCAAAGCTGTTTCGGGGCTCGAGCTGCTCGCTGCGGCGGAATCTTTCGTGCTCAAGATCAGCGCTCTGGCGAACCTCGGTTGCTTTTTGCATGGCAAGCGAGGACAGCCTCAGGCGAGGCAGGATGGCTGAGTCGGCGCCCTTGCAAATGACTGAGATGCGACCATCGGGATATCGGACGACAATGGACATCCTCTTGCGGGCACTGCTAAATTCGACAATGTCCAGGATATCATACTTTAAGCGCTCAACACTCCCATCGGTCTGAGTCACTTGAACCGTGATTTGTTTCGAATTTCGTTGAACAACCGAATATCCCATTTCTTGAGCGGCCCTTACCAAAGCGAGTTCATCCGGAGAGGCAGCTTGAAAGTCCATTTTCCCGTCCTTATTTTCTGGCAAGCATGAGTGGCATAGTGCCATGGCAAGCAGATACTCCTTTGTTTTCCTGGTAAAAGCTGAATGGGGCCGCGATTTCATGTACTCGAGCAAGTCTGTGGTGTTGACATCAGGCTGAACATGGTCTGGTCGGCCCGTTGATCGCCATTGAGATGAAGATCGCCTTCCTCCCATTGACGGCCTTGGAGACATTGGTGTGTCCATAGCCTCAGGGCCATCCTCGTGAATTACAACAGAGAGGCGGTCCCTCCGATACACCGAAGGGGACCGGCTTGGGAATTCAGGCTCCTTAACAATCGACGAAGCACTATCAGACCCATCCACCTGTGGCTGAGGCTCCAAATCCATCTCATGAAGCCAGACAGTACCAGCAACGCTGATTTTGCGGAACTTCATGACATTGTCCGTGAGTGTGCCCGTTTTGTCTGAAAAGATGTAACCGACCTGGCCCAGGTTCTCGAGGATAGTGTTTGTGTTGCATCGTGCTGGTGTATCCGACTCCTCGTCGTACATGTCGATATCCGAATTCAAAAGAAGCAACTGTCCAATCTTGACGATTTCCAGACTTACATATAACGATAGAGGAATAACATTGTTGAACATGATGATAAAGGCGATGATAATCTCATGGAAGGGAACACTAGCATCGTTCAAGTACCAGGAATGTCGCTCGGTACTTTTTTGCCAGCGAATATAGCCCATTGACACCCCAACGGAAAGGATGACGACGTAGAAAGCGAGTGTGATGACAATTCGGTTCACCACTCTCTCCAGAGCAGGCTTCTTCGCCTTTGGGTGCCTGTTTGAGTTCATGCGTAGCTTACACTCCTCTCCGGTGTTGAGAACGATTCCGATGGCACACGTTGTGTTACGAAGTACGCTGCCACGATACACTATTTCGTTAAGTGTCAAAGGCATCGCTTTTTCGTTGACAGTGACTTTTCCATTAAAGTTGAAGAGATCCGGATTTGGGTCCTCGGCAACGAATTCGGCAGCACACTTGGCAATGCCCTCGATGGTGTCACATCCCTCGAGCGCGTGGCACACTTGCTTGCTCTTGAGGTTCGTCTCGCCATCAAGTGCCATAGTATCAACGTAAGCCAGGTTGTTTTCACCATCGCTGTAGAGAAGCGCAATATCGGCGGGTACAGGCTCGTCGCGCGCAAGTCGAATAACATCTCCAACTTTGATATCGGCCCATCTCGTCGGCACCCATCGAACACCTTGGAACTCTTCGTCGGGAACAGGCAGAGGCTCGCTAGTCGTTTTCGTATGGAAAGGGTTATATCGATCCAGAAAGTGCGCTGGCCTAGACTTGCCAGTGTACTTGTCCTCCTTACCGAGTATCGTCGCAAAGTTTGCGTTTTCAACCTTGTCCAGCCGGTGTCTTCGATAGTCGTCGTAGCCTTCCTTAAACATGGTCAAGCAAACGAAGAACAGGAGAGGAAGAATCGTCGTGTAGGAACCGGTCGTCGAGAGGCCAGGAATCTGCAGCCAGCTAATTAGGTACAGAAGCAGAAGAAATAGAGTGATAGGCAGAACATACCATTTGAGGAATTCCAACGCAGAGGAAATAAAAGTTACCGACACGGGTAAACTGGAAGAAGAGCTGCTTGGGAACAAAATTCCACAGAGTATAGCGAGAAGTGCGAATGCTGTTGGAAATGTACGCCTGCCCGCGCCGAGTATCGATCAAGGGCTCGTCATTGTCGAGTCGCAAGGGTATCTTCCTGCCATCCTTTGAGGCGGCCAGCTGGCCTCGCTTCAAGATGGGCTCGACGACGGCCTTCTGATAGACCGAATTGGCGACATGGCGAACGCGCTGGACGACGGAGGTCTTGGTAGGAGGAATTGCAGCCTCGGCGCAGCTTCGAGGGTATTCGGCGACGCTGCTGGCCTCGTTGGACGGGGATTGTTTTAGCCCATCGGCCATGATGGCGCGATGTGATTAAAGAGATCGTGGTCAGTCCCCAGGAAACCTCCTTTTCCACCCCAGATAAATCGATAAGCGAGAGGAAGGTTTGCGACGCTAGAACCCGACTCAGTCGACACAAGCAACAGCTGATGTTCTCATGCCGAGAAAATGCCCGGCTTGC